ATGGCTAAAGCTATCATACACGAAAACGCTTTGAAACAGAAAGACAAGCACTTAAAAAGAATGGAGCGGAGGTATGAATATTTGGCAAGCATAGCTTTAGGTGAGGAATCCGAGTGGTTGTGATTATGTTTTCAAATTATTTTTTTTGCGTGACTTCCTTTAACTGCTAGTACAGTACTAATCTCCGTCACATGCAAAAAAAAAACGTATGATATTAAACGATGGCTTTTCATGACACAATGAGCATATAAAAATACTCTTGTATCACTCAGAGTAAATTAAAGTCTTTATTTTCACACTTGTAAAGAATGATTCTCAAATTTGCAAAGCCTCTGCGCGTCCATTCAAGCGCAATAAATTGCTAAATACTATTAGAAATATTGTAGTCAATGAAAAACTGCTCGCTCATGCTGCGTGCTACTAATTTGATCCTGTGTACGGTGAGTCTTGTGATGGAAACGTCAGCACGGTTCATTTTAGTATGGCGTGTAACCTTACCAACAACATTTAACTAAGCAGTTATCAAACCGTATTAGACTTCTATAGGACGGATTATATCACAATAAACAAACTGGCCTATACCGGTATTCAATGAGTTATTACGGCGCGGCTTTGAGGTATTTTGATATCTTTTACAGCTCATTGACTTCTTTTGTTTTTTTGTACATTTAAATAAAGCAATTAATCACATCGTTATTGAATTAACAATTTCACACCAGAAGTTAAAAATGGAGATGGTCAAAGTTTTCATCTCCTGTTGACGAATTTTTCACTTTTCACTGGAAGCAATATGCCCCACACACTAGGGATATATCATACTAGAAATACGTGTATCGCAGAACCTCGCGAAACTCGGGGGGGGGAGGGGAGCGCATAAGGGGTGGGAGGACGGGAGAGAAGTGAAGTAAATCATGTAACTGGGGAGTGCAGGTCTAATATTGGAAGCTGAGGTGTACTTAACCTCCTGTGGATTAAATTTGAACCTGGTGCTCTGGCTTTAAAAAGGATCTTCTGAGATTTAAATGGGGGTGCTGTTGTTAGCGAATGCTGCAGAGGTCCCATCCCCCCATGTTCAGTTGTTCACCCAATTTGACCCTCCTACATGTGTAATTATGGTCAAAAGGAAATGGGGGTGATAGTAGATAACTGCCCGCTAATATGCAGTTGCATTTGCTTAATAACAGCTCACCCTTGAGTGTAATAATTATTTGTGAAATGTGCCAGTAGAAGTGAGTGGATGGCGATGCTAGGAGCTAATGCGGCAGTGAAAACAACCACAAAATGCTGGTAATTGGAGAAAAAATTTATTGTGAGGCAAACTACAGCTATAAAAGTGTACTTTTTTTGGTACTTAATCACACTTGCCAACTATTGTTTGTAACAGGTAAAGGCTCTGTGAAACATAATCACGGAAATTAAAATTACAGTGTTTGCAATGTCAAAATAGGATGCTAAAGTTCATGAGAATTACTAAATAAAGTGATCAAAACTTATGATTAGTTAATTGTTGTTGGCATTCACCATAAAGCACTGAATCCACGTAATTTGTTCAAAAGTACCAATCTTTTTACCAATAGGCAAGTGTTCATAGTTATTTCGTGTACATGCTCTCATTCAACACACCTTTTTCCAAGAAATTGAATTCCAACGGAAATGTAAACAACCAGGATCATGTTGAAATAGGATCAGTTTAGAAATTGGTCTCCATTCTAAGATAGAGAAATGAATTGTTGAGACTTGGCCAAAAACGAAGAATTTATAATCCAAAAATCACGCTGGCCTTAGGATGCTGAAGCAGCCGGGCCAGATCAACGCGCGACAAGAAAATGAAACCTGGGCGGCTGTATAAACACTTCCGCAAGGAATAATGGCAAACCCTTTCTAGGGACCGATGCATCATCGACCCAAGGCCATTGGGGCTGGAAAAATACTTGATAGAAGGCGAAGTTAGTTTCAGATGCCGGTGTAGTTGATTTTTTTCTCTTTTTAATATGCTGCGCAGACATTTTCAATCTGGCACATTCAAATCAATCAATGTGCCCGAAAAAGGGACATTCTGTCATTCGGATTCCACTTGCAGTACTTAATTGTCGACTAAACGCCGCTCACGGATAAACGGCGCACCCAATTAGTAGAATGTGGCGTTTATTCGAGGGAAATAGTCAGTGAGTATAACTTTGTAATCTGCATCATCCAGACAGTATAACAACGATTGTTAGCGAGACACTCGAATTCAAAACAAGCCTCTTTCTGCCTTGTTCAGTTTGTATATAATGCTTTAAGCAACAAATTAAATAAAATGCCTCTTAATGTAAAAACTTATGAAACAGAGGCAAAACTTCGCCTTTCAGATGAAAAATGTTTATTTATTTTTATTCAATTACTTTTTCATTTATTTATCATTACTTGGTATAAGCTGCAGGACAACAGTTTTTAACTCAAGGCACTGATCGCATGAGTGGGTAACAATATAAAAGTATACTGGAAATGATATACACGTACTACAAAGACATAAGTTTTTCTTAATCTCAGAGTCACCTGGCAGGCAACGATGACTAATCAGTCTGATACCGTGAGCTATTGGTCAGTGAAAAGTTATGAATCTTACGGCAATAAATATACATAATAAGAATATGAAAGTACATGCAAAATTTGTCGTGTATATAGAAAGTGAACATCAGAAGTTTTAATTTCTTAAAAGAAATTCGTCTTTATTCAAATTTGTACACTGTGTTTTATTGTTCTACGACCGGAACTTGATCTTATAGCAATATCAACGAGGGATTTGTCCAAAAACCAAAAAAAGTAAAAAAACTGTTGAAAACCGCTTCCTTAAAAGAGCCATGTCACGAAATTCATCAAAATTCAAACAAGTTGGGAACTGTCACCAAGCATATAAATAACTGCACAGAACTGAAGAAGGCATGAATAACTAAGAGAGAATACAAAACTGAGGCACGAACGGAAAATTAATTTGAAGAACACTGAAACGGATTGCAAGCGTGGTTTTTGACAAGGTGTTCGCCTAACAGTTTTTTAAAGTTTATATTTTGTTTCTTGTAACATTTTATATAACGCCTGGGGACACTCTGAATTTCTTCTAACACAAATCCTTGATTTTGTCATTCACAAGTATTTCGCGAGTCCCGTAGCAAGTAAAACAAGGGCCCGCGTCACGCGTGATTGGCAACATATGAAAAAACAAAACAAAAACAACAATTAACTGAACGGCCGTGACACAGCTAGCTCCAAAAAACGTATTTTACCAAATAGCTTACAGAGTCCTGTATGTGTAAGTCTTTTCAAATTATTGCGTGGGAAATGATTTGAATAACTCATGTTGTCATTATAAAAATGTAGGGTACGTATGAAACACTTATTCTGAGGATCATACTTTGTCAAGGTTATATTTTGGTCTTGGACCACTTAGGTTATGCCAATTTTAGTAATATTTACAAGTAGGTTATCATTTTGGTTAAAAGGGGGAAATGCAGTACTATCACTTTCGCTCTACGCGAAGTGTCTTTACAGATCTTGAGGACTGTGACGATTCAAACAAAAGGAGACCGAAGACCATACTATGAAGTATTTCCTCCAAACAGATTTATTATCCGTACGAAAGTAAATTTCTAGCCTGTTGTTTTGCGTTCTTCAAGTGAGCACGTTTACGTAGAGCGGGAGACAAGCGCGTCGGTGCCTCGCGTTCCACGCCAGCTTCGTTTTCGATTTTCGATGAAACTCATTATCTATACAACACCTGTTGTCCATTGACCTGCATGACTGTCTGACCAGAGTGAATTTAGACTGCAAAACAGTCCGTATTTTTCGTATTCAACACCGAGTTGTCAAACAAAAGGTCTGGAATGACGCTGAAACAGAGAGCGAGACTGGGAGAGATGACGGGCTGTCTGACCAGCGCTTCGCGCGCGTAAGAACCGATTTCTTTACTGATTTTGAGAAAAAAACCGACTGTTTTGCAGTCTAGAGTGAATTCTGGTGTTTACTGCACTTGCCAATGCAAAACGGAGAATGGAGAAGCAAACTGGAGCGGAAAGGTGTCCCGAATATAAAATTGTTTCTGAGATCGTTTTGTTGTTGTTGTTGTTGTTTTTTTGTTTGTTTTGTTTTTGTTTGTTTGTTTTTTTTCCGGTCTCTATTAACAGTCCCAGAAGTCTATGCAAAAGACTCAGTTTCCCGCTGGAAACAGAGCCTGTAAGCAAGGCCGCGTCCACACACATCCAGATACTTTTGAAAACGTGAATTTTTCTTCCTTTTAACAATGTATGCATCCACACGTTGTGTATTCAAATGGTTTGTTTTACTCTTTATTTTTCCCTTCAACACAAAAACTCTAAAACGATGCAATCATAGCCGCATCCCTTACAGAGGATGCGCTGTGCGGTGAATGACATCAGGTCATTCGCGCGAAGACCTCTCTTTTCGTGCGTCCACATGAAAACGACAATTCGGCGTTTTCATAAGACTCCACTCGGCGGAGGACTGTTTTCGAAAACCTGCGTCTTTGCATTGGTGCCCGAAATTAAAACACCCTCTTCCTGTGGACAGAAGAATAAAACAAAGAGAAAATATTTGGATACGTGTGGACGGGGCATTGGACAGATCACTGTTGATAGACGTTTGCCCCCTGAACACCAACTATAAAACATGTTTAGTAATTAAACCAAGTTTAAAAAATGAAAAATAGACACGGAAAACTGGAACACAGGTTTTCACAAAAGATTCAAACGAAATTCAACATTTTTTTTCCCTCTTTCAAAGAGGGAAAAAAAATGTTTTATATAGTATTTGTATAGTGATTACAAACTTAGCACAAATTACAGTGTAATTTGTGCTAAGTTTGTAATCACTATACAAATCAGTAAGCAGCTTTTATGAATGAAACAAGTTTAAATCGTGTTTAACAGCCTAAACAGATTTTTAAACATGTCCAAGCTTTGCTGTCAATGGGATTTTGTCATGATTTTCCACCTTAAATGGCACTACAGTTTCCCCCCAACCCATCCATTCTTCTTTTTATTGAAATATTGCTGTGATATTCGAGACATTCGGATAGTGGTGGGCGAGGAAGGACTGGTAAAACCTCTCATAAGACTTAGATGGGAAGCTTTTCTCTGAAACTCATGACGAACCTAAAGTAGACAAAACAGAGGAAAACAAAACTAGTTTAGTTAGGCTGTTTTCTCAACCAATTAATTCAGCTTTTCAGCGGAGATTTCCCATGAGGCTCGCTTGAAGCAAATCTGAGCAAAACTTTCAGCTATCGCTGTCACGATCATCTATGAGAACGAAATTTATTGGCTTAATTCTGAACTAATCTAAATTTTGCTTAATTCAAATTAAAACCCGTGAACTGTGTGTTGGAGGTTGTTGTTTTAGTTTTAGCTGATAACGTTCCCCACTCAGTAAGACTGATCCTCAACACTAATTGCAGTCGTTGCCGGTCAGCTTTGTTTAAAATCTACCGTGTGTATTGAGTACTGTATATCCTTTTATACAAGGTCCGATTCAGACTCCGAACATTTCATGAGCCGAACCTAAGACTTCACAGTAAATCAAGTACTTGAAAAGTCGGGCGTCTGAATCGGTTTGGAACGCCTATTTCATTTTGAACGGCTCAGCCGTTCTTCCCCCCTAGCCCGGCCGGAAATTTCGACTTTGGAGCGACCTTGCAACGGCTTTGATTCAGACGCCGAACTTTTTATGAGCCGAACCTAATGCACAAATTATTATAATGTATTTTGCAAGCAGCTTGACCGAAATGCGCATTTTTTATCCCAATTTGAATAAGTTTCGGCTCATGAAAAGTTCGGCGTCTGAACCGCAAATCGGAAAACGAAATCATATGTATCATATATTACAGACCACTTGGCCCTTTACTTGTCTCGTTAGCGCATACTTGGTTCATGACAAACTGAATGAAAAAGCTTCAAAACTAGAAGTAAGTAATGCTTAAGATACGTAAACTACTCAAAAGATACCTCTGAGTTACCGGCACAATGGAAAGCGAAAATCAGTAGTCCCTAGAAGTGAGTAAAAATAAGCCAACATCAAACCGTGCACCACCTACAACAAAGCTGCTGGTAGTGTACTGTATAAGATACAATACTAACTGCACTGGTATATTATTGGAACATTAACAGAACACCGAAAACAACCGCCATCGCAAGTTTTGCTTCCAACGCGCCTGCGAAGTCTAGTTTGTAGGCTTACCGACGTTACGCCTGGTTCTCAAATGCCGCCGATCTACCTCTTACATAGTCACCAGTACCGCCTCACGGGTACTGTTCCGACATGCCTTCCAAGTTGAAGTCCAGTCAATTTTCGGTGTTGTGCCGGCCTCTGTTGACGGCAACTTTTGTTCTCATATTGAAACAGTATCCCAGGCAAATTACTGGCGGTCATGACGCAAGATGTCGTCGGCGGAATATGAGAACCATCAAGTTTGTTAAAGGCTACGATTCCCCTTTTTCCCTCTTCCACTACCCCTTTCGACGCCAGCCTCGTTCCCAGGTTCTCTCTCCTACACGTCTCTCACTCCGAAGGGACGGGTAGGAGATAACCCTCAAACGAGGTTGTTTCGACGCCTGCCACGTAGGCTACCGATAGCCTCATCAGACAGTGACCAACAGCAAATGTCGCGGAGCGAAAGTCGGCGGCGTATGAGATCCCGTTAAATTCAGATAACAAACCCTATTAACAATTCCCCTTAGGAAAGAAAAATTTCCTGTCAGCAATTCTTGTGCTACAGTGAAATCATGACCAGCAACACCAATACAAAACTACTTTTAATAACACCTCTTTCAAAAAATATCATTAGGGGTTGCGGAGAAATCTTCCCCGAATTTGCACAAGTCAGAGCCTGCTCGAAGGCAAGACGCCTCCCACCGATAACGTGGCGTGGATTTATATGTGGGGTTGTCACTCGGCTTAAAAAGTTTTTTCTCCGGATATCAAGTCTGATTTTACCTCTCGACATAAAACCCACTCGACCCGGGGCACTTGTTAGTTAACTTACCTTTTATGTTTCGTGAATTACCAATTAGTATATCTCAAATAATAGTTTTTATTAAGAAATTTGATAAAGTAAATCAATTCAGTTGATAGTAATCAAATTTCTGTACTCTATATAACTCATCTACCTATGCAGCAATGCAAATTCTTTCGATCAGCTAATTCCTCCTGATTCCATACCTGTATTGAGTTGGATATTGTAAAGATATACTGAAACACAACTGTGTCGTCATTGACAGCAAATACTCCGAACACCCAGGATATACCCAGAAGAGGAAGCAAAACTAGTGAAACACGAGCAGTTGTTCTGAAAAAAAAAAAATTGGAAAAACTGAAATGGACAACATGCACTCAGGCTGGTATATCTTAAACTGTCCTAAAAGAGAACGAGTTCCCGTTAGGAGAACGTGGATAAGGAAGAAGTGTATTAAACTATTTGAAGGAAAAAATAATCTTTGGAATAAGCATTTGCTGGTATAATTTACTGCATCTTGCAGGGTAAAATAACAACAACAAAAACAAATAAGTAGAGCTACTACAGCCACAGCCATGGGTGAAATCTTTATTGCAAGAAATCTTACGAAATTCATGAATTAAATTCATAATGTAGCATTATGTTTCCCTTCAGTCAAGTAAGCATGTGTGTAGAATATATAAAAATATTTATAATGTTCAGAGAAAGATATTGCCTACAATCTGACCCTTCAAATTAGCCATCTTTAAAGTACCTTAGCTGTGCCTTTGTTCCTTCCTCTTTGTTGATGTTTACCCTGACGCAAAGAACTCGAACCAAAACAAACAAATTAATCTGTCAACGAAGGAAAAAAGCCGTGAATTTTTTTTTTCCAGATAAGTTAAAACATTCTATTCCGATGGGATCACTACCTTACCATGGAGGTTTTTTTTTTTCTTTTGCATGTATGTATATATGTTGGCTGGAGTTTTATAATCGTTATAGGACCACCCATGCCGAGCAGATTGAAGGGTAGAGGCCAGAAAAAGAGTGATCCTCTGTCCAAGTTGGAGGTTGAGTGGAACGCAAATAAGCACCTCGAGTAAAACCTTCTTTTGATCTCGAAAACCGAAACTATTGTTGTCACTGTGCTCAATAGTGCATGGGGAAGCAGAAGTACAAGAAGACAACACCCGCCATTGAATCAACATGCGTGGCAAAGAATGACTCTTATTAACCGCCAGTGAATACCTGTCGCCAAATTTGGCAAAAAAAGTGTGCTTGCTTGGGCAGGGAGAAGTCAGGGCAATGCTTGAGAGGCAAATGTTTCCTGGTGGTTAATGAAATGAGTAGGTATGGAAGAACACGATACTGGTGGCGCCTGAGGATGTTTGAACTCGAGTAGAGAGGACTAACGTAGAATGGGGCAAAAGTCGCCGCTCAGTTGGCGAGCATCAGCGGAGAACTAATGTTCGACTGGGAACGAAGAGAATTGACGATAATGATGATCATGATGATTTTAAGAGTCTTAAAAATGATCAGTCTTTATCTCATTTCTCATCGGATACCTGTAACTAAGACACAATCAAGCTATACCCATGTTACATCAGGGACGATCTTACCCCTATAACAGCCACGGCCGGACCAACAAAGCCCCATATTGCACCACCCACAGAAGATAACCAGCAGCTAACAAACAAACAAACAAATACGGTTTAGTGGTCATTTTTTTTCTGTTATTCCAGATTTCTTTATTTATCAGTTATTTATTGTTTTATTTTTTTAAAATATATGATTAACAAAGAGAGCATATCTTATCTCGGATTAACCCATTCCATCCATCGAAAGAAACACAAGACTTTCAGGACTAAAATGGAGATATCTAGGGTATAAATTGCTAGGCTAAGCTGAACTTGAAATTCATCAGCCCCTGGTATAGCCTCGTAAGCATCATATGATAGCTCTTGAAAACACCGCTTAAGGGTAACCGGATTCCGGCAAATTTTTGCTCGTGGTATCCGGAATCCCAGCTCCACTAGACTGTTCACAGTCCCCTATTTTTCCGTGTGATCGTCGAGATCGAGCGCGTCTTACCGTTAATGGCGGACATCTTGATTTTCAGTCGTACCGAGTCTAACCTGGGGAAGAGTATCAAATCTACTTAGGGGGCGGGGGACGGTTTGGGAGGAGGCGAGAAAAATATTTTTCTCGCCCCCCTCCCCCTAGAGCTATAATCCCCGACGCCCGCCCCCTCGGTACGACTGAAAATCAAGATGGCCGCCATTAACGGTAAGACGCGCTCGATCTCGACGATCACACGGAAAAATAGGGGACTGTGAACAGTCTACAGCTCCACTGACAAGGAGTCTGAAATCCAGTTTTACGAATACGGAATCCACAGCGTGGAGTCTAGAATCCAAGACTGTCTTGTATTCCCTCACATAGGGCGACGCTTAACACTTTCAACTCAACAGAAAAAATAAAATAAGATAAAGAAAGAAATTGCCTAGTCCGGGGGTTCAGACATGCTTGTTCCAGGAGCCCCGAGTGGGAGAAAAACGTACAAGCAAAAAATATATATATATAATTATAAAATAAAATTTCAAAAACGAGACTATTCAACTCGCCCTTCACCATCTGAGCTCCTCGAACCGCCTAATAAAGAAACTCACAACTTCGGTGTTCCAAATCCATCTTGCGCAATGCTTGAGGTAATAACAACAGCACAGGCAGGAAGACCTAAACATACAGAAAAATTATGCTCTTTATGTACTTTTCATCCACCGTAAACCACGTCGTTGTTGAAAATTTCGCCTAATCGATGTTAGGAAGCTCCAAGATAAAAAATGAAGAAACATCCAGGTAATCTACAGGCCCGTAGGCCCGGGGGGGTACTGCCATATATGGGCTATATAGGTATGTGCCGCTGTGAAGGGTATGGTTTTCAAGCAGTTTACTCTAGGATAGGGTATATAAATCAGAGCGTTTGGGTTTAGAATAGGGTATCATTTTTCAGGAAACTGATCAGTTGGTTGAAGATTTTATCTAGACTGGGGAAACAGCTACTCTAGGATAGGGGGGATTTGGGGAGCTTACTCTAGTATAGGGTAGCAAAACTCAGCTGAACTAGCTCTGGTGTAGGTTAAGGGTTCCAGGGTCCCAGCGGCACATCCCCACCCAGAAATTCCTAAAGTGCCCCCCCGGGCCCGTAGGCTGGGGTTGTTCGTCGGCGGCCGACGCACCTCCCCGCCACTGTAAGAAGAGTTCCGCTTAAATACAATCCTGCTTATACAGATTTTAAAGTTTACTCATCTCATTTCTATTCATTTGTAACCAACTCAAACTACGTAATTATATTTTCCAATACTTTCCAGTCATCTGCTTACGATTAAACCTGTTTCAATTAATGGCATGGAAATACATATTCACGTATTTCCTGATTTCCGGATCAAAACCAGGTAACGGGCCTGACCTACAAAGCCCTAAAATTACAGTGGATTGGAAGTAAATTAAACTTACCCCACCCAAGAGCAACGTAGAAATTCATCATGCTTCTACTGACAAAAGCAATCACGATCATTTGATAAAGATGCACGCCTTCAACAAACATCCAAGTGAACACAGACATAAAGAAGTAGAATGACAGACCAGTGTATAGTTTGCAAATAACCTGTAAAAGAATATAAGTCAAATAAAATTTCGTTAGACTTTAGGCTGGAGTGGGTGACCTTTAATATATAATCAAGTCATTTTTCTACTATCATAGAGGTACTTGGTTCAACCTTAAAAATTATAGCTCAGTAGAAATTAATCCTTTTTATTTTGATCTTATTACGTTGTTTTTATGTAACTGTTCTTGTTTAAAACAGAATTGTATTGTAATTCAAGATTAAGGTATTTTGCCGATTGTAATTATGCAGCTATCACGACAAATTTTTTTGCATTTCAAACTGAATCAGGGTAATGCTGTTATTTTGTGTATGAAGTCGCTGAGTAAATCAAACAAATAAATAAATAATGCCGTGTTTAGACTTGAGCGTGCTACCGAGGTATTGGAGTTAACTTACCTAGGTAAATATTTTGCGTGTGTAAACGCCAACTGATACCCTGGTAAACACCGCTGAAGACAATAGAAAGTTAACTAAGGTAAAAGTTCGGTTTGCCCTGCGAAAAGGCATGGTTAAGGTCGGTAACCAAGGTTTGGATGACAGATACATCCGCTTGCGGTCGCGTCGAATTTCAAATCCTGTGGTGTCGGGATTGCGTCAGGCTCATTCGATCACGTTTTCGAGACCAGGTTTTCGAGACTAGGTTTTCGACCAGGTTTCCACGTTTGGTTTCGGTCTACGAAGAAGTTATGGCAAAAACCAAAGACACAAAAGACACACCATTCTTCAACAAAATTTCCGTTTAATAGAGTTTCGAACCAGAATTGGTTTCTCGGCCACGACCACGCACGTCTAACGCGCCTTGTCTTGCGAAGGGCAATTTGTAGCAGAATTAATCGCTTTCGCCTCCACCTCTTTAGGTGCTGCAAAAGTAAGAGCTGCTGCAAACTCGATTCCTGGGTTTGCTGATCAAGAACAAGAAAATAAAACGCGAGGACTACAAGAGCCACAGCTTCTCTTTTAAACGCGAGCATTTATGCGTGGATTTAGAATTTGCCGCCAATTCGATTAGATTATGATTGATGACAGACTTACCTTAGTTATTTGAGCCCGTATAAACACGGTACAAATGTACCAGGGTTTAGTCAGTTAATGTTTACCTTGGTAAACGCTTGAGTGTAAACACAGCATAAGTTAAGTTCATGAAAATTTGAATGAGTTTGGATATCGATTAACACGCTCTGTCAGTCTGCTTCAGGTGGATAGAACGTCTGAAGATCGTCTCTTGGACAAACTTCGATCACCTCATGAGAAAACTAAATAAATGAATAAAAATTTGGTATGAAAAGGTGCATTCAGCCTCCTTCGGGAGAATATTTATTACTGATCACGCGCAGTCAGTTTTTGAAAGACAAGAGAGTAGCTCTGAGGGACGAGAATGCATGTCGACAGCTAGAAATGGCGACTTCTTATGGTTTTATATGGAAAACATTTATCATCAATCATAGTATTCGCTCCTGTGCGTCCTCAACAACTTTCGTTAACTTTCCAAACAAGAATGTCAATTAAGTACTAACAATGGCCGCTTTTATGCTAGAGACGTTAAAGTCGTCTAGACGCATTTAACGTCTGAGACGTTAAAGTCGTCTAGTGTAAAAACGGGAGGCACAAAAGTAGACGACCTCCTTTAAAAAAGTAGATTTTTCTGAAAAAAGGACTACGCTTTAATCTCGGAAGACACTGGACACGAGTTAAAGCGGCGCCAAAAATGAACTTCAAGCCTTCAGGGCGGAAAAACGTAATGAGCATGCGTGAATTTTTTTACCCAGATCCCCTGCCCGGGTTTGAAAAAATGGCGGGATTCAGAAATATTTTATTGCCTAAAAATAAAATGTTTCCACTCATAACCTGGAAAGAACAGGCAATTTGTCTTCAAAAGTTGCAAGCTGTGGTTATAACCTTGCGGTTACTTAATTTTCTCGAAGAATACCTCATAATAAAACGGACTTTGACGACATTAATTTCCTTGCGTTGTACTGGAAATGTGCATGCGTAGGTCCGATTGTTTTCAAGATGCATTCACAAAATGTGTTCATATAAGGAAGTTCCTGGATATATAAGGTCCGGAGCTCCACTGTGGACACAAAAACAACATATCTTTGGACAGTGGTTTGCCCAAAAAAATTAACGCTTGGCCACAATGTGTTTGAAGTCACTGAACTTTGTTGCACTCGAGCCGATATTTTAAAACCCTCGCTCGATCGGACACTCGTAGTTTCGCAGATCACTAAAATATAAACAAAATCCTCAATGTAGTAGTTATTGCGTTGATATGTGGGCAGAAAAAAGGTCAATCTTTATCTTGTAAAATCTTCCCAAAAATCGGTTTCAAAGCAACTATAGTTTTTTAAACTTGCTCGTTTCGCGCAGATATATAAAATTTTGCTTTGTGTTGTCAAGTTGAACACGCATAACATCTGTCAAAAACCTACGCGTAAGTAGGATTTCCTTCAAACAAAGTTAAAGTTACATTATCTCAAAAACTTCTTGCTGACGATGAAGAAATGAAGTTTCTGTACGAAAACAACCTATCTAAAGATTACACGCAAAAGATCAGTTGCAACTTGGCAGCCAAGCCATGATTCACCATTTAGCTATTTTCAATAAGCTTAACTGGTCCATGCGAGGGTCTTCGTTTAAGCAAATTAAACTCAGCCGATCATTATAGAAAATACAGAAAATTGCACATAAGGGTTTGTTTTGCTCGCCTCAGTCAAATCCAGCTGCAGCAATTGTTTACGGGAAAAGAGTCAATTGTTTTGAAGTCACTGCCGGCAGTTGTCGCTCTCTACTTCACAGCGAGTGAAAAGGACAATTTGCGTACAGAAAGTTATTCTTATAAAGAACAAAAACTTTCACAGTGCACTGGAAAACAAAACTGTGTAATGAAAAATAAAAAAAACTCTGACTACTATTTAGTATTACTTGAGCAACAGGAAAATGATCCTGAGTAAGCTTGCTGGCCTTCTATTTCCGAGAACTTTAATAAGCGCACAAGTTTGTTCACTCTGATGCAATATGGTTCTTTGACTGAAGACAAAGATAAAGCTGGTTCTGCAAAGGTAATAAATCTGGGCGTGTAAAAAAAGTAACCGTAACTACTAATAACGGAATACAAGCGGGTTTTAATTCAACCCGGCGAAATCAACTCATAAATTAATCGGATGCACAATCAGAAAAAATACTCGCCTCTTTAAAAATGTTCAAAACCTTTTATTCCACCTCAGACTGACGAAATGATCCGTTTTTCCTTTCACATTGGTTGTTCTGAATCCAAAGTAATTTTCAAGCGACGAAAAAAAAGCAAACATGTCAAATAAAAATGCTTTACAGGGAGCAAACGTTCGCACCTCGTGCATTTCACTCAGAACTCCAACAAACAAACAGAGTCAACACACAGAAAAGCCCGCCTTGAGCCTGCGATAAGGGATGCGCAGAAGCTTGCGCAGAACGTTTTTCCGCCCTGAACTTCAAGCCCGCTCTTCTTGGCTGCCATGTTGTTTTGCACTCGTCCCAGTCGTCTCTGGACGAGTCGAGCATAAATGCTTCCTAATTTACGACGACCCGTCTTTATACCAGACGACTTTAACGTCTGAGACGTTAAAGTCGTCTGTTAAGTGCGTCGTTCGGACGCACTTAACAGAAGACGTTAAAGTCGTCAGACGTTAAAGTCGTCTGCCTTATTTACCGTTTTTATACTAGACGTTAAAGTCGTCCTAAGACGACTTTAACGTCTCTAGCATAAAACGGCCAATAAGGGCTTTCCTTTCCTTAAATATATACCGTTTTTCCAACAAGCTTCTCGGATCCAGCTGCGAGGAAAAGGACTTGTGCAATCCCCACAGCAATACTTAGATTTAAATGGATCTTTGTGATTTCTGATTTTATAATCCTGTTAATGAAATGTATATTGAACTGTGTTAGAAACAGGTTACAAGTATTTTACGCGTTTATAACAGTGTAGCATTCTCGGAGAGCCAAGGGCATCGTCCCATGCCAGGGAATCCAAGACAGTCTTGGAATCTGGATTCCACGCCGTGGATTCCGGATTTCATGTAGTGGATTCTAGCCTTTGTCCGTGGAATTTGGATTCTGAATTCCGGTCGTTAGTGGGATACCGGATTCATTTGGCTGTGTTCCGGACTCCAAAGCCCAGAATTCTGGATTCCAAAGCAAAAATGTGCCAGATTCTGGATTCCACAAGCAAACATTTTACTGGATTTCGGAATCCGGATTTCCTTACTTAGGACGAAGGGGCAGCTTACCCATCTTTTCAAGCCTTAATGTAGCGGAAGGTTTTATTGGGGTTCTCCGGAGATGAAAATGCTTCGGCGCAACACCGGAACGAATTAGGGCCTACTTTTAAACAAAGTTCTGCGAGATGCAACAAGAACAACAACAAACGCAACAGCAGTGGCAGTGACAAACAAACAAAAAGAGCCGTGAACAAAAGCGAACAAAATCTAATTGCATCTATTTCTTTGTGGTAGCAAACAGGCAGAAAAAGACAAGGAGAAATAAATTATGAAAGTGGACAGAAAGAAATGAAAAATATACGAGACTATTTCATATGAAAATAAAAACAAGGAAGCGGTCAGATCTCCTTCCGACCCGATTAATTTTTCTTTTCCCTATGCTCTCGTTCTTTACACTGATTGTTCATATATCCTGGACGTTTTAAAAGAAAATCTACTGCAGCTAGTTCTTCTTCGTTTGAGTTACAGCGCAGCCGTGCCTAATTACATTGAATGTAATGCAATTGTGTCGGTGGTTTTTCAAACTTGTTCCTAGGGGTAATGAGATTGGTGGCTTTTGAAATTACGCCGCTTCTTATAAGGACAGAATGGTGATTGAACTTGCATTTTTCTACATGACCACATAAGAAAGTTGCTAATAAAAATTTCGTGGTTTTCGAGAGTATATAAACAATTGACATTTTACCACCTTAGTATTACATAATTCTTCTTTTCAATTCGGCACCCATTTAAGGCAGTGACGCTAGCATTAAACACTTATTCACGACAGTCTTTTGACAATAATACCTTTACTTTTAGATAATTTTGATAAGTTACTTGTTTCTAAATTTCCCCTTAGATTGAAAAAAAAAGGGCAGATTTATTTCTAAGATACTAGTTTTGATTAATTGAACCGATGAGTTAAATTTGTTGTGAGCATCGCGGGCCGCACAGTGCACAGAGCAGCATTTTTTATCAGGCATTTCATTCATATGAATGTCAGTGCGTTGTTTTAAGTATTCTAAATCATTTGGTTGCAATTTTATAATTATTATTTGGCGAAGAGGGAAAAAATCGCCCTCCCACTGAAAGGTGCATCATGCTATTGTGTATATTCTGTTCAATTTTTAATTAACAGATGTGTCTATATAAAACAAATGAGATACGTAACTCCTTTTACAACTGGCCGCGTGATGCTTCCCGAGGACATTCTAGAATTGCCGTCGAAATCACTCTCATCTTTTTTTGACGATCATGTGGTACTGGTTTTTTGGATTGCTTTTTTCGGTGATGGCCTTAGTTGGAAACGCGCTGATCATCTTACTCATCATCTTCAAGCCATGTCTCCGTACTTCAACTAACTGCCTCATCGTATCGCTTGCCGTGTCGGATTTCTTCGCAGCGCTTAGCTATTTTCCTGTCATATGTATTTCCAACTTCTTTCACAAGATAGACCTTAGCCACGCTGGAATATGGTACAAAGTGTGTTTTACTTTCATCTATTGCTCCACGACAAACCTCTGTGTGCTAACCGCTGATCGATATCTAGCTGTCGTTAAGCCACTAAAGTATGCAACTTTTACCAGTTCAAAGACAAGCAGGCAGAATATCCTGATTCTTACAGGCTGGATAACTCCATTGATCTTCTTCACATTGCCGGCTTTGTTTTCTTACCAAGGCAACGATGTTTTTACCCTTGTTTTCGAGGCCAACAGAATTTTAACGTTTCAAGTTTACCCCTGCATCTTCTTTCTGTTGGTGATTTTTCGCCTGTTATGTATTGTCAGGGGGATGCGGCGCCAAGAGATCATTCTTACCCATCAACTTTCCTACAACCGAGCCATTTACTCACAGTCCCCCACAACCGGCTGCAATCAACCTTCGCGCCCCGAAAGTAGGACGTCGATGATGATCATCCTGCTTCTAATATTTTTCAATATCACCTTCGCCGGAGGAAACTATATTTGCTACTGCTTCGTTTTAAAAACTTGCGTTGTCCATCTCACTGTCAAGAAAATAATTTATCTCCTCTATATCATCAACTTGGCTGTCAACCCCATCGTCTACGCCTTTTTCAAGAAAGACATCAGAAGAGCCACACTTGGATTAATGAAGAGGAAAATTACAGCCATAAACAGACGAACTGCTCCATATAACTCTTGATCTTCTAGTGATCAGTTATAAGCGATCACTATATAATATAGTTAACAAGGACTGGATGCAAGGTTATTTTCGTTGAATTTTGCAAGTGCACTGTGCTCAGGAAAAGTTGTTTTGCAAAAAGGTTTTAATTTATTACTATTTTTAAATTGTAATTATTCATTCATTGTTGTAAAATGTCTTATACTGCGGACGAGACCTTCTAAGGACAGCCCACTCAGGTCAGATTCCGAACTTTCTATGATAAAGAGAAACAGTAATTGACGTGTCGACAAGGGAACACAGTTTTTTAAAAAACTCAATTATTTTCATTTGAAATTTCAAGTAGCCAAACTCAGCTCCAGTATAATGTTTTACTGACACTCAACACAATGCAATTCAGAGCACCCAAGCTCGCTCGCTACCTAGTAAAATGCTAACTTATACGCCGTGCTTTCGTTCCTGTTACTATGCTGGATCAGTCGCGCCCTAGCTGCAGTTAAAATAATGTGAAAATGTTTTCCAGATATGTTTTCAAGTAATTACAATCACTTCGAATAAAATATCCGAACGTCACCACTGATTCATGGCTTTTTTTGGGCAGACTGAGTCTTCCCTTATGCAATATATCAGTGTGAACTCGCCTTCGCATTCAACAAGCACCAGAAAGCGCGAGAAATTCAAGGAGAATTTCGGCGTCGGACTTAGAAAGAAAATGACCTGAAACCGACAAAAAACGTAAAATTACCGTAGTATAACAAAACAGGATTAAAAGCATGTCCGAGGATTTGAACCCGGGGAAGACCAAGAAAAGAAAATCCAGCTTGTGATCAAAGCAGTTTGTCCGGTCGTTTGGTGGCTAAGGAATCTTTTTACTAACATTCTCGCAAGCCCTTCCCTCAGAATCTCGCATACCACACGAACTTGCTTTGAATCTCCCGCGGTAAATGTTGGACCGACCTAAATTTGAATAATTACTTAGACGTGCTGACAAAGAGTTCTCCCTCGGGAAGTCAATTCTCAAGTCAAGTCAAAGCGGCTTTAATTGCATGTTGTCAAAAACATTTACAATGGGGATCCTGCGCGATGCAGTTGCCATAAAAATAGCTAGTAACAGGAGCCTGTGAGCTCCTCCTGGTAAACAAAGATCAGCAAGCGGGATCTAGTTACCAGCGTTTTTTTCTCCTCGCATGCGGCGATTGAGTGCGGAGGAGTTGCTTCGGGGTCGGCTACAGGCTGATTTTGTCTTCGGCGGAAGGCCCAAAGCGATGAAGGGCGAAGCCGCGGGAAACCGCGCATGTAAAGTCTATGGCACCTTGAGTGCAAATGAGACCCTTTTCGCTTTTCCCCAACCACAAGTATTAACTGAGGTCTGGACGTACGGATCTAGTGCAGGGAGCAAGGTCCGTGCGTCCTTAACAGAAGCCAAATATTTTTCCGTCCGTCCGGCCCTACCTTGACGCTCAGTAACGGCCCTCATACGGGACTTTTTTTTTCATATAGTCTTACAACGAAATTGCACACGGGGCCGTACATGTCATATGATAAACTCTAGAAAAACAGTTTCGTCATCACTTCTTAGACGTGGCCTTAATTGAGAAGCCAGCAAAGTGTTTTGTTGTTGTTGTCGTTGTTGTTGTTTTATTTACTTTTATTTTATTATTATTTTTTTTTTTGTAGTGTCACGGATCGACAAGTTAACTATTCTTTTAAAATAAGAGTAAAAAAAAAGGAATAGCCGGTTCTGGCAAAGCTGTGCCGGTGGACTATGGGTAATCTGCACCTAGTTAACCGACCACTGGCGAGCAACCTGACAGCTACCAACTGCGAAAGATCTGTTTTTAATGTCCCTTAAATGAAGAGAAGAAACAAAACTAAAGAAAAAAGTGCCTGACAAAATGATAAGAGTTGTTACTACTTACGGTAATGATAGGAATGTTATAACTGTCAAAAATGCACTAAAAATAGACACGGAACAGCCGATATACGTGATGACTGTTAAGATGAACTCATCAGAAACATCCAAAACCTGAAACAAAGCAAAGGGAATCGGAATAATAGAGAGATTAATCACCGAGTTTGAGGCAAACTGCAAACGCGAATTTGTACCACGTGACCAAGTTTCCCCGTTACTTGTCGTTTTCGGTTCATTACAACTAAACGAAAATCGGTAGATTCACTCCAGTTCTATCCATAAGAAGTGTCTCAAGCTGTTTTTATCTATTCATTTCTTATTTTGAAAATTTCTCAATTCAGTCGAATCTCACGTTTGTCGTTTGCCGTAAAAAAAATGCTTAATCTCTCTAATAACTGAATAACGCTCCTGGGGTAAAACATACCTCGGAATGATTTTATTCTAGTAAACAAATGAGCAAAACGTTTCAATCAACACTCAACTCAAAAAGATCTGTAAAATGTGTGCCAGAGTATGAATTTAGCCTTGCAGACTGATGTCTGTTTAACTTTCCATGGAACCATTTAGACCATAAGCTGGTGACAATCATAAACTAAACAAGTGGTAATCCAAGATGCTTTTGGTCATTTTTAGAAAGTACTTTAATACTCTTTTATGTCCCTCCAAAATTTTGAATGAGTTTTTAGTACGACTATTGGCCCTAATTAACTTAAGACTGCAATCATTTGAATTTACTGTGAAAGTGTAAGCATCGTTATCGTTTTGTATCTTGTGTCCACGGCACAGCGTGACTGCAACTTTCTGTACCACGGCATATCGCTCGACTATTTTTCATTGTCTACGCTGTTATAGATCGAATAGAGTACCGAAGTGTGACGTCATAAAAAATGAAATTTGTGAAATTATGGGATTTGTTAAGCTATTCTGAAAGAACAACGTCCAAGACGCCTGCTCGCCAAAAATTAGCAATTTGGGGCAAATTGTCTCTGAGATATTAGCCCAGATATGCTCCGATGACTCCATACAAATCCTTCTAAATCTTACCTATGGAATCGTCACAGGATAACTGGGCTAATATCTCAGAGACAATTTGGCCCGAATTGCTAATTTTTGACGAGTAGGCGTCTTGGACGTTGTTCTTTCAGAATATCTTAACAAATCCCATAATTTCACAAATTTCATTTTTATGACGTCATCACTTCGGTACTCTATAGCCACGACGTCTCAAGTAGAACTAGGAGCTGAGTTGAGTGGTTTCACTGCAAAGTTTTGAACATTTTGACGCCGGTCATTTTCACCATTTATTGCAGAACAGTCTGATGTTTTTTTATTCGCTTTTCAATTTACAGCTGCAGTAACAGTTTTAAATGCTCATTTTCAAATTTATTGGAAAGTCTCGCAACAAAACATCGTTACGTTACTTCCACATCTGTCCTTAATTCAGATAAATTTTTGTAACTCTCGACTGAAAAAAAACGAACGCCAAACCACTTAGTTATTGTAAAAACCGCGTTGGAGTACGTTCAACAATTCTACTTAGATAACGCTAGCAATACAGTATATTTAAGCAATAGAACACACTTTATATGGGTTTATAAAAAAACAGCGTGATAACCCACTTGGGATGTTGGGAGAACACTCGAAAAGCTTGTAAATTACGAGCCGATAGAAAGTGTGGTCTATTGCTTTCATAAAATAACTAATTACGTTTTCTATGAGTTTCCCGGCACAACAAACCATAGGTTTTTAACCAATCAGAACGTCAGTACTATCTTTAGTTAGTTATTTTATAAATGTTTGTAACTGAAATTACTTAAATTTATAGTTCCCTGAACGGAAAAACAAAACACAAGCGATGAAATTGTACCTAACCTGTTCTTTTACGCGCATGAGTACTGCGTAGTTGGTCATGTGATCGCAATGGCACTCGGTAAGTCCGTCGTTACTGTAAAATACACGACAACCACGTCTGGACCATTTCCCAAACTTTGCGCTTAATCCACTAAAAAAGTAGGGCGTTAATTAATATTAGAAGGTTCAAGTCAAGGGAAATAAGATAATTTATTATATAACACCAATGAAATACCAGGTAAGCTATCGCGCGAAAACATGATCATCATGAAAATAACATGTTCCTCACAAGTTTAAAGATCAACGTTGATATAGCTACACATTCTATGGCTAATGGCATTGTTTTTTTGTTTTTGTTTTTGTTTTTTTTGGAATAAATAGTTTGATTACAGATTAGAGATACGAAATTTCTCTTCTCGTCTAAAAAAAAAAAAAAGACAAACAATAATAAAACAAACATAAAAAAACACAACCCTCGAAGACAAACTTCGCATCTTCGCGACGTCATGTATTAAATCGGCTCTGCTCTTTATGATGAATTTCTTGGGAACTACAAAAACTAAATCATACGTACGCATTTGTATAATCCCAGAAAACACAGTTTGGTTCATGGTAGGCATCCTGTAAAGAAACAAGAATTCAAGATAAATGATACACAAAAGTTGACAATCATGCATGCGATAAGATATTCAAACAGCATTTATATTTATTAGAAGTTCAAATAAGCATGACTTTGATGAACTAAATACTCTTTCATAACATCAGTACTGCCAGGATGAAGTCAAGCCCCGCAAAATAAAAAGTTTCTCAACACTAACAGGCCGGGTTTGATAATCCAGCGCGATATCACTGTAGCTACTTGTAAGCGGAGTGTTTTTGTCTTTTGTATCAATAGGGTGCTTGAAAGCAGCAAAAAAAATAAATAAATAAAATAATAAAAATAATAATAACTTCATATAATAAAACTTTAAATTTTGGGTTGAGCAAAAATGAAACTGAAGGAGTAGATGAACATAGAGGTTTATAATAAAGTGTTGAAGCCATTCAACTGTGGCATAGAAATCTCTCATTGTTTAAAAAAGAGCATGGCCAGAGAAATGGAAGTATCAGCTACTTAAGCCCCCTTTTGATCATCATGTGCACGGTTGTCATAAAAAGAGCTCAGTGAGATTCACTGGCGCATCCATTAAAATTTTCGAGAAAAGAAGACTAGTCGACTTAGCGAGCAGTTAAACGGCTCTCATACTTACTTCAAAATGACGCATTTTAATTTGAATAGGCCTGGGCAATGGATAGAGTGGAGAAGGCCTGGTAAAGGCATTGACAATCTTGCTAACAATGTAATGGTCAGCGCCAAAGCTAAAATATCAACAAAGAACAACAGCAATACGCAATATGCCTAACGCGATTTAAAAAATAAAGCCCTTTTTTTAACTGAACTAGCAGCTTGTGAATTTATTAAACACAAACAGTCGGAAAAACTGTGCTTGCTTAAAAGCGTCAGTTTTGCTGAATAAAGATGAATGTCATGTTTGACGGCAAATGCATGAAATCTTATGTCTAAGGCAAGCCTTATAGGGGAACGGTAGGATGATCCAGGAAAAGGAAGCCGGAACAATTAAAAGTATAATGCGTAAGCCTTCCGTTCTTCCCGGCATTCATTTCGGACGTTTGGACAGTTTTTAATGTTAATAATATCAGCATCCTTCTGTTCCTGACCAGTTTCCAAAACTGTGCAGCCATCGCAATATCTACAAACAACTATGCGCGGGGGCTGGGGTTGAGAGGAAGGGAAATTACCTCCCCTTTTCTTAGATAACGCAAGTTTTATTTTCACTTGACCTTAATTGTTTTCGCGACGTGCCCACTATCTGAGAGCCTGGAACGGGCTACAACATCCTTATGCGCATGTAATATTATGTCAACAGTAACTTAAAGTACAGTCAGTAACAATAGCAGTTTCACATCGGCTTTTAATTTTAGGTTTGTGCTTGATTACATTGTTAACACTTACAATTAATGATGAAAGATTAAACAAATCTTTACATGACCTAATTTTCATTGATTCGTAAGTCCACGTTCTGAGATAACAAACTTGTTGTTTTATCATCTTTTTGTTAGTTTTAGAATTGTGTATGAAAAGGAAACACCTCGAGCGCAATAAGCCTCAATACTAAATAAGACTCAAAATACCTCGTAAATGCTTCCTGCTCTTGGAGCTGCTGAAATGGGTCAAACACCAAAGTAATCAAAACGCCAGTCTCTAAAGGAATTTAAAAGCATTAAGAGATTTATACGTTGGTTGTTTTTCAATACATGCGTAGACAGTGATAAACTCTTTCTTACATAGATCGGAAAAAATGAATAATTGTTATTTATATTTGTTATATGTATCGCAATCCCGCTTTCTGATTGGTTGACGTACTCGCTATCTATATAGCTATCAGCTTATATAGATGGCGCCAGAAGATAAAATTTGATTGAGTTGCATTGATTTCTCATGGCTTATTTTTGTGCGCCGCGCGTGAGGTAAAGATAAGTACTAGGGTTCAAGCCTAGAAGTTCTTCAAAACGAAGTGAACGGAGCGGGCGGTTGCAAACAACGAAAATAGACTTAATACATTTCTTTTATCGGTACTGACACTTAGGGTTCGTTCCATTGAATGAATTCCAGAATAAGAATACGCAAACATTTTGTCACAAATCTCTTCTTTCGTGATTTTTTGTCAACGTAAACGCTACATGCATTGGAATATTTTATTTCAAGCAGATTTATAGACACTGCAATGCAACGAATGCCAAAACAAATGATTTTAGAAAGCTTTTTTCAATTTTATTCTTATTCCGGAATACTGTTAATCGAACACGCCCTTAACCATATGAAGACCTAGGCCTGTTATCCATCAGTTGCACGACTCACCATTTCTTTTATTGGACACGTGACCAAAAACGCCCCTTGGAAAAATGACGGTACTGTTATCAGCGTCCAAAGAGCCCAACTGTATTCCCTCGAAGGTTGAAATTTGAGCTACAAATATGTGGCAAACTTGAAAAAAAAAGGAGTATAACCAAATAAAAAATCTTACAAATGTTTGTTCACAAACACAAATGACAAATGCTATACAGCTCATCATCATCATCATCATCATCATCATCATCATCATCATCATCATCGTCGTCGTCGTCATCGTCATCGTCATCATTATCTTCGTCATTGTCATCGTCATTGTCGTCATCATCATCATCATCTTAGTTTTCTTATTATTTCTCTTCCTCTTCTTCTTATTTAAGTATTATTATTATTAATTGCTTTTTTCGTCATCCACAGTGTAAGACTTTACAGAACAAACAATACATTGTAACCATAGTGTTCAAACATATTGGTAAACTAGAGCTAACAAGCCTCCCATAACTGCTATTGACTGCCATAAGTAACCTTCATGACTCATTTTACGCGCCTTTAAATCCTTAAACATGTACAAAACACTGAAATACAAGCTTTGTAAGCAATTTACCAAGTCCTCCAGCAAAGTAGCTTGAATGTAAAACAGACGCATTTCTTTGTCCAAGTGCATGCCCAACCATTGCAGTAAACCTTTCCAAGGCATGTAGTACCGCCATGCACGTAGATAGCTCCTGAATAACAGAAACAGGTGGATCACAGATTACGTTTTTAATTTCGTCCTTACTGTATGCTGGACAATTTCAGGCGTCAATTAACAAAGCAAAGAACTTTAAAAAAATCGAAATCAAAACATTTTGACGTACGTGTAGTTGTTGAGATGAGTTCAAAGCGTTGTCGAGAAAGTCCCCGTATCTTAAAAGAGAAGCTGCTTTATTGAAATAATCCTGCCAACGAACAAATATTTTCAAGTGAGGTGTGGAAGAATAAAAAGCTCTTCAGACAACATTCTGTTCCAGGAAACAGTTTATGGACGTAATCGAGATCGGCTAAATGTCAAAATCAACACTTGCCTGTATAAGCGTTTTATTGTCGGTGGCAATTTCGTTGCTGTTGAAGTTAAGGATAAAATGGCGATCTGCGATGAACAAAATAGAGTGACGTTAACTAACCGTTTACCGGTACTTCAAAATCATAGAAAACGAATTAAAAACCACTATATGAACCTACGATCAAAAACAGAGCCGATTACTTGGCTCCTGTCAAAAAACATTATACCCGTGATGTTTTGTCCTTTAAACAGGTCACGTTATGCTGCTCCACAGCAGACATCGGATCTTGATAAGATAGGATAGCGTATCTACATTTGAATTTCATTTGGCAATGTGTCACTAGTAGTGCGGACGATCCCAGTCGTATGCACGTCACTTACCAGTTATCTTACCCATGATGCTCAGCGAGCGCCAGCGGCGCTTGAGTAAAACTGCCCAAGTAGAGTAAGAGTCACGTTTACGGCAAACAGCAAACGCCAGAAATTTCTCAAAATAGGAAATGAGCAGACAAGAACAGCTCAAAAAAAAAGTTCTTATGGATGAAACTGGCGTGAAACCACTAATTTTCGTTTAGGAGTAATGAAAAATAAAAGACAAGAATAGGGAAACTTTGTCACGTGCGACAAATTCACGTTTCCCGTTTGCAGCAAGAAATAAGCAAAGAATATTTATTTAAAAATGTTATTTTTAGCCGTATTCATACCAGCTAATTCGCGAGAAAACGCTCCGTGTCACAATGGATAAAAAAGCTCGATCGTGCCTAATTAGTTTGCTAAATGTCAGCAACACTGAAAAACAGTTATAGAAGCTTTTAATTAATAAAGAAAACAGTTTTAAACCTTATTCAACACAGCAGCGGCTTTTAAGACGGTTTGAATGTTCTTCCACCTGTAACGGGGCATGAAGCGTGACGTCTTTTATAGTAATATATAGTGATAAGCTTGCCAAACTTCAGTACAGAGCGTTCTATCATCGGCACTCACCTCCTAGTAGTTTATCTATAAAGTCGTCATTTTTTACTTCTATGGAACCGTTGACAGTCTGCGTGATCAATTCTTTAACAGCGGTGGAGGGCACAATTTTGACAGAGCTTGATAAAAAGTTTGTTGTCTCTGATAAATCCCCCTCCTGAGATGAAACAGAGATTGTCGACGACGGCCTAGTGCTTTTTCCAAGTGAAGGTGTTATCGAAGGGAAAGTTTTTCCTTGTGCAGGGTACGGCGTCATATGAGAGGCACAAGTCGTTTGAAAAAAGCTCGACGTCCACTTTCTTGTAGGTAAGAAACCTTGTTTTTCAGTGTTTACTGTTTGTGGTAAATCCCTTTTCTTAGACATCACTGTCAGGGAAGAAGGCTTTGTACTTGCTCCTTGCGAAGGTTTAATCGACAACGAAACACTTCCCTTTGAAAGGGACGTTTTTCCTTGTCCTGAGTACGTCATATGGGAAGCATAAGTCGCTAGTATTAGACTTGACGTCCTTTTTATTGTTGGAAAGGAATCATTTGTTTCATTAAACCCATTTTGTGTGCTCAGTATGTAGGAAGCTGTCAAAGACGAAGCGGTCATTAAAGGTGACTTTAGTGCAGAATAATTCATTCCAGTAGCCAGAGTGCTGGAAATATCGTATGGCACGGAATTTAATATGTGACTTGGGAGATTAGAGGAAGTTCCAACGGGCTGCCTTGGTGAGTTTTCTGTTTTGGGAACGCTTGTTGACGGCGAAACCAAAGCTACAACGAAATGGAGGGTGTGTACGATTAACCCCTTTTTTTTTGGCATGGCAATACATTCTGCATTTTTCCTGAATAGTCTTTATAAAAACAATGTCTAGATTAGACGCGATGCGACTTCTTTTGAAATTATAACTGCAGCGGGTTAATCGAATGGATCTTTTCCGGGTAAGGCTGAGTTTTCCCACACCATAGTAAGGCCAATCAAGTGTACTCACAGTTACAATGCTAAGTCCCCATACTATTTCATGTCGACCGATTTATAAAACGGTAATCCTATTTTATAGAAATATCACATTGGTCGTATTAACGTCTCATGGAATCGAGATGGGGTGCCTATGGTGGAAGCTTACTGCTGTCAATAAAATCTTGGAAAATAAATTAACTCATATTTCCCTCTTGAGGTCGATCTTATTAATTTTATTTATTTATTCATTTACTTATTCGAATTCATTGTTATTATTTTTATAAACCGTCCGGCAAAAACCTCTTAAAAGCACAAGCACACGTTGAAACGGCGGCTGGCAAAAAAACAGCAAACGCGGGAAAAGTCAGGTCACGTGACCCTCTCTGCCCTTCTGACTTCACAGCCGCGAATGAGAAATATGTGAAGAATCTACCCTGGTGTTTATTCTACGACCAGTGCATTCGTTTAAAATGCAGGTCAACCAATCACACCAATGTGTACCCTCAAAACATATTAAGCAATTAAACCTACCGTAACACAGGGTCTCCGAAATCTTGCTGTATTGTGAGTAAGGGTTGAATTCCTCAGATTTTTTATATTGAAATACCCTGTGAAAGTCAGCAATGCTCCCGATATTGCTTTTAACTCCAAAAGTGACTGCAATCTTCTTAACACGTCCAAGCCTTCCATCCGGGATTTTAAATCCTGCTGAATATGTTGCATTCCTTTCCTTCTTTATCATCATGAAAACTTCTGGAAGTTTGGTGAACTTTGTATTAAAAAGGTTTACCAGATCACTTTCTTCCTTTGCTGAATCCAAAAGTGGTAAATCAGAAATTGCGTTTCGTAAATTGGTAAAAGAATTGAATCGGTCAAATGTGATGTTTACGCGGACTTGTGTGTTGTACAAGGCAACTGCAACGTCTTTAGGGCTTGTTAAAGAATTTGTCACGATGCTTGCGACCAAGGTGAGTTGATCTTTAAACTCTCGACTGGAAATTGACTGAGACGAGTCGACTGCAAAAGCAACTCTTGGCTGATGTGGGCATGTTTGACCTGTCATTTTAGAGAAAAATAAACAAAATTACTTCCTTCGATACGAATTTTGTGAAATCTTTGAAATCATACATTTTCTCGTGAAATTCAGTTATCCTTAATTCTGCTCTGGCCCATGTGATTACACGTTAACTATTACATTATTATTGATGATTTTATTAGTTGCTTTAAATTTATGCTAGAGATACGTCAACTGTGAAAGCCGGAACGTCTTTCGGGACCGACGGATTATTAGCTTTCCTTTCAGTGGTACATTCTGGGACACAAAGATAATACAGCGTGTTCGCATTACGTGCAACCCGAAATTTTATTTTGAATCAGAATTCGTCACTTTAATAAAGATCGAAGGGAAGGCTCTTTAATATCAAGATGGACTTTTTTATCATATGAAGAAGGCGCCGAAACGATGCTCTATAATAACTATTGCAAGGAACTGGGATTGCAAATTTTCTTCCACTATAAGAACTTCTTCATTGAATTAGGCTTGTTACGAATTTGCCATGTAACCCTCATAACAGTATTAATAATTGCTATTGTATGACCAGCTCAGCCGACTCATAAATTCGACAAAAAGCAAAATATTCGGTAACAAACCTGATCGTTTATAGCATCCTATGAAAACAATCAGTAGTATCCAATACTCAACACCCATAGCAATCACAGTGGGGCTAAGTGACTCAGCAGTTGAACTGATCAGTGTTTTTATGACTGCCTTTCAAGAGAGCTGTGTAAGTAAAACAAGACGTCTCTTTCTTCGCCTTTGCGAAGAAGTGTTGTTTGCTTTGTATGAGAAACTTCACCTGTCGTAATCAAACAGCCAAAAAGCTCTTTTAATGGATATTGATGACTTTTAACAGAAAACTTGAAAAGTCGGAAGTTTCTAAATCAACAGGGCATCCCTTCATAAATCGCCTATTTGCGTTCCTATGACAACTTCGGCATCATAAAAAAGCGGGAACGGCAGTAAGCGGTTTACAGTTGACAATTTTGGTTAAGACATGACAGAAAGTTGCGTAGAATCAAAGTCAGGAAAGAAAGATTATTTTTTTTTCCTGATTAGAAGACACTTAAACTAGAACATCTTGCAATAAGCAGCAAGTATACAGAGGATATGAATCAGAGAGTATCCGGCTTAACCAAAAAAAGAAAAATCTAGTTTATAAAAATTAGCAGACATCTGCTCGATAATAAGGAGAGTTGTTTTTTGTATTCCCAGTTTGGCAAGTCTGAGCTAGAGTGGTCAGGAGATTAATTTTTTCTTTGTGAGCTTCACGTGTTGACGTATTCAGTATATTAATCCTATAAACCCTGACATATCGCAAGTCAAATTCTCATTTGTTGTCCTTATTACACATTGATGATTCTATAGAATTGATATTTCAGGGAGAAATTTCGTGCTGATCATTCTTAGGGCTGAAAGTGTTAATCGCACTTAAATAAGAATCTTTGCGATGTGACCTATCGTTACTACATCACTATCAAGGCAATTTTCAATTTTTATTTTAATATTCAATAATGTTCAAATTGGCTATATTGCCTACAAATTAAATATCATTCAAAAATCGTTTTGTTCTCACTTCATGATATATATAAATGATGATGTGGTCATGGTTTATATACTTTCTCATGTTATCTCAAGATCTTTCCCAACGCTAGCACTTCAACTGATGATTACCGGGAGCTTTTACGTCACAAAGGTTTTATCAAGTTATAGATCTAGCTCTGCTATTCAACGACCTCATTCAAGTTCAATGGGCGATCTCGTTGCCGTCTCGATAATTAATTCAATGTCAGCAAAATATCTTTACTTGATTATGTTACTTGGGGTGATTTTTTACGTGGGCATTTTCTCTAACCTTATCTCAAACGAGTGAAGGCTGGTTGTCACAAGCGGAGGAGTCCGAATCAGAAATGTAATCAGAAGCGTAAAGGATCAAAGGAACTGGCGAAGTTTGCTAGCCGGTGGGGCGGGGGGGGGGGGGGTACTCCCCTATAAAAGTGACAGGGGTGCTCGTCGTAACTTTTAGGGGTTTAAATTTGTGGATTGGTACCAATTAGGGTGCTAATACCTAAAATGACTGCTGCCAGATAAAGATTTATGATAATACTTTCAAAAAGTCCTTGACAAGAAAGTATTTGAAAGTTATCTTTATTACTATTAAAATTTGCATGGCCAGTAAAGTGATTTGTTGTTGTTAAATTGGTACCTCTTTATAGGGGTGGAAATGAATTTGGGAAACGCCCATGAAACAAGATTCTGGTACCTTTTAGGGGTATTCTCGAAATTTTCCGACGGGTACCCCCGTCACTTTTATAGGGGAGTACCCCGGGGGGTTAGCTATTCTAATTATAAGGCCGTCGCTTATGATTTAGTGAAACAGCAGATCGTCGAAGTCGCAAGCGGTGTACAGTACAGTTCAGTACAGTTTAATCCTCCAAACAGTAGTCATGTGATATGTGATATGAGATATGTGTGATATGCTTGATATTTTTCTTTTCTGCTTGCGACTTGTCTATCTGGTTTTCACAAGCCTGTTCCAGACGTCCAGATAGTGGGTGCGGCTTAAAGAGAAGTGGGCAGGAAAAATAGCGAAGAGTTGACTTCGCGCTACAAACCACTATCTGAATTCCTGGAACTTTATATGCGGTAACGTCTTAACAAAATCGCAAAGGACGGAGCCTGTTTGCATTTGAACGGATGGATACAACGACAAACTGGTGGAAAAAAATTTTAAGTGCAAATGGTATTTTTACCCATTGCGTTCCTGGAACGGGCCAACTAGCTATATATAGGGACCTATGGTCCTTCTTCGAAGCGGAACGGATAGATGACTGGTAGCCGAGTTAATTTTTGTTTCGTTTTCAACGTGCAGACTTTCGCCCTTTTTTTCGGAACTGCTCAATCGCTACTGTAACAGCTCTCGGAAAGAAAAAGCGGGGGAAAGAACTTGTTCTCGTCCCCAGGGCTCATACATCTCGCTCGCGGTGGGTGCATTTTACAAAATGTTTTCGTATAAACAATTTAATTTTGCTACTGGAACCAGTGCTAGCCTCTACCTGAACAGTTTCGTCTCTTCACGGTAAGACTGGAGTCTGCCCTTTGACGGAATCGGTGGAAGAACATGAAAGTGTTTTTCAAAAGGCTGGTTCTTGCGACTCCGACTCGAGTCGAGCTTTTAATAATAACTTACTATACTACTCTGTTTTTTTACTATTATCTCTTAATCTCTTAAAACATAGCGAGTGGAGTGCGTCGCAGAGTAGCCCTACCCTGGCTAGCAACCTAAGAAGTTAGTCTGTGGCGCAGGCTGTAATTCGTAAGGGCTCTTGCGTATAGTACGCACTTCGACTTCGTCTCCGACTTCTATTTAAACCGTTGCTAATCCAGCCTTATATGCTTTTCAGGATCTCGCGCAAATTAACTATTCTAATGAAAGTGGTTTAAAAATGTTTTATAGCAAACTTGCCGTGAAATCTGTTTCGCTAACATCAGTTTTAGTCTGGTTTATCTGCTAACATTTGCGCAATCTCTAATGAACTACTCGTAAAAGGGAAAAATTCTAAAACTACAGAAACTTCATTAACAGGTAGTCTTCTGGTGCTTTATTTTGTGTTCAATGGCGTTGAACGCGTTGAATTCTCAAAGCGCCATTTATTTATTAGCTAATCACGACGAGGCATTAATAATTTATACGTTTGTCACAGAAACGAATGAGTTCTCTTCCAAGATAACACAATAAATGTTGTGAAAGCATAAATATTTTTGGGACATGAGCAGTTAAATCGCCTCCCATCATGGCTGGAAATTCTAGATTTCTGTGGATTTCTTCAACTTTGTGGCTGCTGTATATTTCTTTCGCCTGGTCAAATGCTATTCAGCGACACAAAGAGCCGGCCGATGAGGACAAGAGTATCATAGTTAAAAAGGTCAGGGAAAATTTATAATTATATTATAACGAAGTACCAGATATTATCGATATTAGCATACAATCTATTACTGCGTGAATTATCTTTCTTGCCTGATCACTGAACGATGAAAGGAGCATCCTGTAATTTGTAATTGAGGGTAGAGTTATTGGAAATTAAGTTTGTTTTTACCTCGTCAGGCAGCCATTTTGAAACTATACCCTTTATTTAATTAGGATTGGTTATATCTGAAGCAATAGCATTTTAGTGACCAGTTCCTAGATAAGGGTAATCCAACAGAGATATATAATATCATGACTAGGCGTGCTGCGCCATTATATAAGCGCAGCGTGATTGGAGTGGCTGATTATTAGTCTACCACTTGCCCAGTACTTCTTTGTGGGAAACACGAACAAAAGCACAATAATTGGTACATACGGCAAAAGGTAACTATATATTTTAAAAATTACTGGTGGATAAACGTCATGCTGATAATGTATCAAGGGTGAATTGGGCAGGATGTCATCATCATCATCATCATCATCATAATCATGCTCAGATCATCATCAGTATCGTCGTATCACTTGCTACCCAATTAGTAATTTTGATCCTATAACAATTTGAATACGACCCTTAAGTATTCGCCAAAACAAGTTCAACTCTTCTTACTCTCCGGTTATTCAAACTTTGGATAGCGCTATCCACGGATAAATCACCATCCAGCGGATCAGTCACTGTATTGCGGATCAATTATACGCTATCCGCCGAATAGTGTTTTATTCGGTGGATAGTGCTATCCAACGTTTGAACAACCAAGGCCTCGAGTTTATTTGCTCCAGTGACTTCATTCTTAATTTATCCTTATTAGTTTAGACATGGCCTAATCAGTCTTCAAGAGGTAGCGAGTACAAATTGTAATAACAAATTTCCACATAATTACTGCAGAGTAACTCCCCGTTACTTATGTAATCATAACTATGACAAAATTCTCCAATCAGATTGGCTATGAACTGCCCTGATTTCAGCCTTAATAGGACAATTTAATTGGATAATACGTACGCGCCATCACACGCGCGCTTTAATGGTTTTTTTTCACTGCTAGCAAAAAAAAATTGGAATTTCTTCTGTTTTGATTTTAAAAAGAGCCTTATGTATCACAATCGTCCAATTCGGTCTGTTATCATACTCGAAATTAAACAAATCGTATTAAACAAATCATACTCCCGCTACGCGGTCGTCCGATTTTGTTAATCACTCGTATGATTATAGACCAAATTGGACTCCACTCAGTCCTGTTACTAATACTAATAATCTGAGTAACAATTGAGAAAGCCTTTGCGATTATAAAGTAAAGCTTTTTCAAGTAAAGAGCAGTCATCGAAGTAAACAAATCGCTGCTGGAAGCAAATAGCTGTGTATTTGGCTTTCCAAGAGAGGGAAACGCACATTGGATTAGAGAGTAGCGCGAGAATATTTTAAAAAGAGTAAAAAATCAGAATTAAGTAAATCTGAATTCTTTTCACAATTTTAAAAGCAAAAATATTGAATTTTAGCCATTTGCAAAAAATGCATTGTTACATGATATTCGTTTATCTCTTTACAGATGATAGCACCTGGCTATTATTCCCAAGAATGTAATGCACACAAGCGATGCAAAGATCCTGTTAAATATTGCCACATGTTTTTGTGCGTGGACTGTTTAAAAGAAAACGTAGCCTGCACTCAGAATGGTCAGTGTTGTCCTGGATCAGAGTGTATCTATGGCCGCTGTAAGACTGGGGCTGCCGCTGGACAAGCAGGTAAGATCGTTAATTTCTTGGCTACAGATTGGGTCGACATGGTCAATGATGCAGATTATTGCATTTCTGAACAGACTGAGCTTTCGATTCTTAAGTGATTAAGCTGGTAGGCAGCGAATTCAGAAAGGAAAGGATGGGAAGAGAGGAGGAAGGAAGGATAGATTCGTATGAAAAGTCCAAATTGTGGCCTTTGCGCATGCGCCAAAAACAACTCTAAAGCTTTTTAGAATTACATCAAATTAGCAGGAAAATATGCCTTTAGTGTCGCACAATTCATTTTTGCCATTCCATGCTACTTGGCTGAAGGTCTGTTCAACACTTACGAGCAGTTAAAAAGTGCGGTTTAAATGAAAAAGCTTTTAAAATTTCCCACATGGGTTAAATCTGAATCACTTTGTGCTGGTTTTTCATTGCAGGAGCGTTTTGTGACAGACAAAGTGACTGTAAAGACCCAGATCTTTGTTGTGTTCGCGAGGCTGCCATTAACCCCGCCATTTCGATTTGTAAGCCCGCCTTAGATGAACATCAAACGTGTGGACCGTATAATCAGTACCGTACGCTCTACATTGGTGGTACTGTGCAACCAGCCTGTGGTCCTTGCAAGCAAGGATTAACGTGCAAACAAGTCGGGTAAGGAAACACCTGTATGTGGAAAAAGTTTCATGTGCACATAAACCAGTTATAGTCTGCTGGCAGGCTCTGTAGCATTTTGATTTGTTGACGGACCTCGGCGTCTCACTGTATTTTACTTCTCACGTTACAGTTTAGGTTGTTAAAATCCCCTTTACGTCTTTAATTTCCCTTTTCTTAATTTTTCCAAGGAAAAAAATTTAATCCAAAAATTTTGAAGTTAGGCAATCAGTAAGGCGAAAGACTTCAGCCTTTGTAATTGAGGTAATTATAATAATTGTCAAAGGGGAGATTTACGATTCCTTGCGCGCGCAATGGCCCTTTGATAGAAAGGTCCAAGGACTTCTGCTCGGATTATAGATTTAAGAGGAAGCTAGTGAAATTGGTGAAATATTAATCTCCTACACAGTCTCCCTTTGTGTCCTGGAGAAAGGCATATAGAATGAAGACTTAAAGAACATCTACGTAAGGGGATTGGTGGTGCCTGTGTTGAACTGTGGGATAAATGTTTTGTGTTATTTAATTTTTCAGGATATTTGGCGTCCACCAAGTTTGTCTTCCAGAATCAACCCCTTCCGTAGGAAAGAAGTAAAAAGTAACCATCGAACTTTGCTTTAAGGATGAGAAGTTCATGAACGCTTACCTCAAAGTTAAGCCAGTAATAAAGAGCTCAAAATTGTGCGAGAAATCCGATGTTTGCTTGGCGCCGAGAAAAAATAGTTGTCACTAAATCAGTGCCAATCGACGGTCTGCAGAATTCAGTATATATTTATTAACAAATCAGTTTTGATGATTCAAGTGATTATGTGTGGTCATGAATCAGTTATTCCTTGCTTTATCCGTAATTCGTATCTTTTAGAAATACTTCGAAGAATTTAAGGTGAATACGAACAAATAGAAGAGGTTTGCTCTCTGTAAACTCAATGTTAATTAAATCACTCTCCGACCATTTTTTTTTTTTTACCGTAACCCACTTTGCCTCAACAAATTTGAGTTTGAGTAAGTTTCTCCAGTGTTTTGTTGCGTCGCGCTTCAGGTATGAAGGACAGAAAGAGCACAGTTACTACTAGTAATAAACACACTTGTTTGATAAAAGCAGAGTCCAGTTGTGAGTATGTCGTTAGTTGAATAAAGTCAAACCGCTCTTGGCGTTCACCTTCATTAAATTTTTATACGAATATCTGTTTTACAGACAGTTCTCTTAGTACCGAGGAGACCGCCTTCATACAACCCCCGGCTACCTCTGTGATACGGACACCCCTGTAACGCAGACACTTGGCTCGGTATCCAGTTTAGTGTCCGAGTGAAGGAGGTCTGTCGTTTTTTTAACAGACTGGTTAATCAGCCTTGTTCATCCCCGAGAAAAATTCCTTTTAGTCCGTGCCTAGATGCAGCAGCACCAGAAGACAAGTTCCGTAGAGTTTCTAGCAGTGAGCTTGTAACCAATATCATCATACACTATATAAAGATTTTCATACTCAGTCGGTTCAACTATGTTCTCTCCAAATCATAACCTAAAAAATTTTAGGCTCAAGCAGACCTCGAACCACATGACCTTAACGACGAATGGACATTTTTTCTATGGGTACCAAGCCAATGAAGCGACCCACAGAAAGGTAAAGTAGGTCAACTGCGATTTCTTAACACTCGGCGACAGAAAATATATACTAAACAGTAACAATGAGGATGAATGTACATGCAAAAGCGTAAACCACGGTACAGAATGCCTCAAATACAAAGTATCAATTCACAAGCTCGTTATAAGCGAAGAAGTCAAGTGAATCAAAGCGATCTCGCCCTTTGTTGCACTTGGAATGTAGAAGGCTGTCAGAGGGTTTCTGAGTTCCGGGCCTGTGTGGTGGTTCAGTTAGAATAAAGAACTAAAACAAAACAACAATGTCAAACTCCAACAAGTGAAAAAAAAGATAAGGATTAGTATAAGCTAACGTCCACCCAACTAATCCGGCAATTATTCTTCCATAAAGTGTACTGCGAGGGCCAAAAGTACAATAACAAAAAAGGACTATATAAAAAATGATTTTATTTGCATGGCTAATGGTTGATAAAGGTACAATTTAATGATAAACGACTTCATGAATGTCTATCTTATTCGTTTAAGATCCACTTTTACTTTCTGCAAAAAAGAAAACTAGTTTTGAACTACATTAATTACGCCGATTATTCTGAACTACATTTTCTAAAGAAAACAATTACAAGTGAGTAAAGCTACTGTTACAAAAATACGTACCCTAGCTTGTGATCCACTTCACTTTCTACAAAAGCAAAAACGGATCATAGAGCTAAAATCTTCACTGATTCTGCTTTTTCTTCAGCCTACCAATCTTTGTATATAGCATTTAAAGATTTATACAGTTGGCCATACAGTTATTTCAGATATGTTCTTACATTCTCAGATGTAAAACTACTTGTCGGTTTAGTCTTCTAAGCCGTGAATTCCGACAAAGGACGCAAATTACTGAGACTGATAGATTGGCTTCTCTGTACACATTAAAGGACAAACGATGTCCCGTCTTCTTCACATCATTTCTTGTCATCTTCCTTTACACAAATCTCATGTACACCAAATATTCTACGAGAAAAAAACAAAAGCAACACAAAAATAAATATTATTCACATTCCAGTACAAAGTATTCTTATATTAGTGCGTTTTAATGAAAGAGATACCAGAGTTAGGTTACATTCATGTAGCATATTGGTCTGACTCGCCACTCGGCAAGCGCAAAGACGGTCCACTCTCACTGATAAATCTTAAAAACACGGGGACTTAGGCGGAACCTCGATATAACATTTTCATGTCCAAGGGACCAGCAACAAAGTGCTTCTGATTGGTTGCAAATTTGCTTCAACCAATTTAGAAACATTATGAACCCAGATCTACTTAGCGCTGCGTCATCAGTGTAAAAATTCTGCGTTTGTTGCTCAGGCGTCATTTCGCGGAAAACCGTTGATGACGTCGCGAAATGTCGGCTGTTCCAGGTTATCATGATGGACATCTTCGGGAGCCCATCACCCAGAGTCCCCCATTTCTCTAAACCTTGTGCGGAAAATGGCCACTACTACTTTTGGACTAAACACTTTTCAGTACTTAGCTATTTCCACCCAGAATTTTCTGCCCGATGAAACGAGACGCCCTCCTGATCTGAATACTTTCAAACGATGTATAAAGCAGTTAACTTTTAAAAAATAGTTGTATGTATTACATAGGTGTGTAACTGATGTCTATATGGCATGTAATTTAATAGTACTATTTCTATTTTCATTTCATTTTATTTATAATTATTTCTCTTTCGGAGATGCTATCAGAAATGCTATTCTAAAATCCGAATTGAAAACAAGATATGATTATTGATTGCTTGATTGATTGATTGATTGATTGATTGATTGATTGATTGATTGATTGATTGATTGATTGATTGATTGATTGCATTACTAAGGGCTGTTCATCTGAAGCTATAACAGTGCCTGATCAAGATGGCTCGTATCGAAAAAAGAAAAAAATCCAAAGCTGAAGTTCAGGGAAGTTATTTATTAACATTAATTAAAGGTTACCAGGTTTTCTCGGCTGGAAATGAGTAATAGTGGACCGAACTTGCAAGAATGTAGGAAAAAGGGTTTACTCGAAAAGGAGATCAGCTTCCTTTCGCTTTCGCCGCCATTTTTTTTTGTTTCACGTGCGGACGCAGGCGAAAACACGCGGGAAATCGAAACTTGAGACTGTTCTAAAAATAAAAAGATACGAGCAAAGCCAGACTCAAGAATACAGTGTTTATGGAGGCTCCTCCTGATGGGCTCCTGTCATCGTTTAAAATTTTTGGAAACTTGTGGCGCAGCTTGTTCCAGGCGTTCAGATTTCCCTCGTTTTTCCCCTCGTTTTCCCCGCGTAGGATTTACCTCGCTCCTCACCTACCATGAACGCCTGGAACAGGCCACTTGCGGCGCGTTTGAAGATTTTTGTTTTCTAAAACAAAGCAAAGAAAAGCAAAAAAAGGAAAAAAACTTACCCAACTTGTTTACAAACCAGTCCCGCCTTGCATGGCCCACACGCTTGTTGAACTTGAGCTCCGATGTAGACGTTTTTGAAGTAATTGATTGGCCCACATACCATGTTTTCCTCCAAAGGAGGTTTGCAAACCGAAATATGAGGGTTTATAGCTGGTTCTCTACGAGAAAAAGATGTTCACAGAAAAATAAATGTCACCATTATCATTGAAAAAAAAATCATATAATTACATAATTATTCAAATTCCAGTTACTGACAAAACAGGGATTTGTGAAAGTGTGGTGAAATGAGATATGCTAACCGCAGGCTTATGGTAGATTTCCTCGGTTTTCCGATAGAAGAGAAGAAAGAAAACACAATCATTATAATAATTATGAAACCGTTCTAAACCTAATTTTTAACTAGAAAGGTCATTTTAAGTTAATGTTACAAAAGGGCTCAATCTCAAAACTTTATAGCAACTTGGTCTACCTTCTCACCGAAAAAAAATTCATACAGTGCAACCTTTCTTTTGGGACACCTCTATTTAGGGGACACTACAAGATTGAGTCTCACTATTCAAGAAAAGGGACACTTAAAACCAAGTTTAACCTCCAATCAAGGGACACCTAAATTTAACTTTAAGTGTACACATTGATAAATATAAATGTTTACTAGTCACAAAATGTGGCGACAGCTTTCAAAAGATGAACAATCTCACTTAAACCGATGCATTGCACTTGTGGAATCAACACACAACATCGTAGAGATAATTTTATCGCGATTGTTTTAGACATTATCTAGCTGCTTAAAATAATGACTGTAGCAGATTCCGAGGCAGAATAAAGGAAAAAATAATTTGTTTGTTTGGTTCATTAGTAACAAACTTTACAGCCCAACCTCCATTCATGGGAGACCTCTATTCAGGGGACTCTTGCCTTGGTCCCTAGTTATTTGTCTTCTGAATAGAGGTTTCACTGTACATTTACGATTGCATTGAAGATTGAGATTCTGACTTCACTAACACGAGGCATTAAATGAAAAGTTTATTTAGGATAAGTTGGTTAGTCATCTGATGAAAACGTATCCTAGTTAAGTTATTTCAATACCATAGCTATAGCAAAACGCTATCATATCTTCTAAGCTAGAACATGTAGCCAGACACGAAAAACCACTTAAACACCCTTGAGAAGGGGCCAAAAAAGCTGTGGAAACGTATAGCCCTACTTATGCAGTGGCGCAAAGACCCAGGGAGAAGGCTCAAGCGAAAACATAGAAGGCTAAATACGTTGTTATGTTATAAACTACTGCAAGAATAACTACGTAATTCCAAAAGAGCGTAGGACCAAATGCATAAATACATAAAGTACCCAAACACGTTATTCTGAACTCGAAAGCCTGATATGAGACAACGGAAAAGAAACTTTATACAATAAAACGAAAACGATCACGACGATTGAGCTAACGTAGAATGGCACAAACCTCTCACCAAAACCATAAATAGCTCGAAACTATCCCACAACCCCTGGCGCGCCTCTCAACCGTGCCGTCAGAATATTAATTTCTGACTCTGATTCGTTCCCATGTCTCTCAGACGTCAGAAAATTTCAAACATTTTCTGTACAAACCTCACACAGCATGTTCCTGGTGGATCTTTACAATCATCGTGTCGGTCACAAAATGTCCCAGGTGCCCCTGGGGCCGCGTCTTTCTTACATCGACCGTAAGTACACTGTCCTTTACAACACTGGCCATTTTGTGTGCACGCAACATTTTCCTTTAGACAATGAACGCATAGAAACATGTGGCAGTATTTTCCTAAAAAAAAATAAAGCCAAATTGATCAGCGAATTTGTCTTTCTCCTTCAAGCGAAAATGGGTAGCTTATGCTGCAGTCTTGTACAAATTTGTGTCATAGGTTCTTACGAAGCTGTTATTTTGCAGAGTGGAAAATCGACAAATACTGAGTGGCGCACGCAACATAGGGTAACTGTACATTGCTGATATTGTATACCATCTTTCTATATGTATAAAATCATCAACATTATTTAAGACTGGATTCTTAATAAACAACATTCAGCAAACTTTAGGACCTCTTTAGACTGTTCCAGGCTCCAAGAAAGAAATCACCATGTTACTGTCAGAGCCAGGCACAAGCTATAGTTAGGAGCTCTTAAAAAACAAACAAACAAAAAAGAGTACAATGATTCTGAGTAAACCTAGCACATATAATTATTGGATTACCCGGGTCACAACGTTTGTGAGCATTACATTCTTGAGAATAATATCCTGGGGCAAGCATGCGCGGTTGCGCTCTTTGTGCTCCACTGTCAGCAACTGATGGCATTTGATCGGGATCCAGCTGTGGAAATGGCAGCAGGCCCTGTATGAAAATAAATCTGATTATAAGCTATGTTGTTTATTTTGGGACATTTTCCTAAGAAAACTGACAAAACAAGTCGTCTCCTTCACTAACAATTCGAAGAACGAGATTAAAATTACAACCACGACAGACTGCATAAAAAATGATGTATAAGAACTGGTGTTGCAATTATATAGTTGACCTATAAAGTGCAGTTAGCGTTTCTTTGGTGGAATCACTGACGCCTTCAGAAAAGTGATTTGAAAAGCAAGGGCTCAATAGATATGACCGAAATATAGCTTCACTTCCAAAGCAAATCTTTACTGGTTGATCCACATTAACTTTGACTAGATTGAGAAGAAAATATTGCTATATAATTACCCATCAGTGATGTTTTTTTCATTCATCGAAAAATTAAATACACACCTCTTTGTAAAATTTAACCGTAATATTCTTCTGTCAGAACTATTTAACCCTTCAGCCCTTTAGTGCTCTTTAGTATATAACTGGGATCACGGAAATGTTTAAGCCAAGTACAAACGCCGGTAAATTATTATTTCTGTAAATTTGTTTTGATTTCGAAACACAATTAGTAAGTATTATTGTGACTGTACATAAACAATATAGATATCGACGGCAAAGGATGCCGATGCAGCTTTAACCTAAAACAATTTCAGTGTTAGACAGAACAGTTGACCTATATTGGGCTTCAATGAGAGTAATACAACTAGCAGAATTTCATCGCTCTAATATTAATCCTCTTTTATTGGTAACGACGCCTCTGAAGTGTGGCTGGTGACTGGTCCCAGTTTTTAATTTTACCATACCTCCACTGATATGGTAACTTACCCGGCATCAAATAATGAAATTAAAAAACCCCTTTCAATGTTGTTCTCATGCTAACTTCGCAAGATTTTTTTTTTTTTCACGGTGAATTGGAGGAAATTTAATTACCGTAAGTTCTTATGTGCCTTTCCCAGCGTGAAGTTGCCTACCTTTTTAACTCTTTCACTGTCGGCTGGCCTCGATTCCTGTCTCCATCGTTGCTTTAAGGAGGTTTTTTTCTTGGGAAGTGCAGAGAGCAACCAAACTTGACTCAATACGGTGCCTATTAGAAGCCACCAATTTGATTGAAAGTTCATTCTTTTCAAATGAACTCTTTAAAAACCCTAGTTTTATCAAGGCCCTCGTTATAGACCGGCTAAGTTACAGAGTTTTTGTCAAGCTTAAGTTATTATTTCATAAACTTATTCATTATTAATAGTCAAAAGAAAAAAAAAGTCAATATTTGATCTTAAAACTCTTTTGGTGCTGATCTTTGAAACTGATACATATTTTCTCCAATTTTGCCAAGATAAGATTATAACTTCTATGGAAATTTGAAAAGTTCGATGTAGTACAGTGTTATTTATTTTATTTTTTATATTTTTTTCAACTGTTTATACGAGCGAATCAATAAGTTGTGAACAAAGCTGGTACCAGCACTTTAGGACAATAGAGGACAGTCCTCGAAAATTTCTATTTTCACCACTTTGCAAAGAATCGACTAAGAAGTCTCTTGCTGCCGTTTCACTTCAAGGAAATTCATCGAGCGATAATCCCTGTTAGTTTTTTAATACCTTGGCACTGCTGATTCTGTAAACCAGTAGTTTAAGTTGCATTCCTGTCGGCCAAAGGTCCATAAAAGATTCCGCTGACCATAAAACAACAATCTTTTGATAAGTAACATTGTGTTTAGATAGCAAGAGTCCTTTCGGTGCGTTTATTTGCCTTATCTTGCATTGCCAGATTTGTGTACGCTGATTTTCTGTGGTAAGTGGTATTCATACATCGCTTCTGTCACACTTGCTTCCTTTAACCGGTTCGAGTCTATTTCCAAGACTAATAAAATATTCATTAATTAGCCTCTAGAAACAAGGGTCCTTGCCTTCTTGTTAAAATGACTTAAAATGTTATTGGAAAAAAGCCTATTCTTGTTTTGTAAAGTGCTCGTCTTCTTTATAAATGCATATGGTGCCACTGAAACGAAGAATACCACCAACGCTTTAGCAGAACATCATCTTGGAGGAACTTTAGGAAATAAACGGGTTAGTTTCTTTAGTCATTGGGCTAGTTTGCTACAACGAGAGTACCTTTTAATTTTAGCAGAAGTTCGTTCATATAAATACTCTAACTACAATACATATTGTATATGAACGTAAACCTCATCGGGTTAATATATGATCCTAACTTGCGTTGCGCGTATTGTATGTTTTAATAAGAACTGACATTGTTTGTATTTTCTCGCAAGATGTCAATACTGGTACCAAAGCGAAAGCAAGTCGGAAAAACCTTGTGACCTTTTTCTTCGTAAAATTAAAAAATGAGAAAATGTCACATTTTAAATATAATCTTTATTAGCATTGGTTAATCATGACCATAATCAAATTTAGTTTGATCAATTAGTTGATAGCTGCTTAGAAGATTATTATAAAAACTTATTTTACAAGTTGTAAACACCAATCGAATTTAGCCAATCAGAAGCAAACATGACAAAAATAGTGACATGCCAACATTGGTGTAAATTTTTGCAGCAAACTAAACTGAATTAGGCAGCTAATATTTGACAGAAACGTGTACAATATCACAAGAGCATTTCCATAGATTTTTTTTCTTTAAGTTTTTTTTCTACTTCTGGCATGGACAAGTAGGGAAAATCCGTCCACTCCGCTGGAAAAAAATGCTATAAAATTAATAAATTACCAAGTTTGAAGGTGATTTGCTGAAAACTAACGAAGATGGAGCTCCTCAAAGTCGCGAAATTTTACAGAAAAAATTCAGTTCAGTTCAGTTCAGTTCATATATTTTAGTTTGTATATATCAGTTCTCCCTAAATATTTTGCCCCCCACCAAACAAACGTCTATAAATTTTTGCAACTTTGTGGAGCAGCTATCGCGTGCTTATTAGAAATATCACTTTCAAACTTGGCAATTGTATCAATTTTAACTGAGGTGCTCTTTCCTGTTGTGTCAATCGATTTTTCCTAACAGCTAGTGCATGTCAAAACTTGAAAAAGCTGTGGATAGGTCTTTTTTACCCGTAAAGTATTCTTACTAGCTTCCTATACCATGTATAACAGCGCGCTTTACCCAAGGCTCCTACCAATAACTAAAAGTGATTTTGCCTTTCTTTCTTCCTTTCTTTTTTTTTTATAAATAGCAATTTATTTCTGGCTTACCTCCTCATATGTCACCTTGGCATTTCCGAGCTATGGTGGAGGCTGGTACCGAAGAGTGTAGCGTCAATAAGGACTGTCCAAAAGGAAGATTTTGTGACGTTCACACGTGTAGGGTCTGTGTACACGAGAATGCAGCTTGCCATTTTATAGGTGAGAACATGTCGGCACCTGTTAAATCGAGTTATCACGACGCGACCATGACAAATGGCCCTTTGAGCTATGGCCATGCAGACAACTTCTCTTAAGAACGCAAACACATACAAACTTATTTCTTCATGGGTTTCGTCCACAAGTGAAGAACGCAAACGATTGTCTTAAAAGACTCGACCCTCTGAGCAGTTCTTCCTTATGCGAACAGCCGTGAACGGATACGTTTGTATGCATTTTATACCAAGTCAAAAACACTCTTGTGGATATTGTCTTCTATTAATTAAGGGTCAGTAAATTGCGAAAATCAGTTCCCCGAGTTTAGTGTAAACTTCATGATCACTGCATGCAACTGTGAAACTTATACATTCTGATCCACAACTGAAATGTCCTCTGAACTAAAGGACGAAGAAATGTATATAATATTTTTTTTCCCAAGGTGTTTCAAGCCGCTATTAATTGTTTATGGTGATTTGTTCCATTACTAACTTTCAATCTTGGAAAACATCGGCGTGACTTTTTTAGTCCACTTTCCCTGTTCGATTCTTTTGCTAGCGAACCCAACACTGATCGTTTTGATGATCTAGCTACTAGTAATCGGTAACATTTAGCAAGACTAGACCTAGACTAAAAATCTGGTAGCACTTAGTCTTCGTTACGTTGCTGCTCACGAGAATTTAATGGTGCTTATTTTTGTTTTCTAAACCAAATTAGGAACGTGTTGCGAGGGCTTCACTTGTCAATATGGCCACTGTACTAAAGGTGTAAAGGAAGGAGAGCCCGGAACGTATTGCGACAGGACCTCGGACTGCCTCGGTAAAGAGTCGTGTTGCGTTCGGGAAATTTCCATCAACCCACACACATCTCTATGCAAACCACTGCTGGATGAATTTGAGTCATGTGGTCCAATCAACTTATTCCATCACATTTATAACGGAGGAATGGTGGAACCGGACTGCGGGCCGTGCAAAGCAGGACTGCAATGTAAAAATGTTGGGTACGTTATATGTTGAATGTTCGCTCGCAACAAACAAACTAGGACGTGCTTCAAGAAGACGTGGGTATAGTGGTAACTGTAGGGGTTCGTTGCTGAAAGTAATTTTGACTAAGCAGTTACTCGACTAAGGAGATAGTGGTACTACTACTACTACTACTACTACTACTACTACTACTACTACTACTACTACTACTACTACTACTACTATAGGTTATTAGAGAATTATAATTTGAAATTGCTTTCTGTTCCTTTTTTTTTTTCAGAACGAAAGGCCTCCATTTCATTTGCTTGAAAGAAAACGAGGACTGACCCCTTGCGCCACATTAAAACATGACAAGTTTAAAAAATTTGGGCTCCTGTTGGGTTCTTGTTGAGTTCTTGTAAATTTTCGAAGTTGTTAAGAACGTTTTAGTAAATTAGTAAATTGTTCGTCTCTCTATTCATACGAATTCATTACACTGATGGCTTATCACAAAGACATCCAATTTTAGGCATAACGACTTTTAAAACATGCTCTAGACTATTATACGTGTTGCTGTTACTGAACGTTTTAACTGCACACTACGCGTAACGTAATAGTAAGAGACCTTAAAAACAAATATATATGGGACGATTGCCTCTTACCCGTAGGAAATAAACGAACAAAATAGAACAAAACGTTGTGTCTTACTGTAAGGTCGACCCTATAACTGGACCACTTTTGTGGCTATACCTCTAGACCGCAATCGGTCTCTTATTTTTCTTTGCAAAGTTACTCGTCTCCACGAGCAACTAAAGAGAGCGTCAGCCCGAGAAGAAAAGATGAGAGACTACTGTCTTTTTTCGTCTCTTCCTAATTCCTTATTGTGACGTCGTTATTTACCTAGTCGCGCTGCCTGGGATAACAACTGGATGGATTTTATGAGAAAAGGCGCACCGCAAGCAGTCTAGTCTACCTCTACAGTGTATAGCCTTGGAGAGAATGGACTTTTACGTTATTACCTTTTTTGTCACCCACACTAGTACTTACAGTGTCTGTGAATTTTCTTTTTGTAATAGGAGACTGAAATATAGGCAAAATTTGTAGTTCTTTCTTTTTTTTATTTATTTTATTTATTTCTTTATTAAGTTATATTTAGATATTACAAAATATAGTTTCCTCTTTTTCATATTACTAGATCATAACATTACTCTTTACTGCGCATCCATCTATATTCCTGCGACTACCCAGGAACTTTAGAACTTCAGGGATTTAGAACTTTATTTTTTTACTCTTCTCGTCGTTCGATTTCGTTTCTTTCTCGGGTTTTTCATATCCGATTAGTTTTGTCTCCTCGGAACTGAAAACCTCGGAATCCCGGATACAGCGCATGCGTCCAAGAAACCTAACAAAACATAAAAGAAAACCTTTGAGGATGGAAATTGAAAGCGGAGGGAGGGGAGTCCGAGTGAGCATCTCATCTAAAGATTCTAAAAATTCCATTCTAGAAAGAAAGGATGAAAGTACAGCAGGTTTACTTGGCTAGAAAATAGTTGCAGCTTAATTAAAACCATCAAACACAAAACTTTCTTTCAGAAACTTGAAAATGGCACAGATTCCCCGATTACACAAAAAGCTTCATGAACATTACATAGGGTGATCGTCAAGAGAGGTTGCATGACGTCCGCTAATGGGAGATTAGGGATCTTACAAAACTATGACGGGGAAGGCAACGGGGACGTCTATATCATAGATCATGTGAGCAAAGCAAAGCCTCTGCGCGTGCATCAGGTATTTTTGTAAATTTCTTTGCCGTCCCCGGCTGCACAACTACGACGTAAAATGACCAAATTTTAGGTCGACTGGAGAAGGCACACAGCAAAGTAGTTTAAGGCTCGGAGGTGTTCACCTCTCTTCCAGTATCCTAACTTTCAAGTAACTGGGTGATTTGGAATAACGGCCAAGAAGTTTGAAAAATCTACTTTCTAGTCGGACCGATCCATTGACGTCGCCGTTGTCGAATCGGAGGGTCCCTAAAAAAAAAAAATCAAAGCCGCCAGATTGAAAAGGCCCATGATCAGACCCCAGAGAAAGTTCTTACCCAACAGTCTTGCAAACCAGCCCCTTTTTGCAGATATTGGACAAGTCTTGCTCACTTCTCCTGAACAGATTAAACATGCTTTGAATTGCATTTCCACAAACTGAACCCTCCTCTAACTTGGCCATACAGACACGGGTGAAGCGGCTGATATCAGCTTGTTCTTGGCAGCTGAGTTCCTCATTGGAGTGACATTCACTATCGGAGTCACAGAAAGTACCTACAGAAAACAGCAAAGAAAGTCAATTGATAGACAAACACCTCCTACCTGCAATAATAAATTAGCCTGCGTAGCAAGCGTTTGCAGTTGAGTCATTGCGCGAAAGTTAGAGCGGGAGCAAAAAAAGGCGTTCTCGACGAACTCGCGCGGAAAGGCTTGCTACGCAGGCTAATAATAAATAAACATTAAGTATTTATTAACATATTCTTGTTGAAATTCGTAAATAATATTAATAACTAGAGGGATCATTGATTACGGATCCGCGCTCGTCACTCACGGAAACGAAATCGAGCTGAAAGGAGTTCAGTTTCCCGGCCGAGATGCCCTTGATAAAATCAATAGGGGCGGCTAATCGGCAGTCACCCGTGATACCTCAAACATTTCTGGCTTTGTACCACAGGAACACCAAGATTGGAATGCGTTCTGACGAGCGGGATAATAATAATAATTCCATTATTTACCCTCGGCAGTACTTATAGCAGTAATGCTTGTGAGGCCAAGCAAATACCTGAAACAAATAACTTAAATCAAACATAGCAGGGTTAAGAATCCCAACTGGCTGGAGGCAAACCAGCTGGCTACTGTTTACAAGCGTGGACGAGGATTTGAACTAGTGACTACCGGTGAACAAATCCAGCTAGCGGTCAGGGCGGGACTTGAACTCGGGACCTCCGAATTGCAAGTCCAGGGCTCTAACCACTCGGCCAAAAAACACTGGCTCCTATATCTTATATTTACTTTAGATAAGTTCCTTTTATTCATGAAAAACTTGAAACTGGTTTTCACAAGAAGATAACAACCAACCAACACACCCAAAACTGATATCACAGCCTGGTAGTGATAATGACCTTGCCTGAGTTTCACATGATCGCGTCGTTGGTCATGGGTAGTGAGATTTTAAGCTGTTTCAATTAATATTCCTTTTTCCCTTTTAAAGGAAAGGAAGAAGAGCCCAGGCCAGCTTTGCTGTCCTAGAGACCGGAATTAACACGCCTAGCGTTTCACATGTGGTGGGAGTTGGATTATTAAAAAAAATCGAGAGAGTGTTACATTGTCATGATACTGACCTACATTCTGTGAACTTGCCGAAAAGGCAGGAACACGGTTTCATGGAATAATGACAAACCTGCACTTCCCTCCTCAGCATTTGCTATGCAGCGACCCCAGGTACATCTGTATTTTCCCCCTTTGCTGTCACATTGGTCTTTCTGGGTGCAAGCTTCTCCGGCGTCCAAAAGCTTCTTACAGAATCCGTAGAACGCGTCACAATAAAGGCCTTTCTTGCAATCTTCAGGTTTGCTGCATTTCTGAAATTGGATGACGAAATAACGCTTCAGTAACACAGGGAACATACATATATTTGTGCAATTTATATGCATTGCTGAATGGCAACCACAATTACTTTACACTTCGATTACACAATTCATCAATAAGTCCTGCCTATAAATCCTCACTTGAATAAATAAATAAATAAAATGTCTTTATTTCGCCCGTTATTAACAAAGGTTACAGAGAGTGAAGTGTGCAAATCATGACATCGCACAGATTGTTTACAATAATCATATAAAACCTGATAAAACATTGGACGTGGATCACCCTTGAAGTTAGTCCTGTTTTGGAAGATTACCTATTTTTTTGTTTTATTTTTATTATTCATTGTTCTAGTTTAGTCGACACTTAGACAACGAACACTTCCCGTAATACCTTGGACATTTAATCGTGGCCCCAATGCCATGCAGGCCTAGCGGCTGAATTTCATCCGATTACTTCGAGTCGTTATTACTCCCGTTGTTACTGAGGGAGTAATAACGATTCAGGCTAATGCAGGCCGTTTCAGACACCGCTTTTAACACTTTTCCTGGTTCAAAGGTTGTTCTCTTACTGGACAGTCCGACCGCTAAACTCTTCAAGAGGACACTATCGTAATAGCATAGCAGCTCTACTTACAGCTGCCCTTGACAAAGAAAAAAAAACACATTTAATAAAGTCTGTGACCGCTTACAAAAACCATGGCCATGCATAAGCGGCCAGCTGGGTCTATTTGCGGAGCTTCCATATATACATAGCTAGGCTGGATGTAAGCTAAAAGGGAGCATTGACTGTTAATATTATTCATTGAGTTCAATTCACGTTACTACTAAGTAACAGTTTAATTACATTTGTACAGTTCCCCGTTTGGCTAAAAATACGCTCTCCCTTGCAAGACGTTCATAGTCATCAAGCAACCTCTTCTGACACCCTCGTTCCACCTTAAATACCTGGGCCGGGTTGTTCAAAGCAGGGTTAAGTTAATCAAGAGTTAGTGCAAAATTTGATTTCAGATATGAAAGTTTGAGAAGCAAATTCAGTTGTAATCTTTTTGCCTACAATTTGATGATTGGATACTCTATAAAGAAGAGAGAAAATTATTTGGGAAAATGCTTGTGAACAAAAGAAAAAGAAACCAGGGTTAAAATTTAACCCTGCGTTAGCGCTAATCGGCCCTCGAACCGACTGCTCTGATTTCTCAATCACGGATAAACATGATAGCAATTAGCAGACTGTATTTAACTTAGCAGGTTCTCTGGCAGGTACCAGCTCAAGGCAAGGATAGACCAAAGATGGAACCTCGGACAAATACAATTTTCAATGCTTCGATGATTCTTTTTTTTTTTTACCCTTTACGCGTCAAGGAATCTAATTTTTCGTGTTTGGAATTTCACTGATTGCCATTCTCTAATGCAAACTCAACCTAACAGCTAACTGGAATTCCATGATATATAAAAACAAACGATAAAATGTATATAGACAGCATGATGGGGGATTGACATAACAATATATTTTGGTCCCTCAGAGAGTAAATGAATTTTCTTACTGAATGGACTTAGCTCCGTATTTCGAAATATGGCACAGCTTTAGCAGTCCGTTAGAAGAATTTTTATAGCAGACACATCACTCCGCCGTCATTTGTACAAAAAAAGCTTCTTTCGTTTGCTAACATTTATGAACAGTGCCCAGAACTGAGAAGAATCGATGAAAATAACCCAGAAGTTTACTGAAAGATCGCGCACCTTACTCAAGTTAGGAGCACAAGACAAAGTGGAAAAGAAAACAAAAACCCACCGGCTCTCCCTTAGCATCTTCAAACGCCGGTCCAAATGGTCCAAGCTCGAACTGCATCGAAGGAATCTTAATTTTGCCATTCTTTCCTTTGGACAGCAGCTTATCTTTGTCAAGCGTAGTGAGAGACTGGAAGATTTTAGACACGACGTGGGGCGAACTCTTGTTCTCCGTGGATACTGTCTCCTGTGTCACAGTATACGTCTTGAACGGACCGCGCGTTGAATTTTTTGTCTTGGTCGTGGTCTTATATTTCGTTTTGTCGCCAGGCACGAAGTCGCTAAGTCCTTCAGGCTGTTTTCCTGAGAAGAGATTGTCCAAACGCTCTCTTATGTTTGACAAGATGCCGAAATTCGGTACCGGGATACGAATAGCGAATCCTGGAAAATAGCTCCTGAAGACGGGTTCTTCTTCGGTCTCAACACCATCTTCGCTTTTCACCTCCTTCTCCTTCTCTGACTCATGTTTTTTCGACTTTTTCCCGTCGATTTGAAGAGCGGTCAACGCCAGCACTAGGAGCAGAATTATTGCCTTGTTCATCTCAGTAGTGGAATCCTGTTTCCAGCCCTGATCTAAACACAATGATTTTAAACTTTCAGTTGTTGTTTACTTACGAATCTAAATAAAGGCCAACACGTGGTCTAATGCAATTTGCTAATGGAGGCGCTATTATTTATTAATTTGTTTAGATAATAGCGAAGGAATGACCATTAATGACACTGAACATGTGGTCAACAACCCTAGAACAAAGGGGGGCGACAGGATTTCACAGTATTGTAAAAGCTCTATATATTTTTAGAGCCCTCGACAGAAAAATATTAGAAACTTAACTAGTGTTGTTGGAGGGCCGTGTCCTCTTAGATATGTATTGCCTGTGTTGACTTCAGATTATAGTAAGACAAAATAAACAATAAAATAAATGAAAAGAAAGTGACCTGACAGGTAGAATTTGGTCATGACCTTTTTACCAAAGCGAGAGGTAAAGTGGTCCCACCAAAACACACGGAAATTATGGGTGGGTGGTCTGAGTTTGTGTTGCTCCGATCTCAGTAGGTTCGCTTGTTACCCTTCCAAGATAAACTTTGTCGTATGCGGTTTGGTCGACACGAAGTCTAACTTGGACCGAGGATTAAAACAATAAAACCATTTCATTTAGTTAATGAATGGTTATCGCAGTCATTGTTTAAGACCAGCCAATTTCTCTTTTAATTATCCTTTTAATACCCACCTCGTTAATGTTTGATGTACGTTTTAGGATAATTGGTTAGCCGGTTAGGTCATTTGGTAATCAACTGCTCCGAGTTAGTTTGGAAAATTGGCCGGTAAAAAGACTCCATTCAGGAGATGGGATCGAGATTGCGGAATACTGCTACAGCCATAAACAGCACACAACTGACTGAAAAAACCGAGTCAACATAATTATAGTATTTCTATACAACTAGCCATAACCACAGTCTTTCACATTTCAAAGCATTTCACCAGTTAATAAGGTCGTATCCCAAATTATTTGTTCCCAGTTGACAGGGAGATAAAATGGTTCGAGACTCCGAGGCGAGTTAACGAACCCCCTCACCAACTCCCTCGCTGATGGGACGATCTGCCGTCAAGTACACAAAGCACGCGACATTGTTCAGGACTCTATTTTCAGTAAAAAAAAAGACGCTCAACTTTAATTTCTTTTCACACACTAGGGAGGAGTTTCTGATTTTATTGTTGTATTCTACACACAAATATACGCAAAAACCCTTATCTTAATCTTACAGTTCACCAGTTTTCAAAATTATCGGCTGCCTCTACACGCGATGGAGATGACAAGACAAATTTTACATCTTACTCTCAGAGAGGCCATAAAATAACATCTTGTACTGAGAACATGTCACTCAACTTTTCTCTAAATAAACAAGAATTGAACAGCACTTATATACAGCTGATGCAACTGCATTTAGATAGTACAAACACCTGTATTTGTACTGCTTAATCCTATAAACCTCAATATCCAATTCTTGTTAGCGATCTCCTTAATAATTATGGAGGATTGGCATGTGAATATATTTACTGTAATTATTTCTTAGAATTAGTGGAGATAACTTTTTAAAAGGTAAACGATAAGTTTTGTTTTCCCTCGACCCCTGACTCTCGGGAAAACAAAACTAACTGTTTCCCTCGGGATCTGACATTAAGTGTATCATGTTCTCTTAAATAAAACTCAAGAAATCTACAGGTATCCTATACACTATGATGAATTTTCTGTTAAATTAATGAGCTTTCTTTGAAGACGCTCTTGCTGGAGTATAATGTATTTTCTGTTAAATAAAGGAGCTGTCTTTGAAGACGCTCTTGCTGAAGTCTAATGTATTTTCTGTTAAATTAATGAGCTGTCTTTCAATACGCTTCTGCTGGAGTCTATTTCTTCCAGTTGTTAAACCAATCAAATGGTGACTCAGCAGGCGATGTATCCTCCACACTGCCTTCCTTCAAACACTTGTATTTGAAGAATACTGCAAAACCACTACAGAAGATAAACAAAATATTATAATCCTTAAAAGAAAAGACACTTCCCCAGTTTATAAAACTTTTGACTGGAACCATAGCAAAAATAAGTCAACATGGCTGGAAATAAACCCACAAAATCAGTTAAGTTGCCAAGTTTGAAACTGGTTTGATGAAAACTAGAAAGATATAGCTTCGCAAAATCGTGGAATTTTACAGACGTTTGTATGATTGGGGGTAAGTCCCCACCATAGACACATCTGCAAAACTTTGCAGCTTTGTGGAGCAATATATTAGCTCTCCCAGGCTTAACCCAGGATTTAGGCTAACTGTGCTTCTAAAAACTTGATCTAGGTGTATCTACCTTGTTCGTTTGCAACTCAGACCTTCCATGCATTTAGGGCGGCGTCTGTCAAACATTTCCATGGTGCATGATTCTCCCTCCTTTCTAAGTTTTTCACACTTTCCACCATCAAATACATTGTATGAACAGAACAGACCTGCATTGCACTGGCTGTCATCATCGCAAGGGGATTTTGCAAGGCCAGTGCGTTCTAAAAACAATGATTATAAACAAATAATAATATTGCTAAATTCAAAAAAATCGGCAATGAAGAAAGTCAAAAGTTGTAAGACGAGACCTAAAATGACTATAGCCCTAAAATTGTAGTCATAGGTGCATGACAAAATTATCATTCGATTACAAGCAGCAAAGCAGTGAGGTAAATATCTACCACTTAATGAGGTATTAAAAAACCAACTACATGGCTGACAGTGACACGTACAACTTTGTTAATTCTAAAAGCCATGCTGGGAAGAAACCTCTGCTCACTGGTTGCTATCACTTTCACTAATACTGAGATGAAAAATAATATTGTTTTTGTTTTATTATAAAGATTTTACCCCTTTGCACAAGCTGAACAACTGAATGGACTAACAAAGTACTTTAATTTATTTATCAAATGCTCAGAAAACTTAATTTCCTGTGTGCTGGCTGCATGAGGTGAATAGAACCTGGCTAATCACCTCTGACCCAACCAATCAACATTCACAAAAAGCACTTTTTGATCACATTGTGTGGTACATTGTATACTAACTACTGTCTATTTACTTGGTTCAGACTTGCACCAGCCAAGCTTGCAGACTTTATCTCCACAACACTGATCACTGCTGAAACATCCTGAGCCATCGATGCACTGTTGACACTGAAGTCTGAATTTGCTGCAGAACTTTTTGTCACCACAGTCTTGGTTTTTGGTGCACTCAGCCTAGAATAAAGACAACAAAAAATTTTCACGTACTGTGTAAATATCATCTCTACATAGCCTCAAACGTTTATGATTTGCATTGAATATAAAATGAGTTTACCGCTATTTAGTACCCGTGACAATTCATACCCAAGTCCATTCATACCCAAGTTCGGTCGATTTCATACCCATGTTCATTAAGGTCCCTTCAACATATCTAGACCAGTGGCCTGCTTTAAGCACTAACTTCCCACCAGAGAACACTTGCTCCCTGACTACCAGTCTTAGTTGCTTTGTATTCAGTCTTTTAAATTATTACTTATCCTTATTTAGACCAACAAGCACACAAAGTTCAACATAATTTCATATTTTTAGTCATTGTTAACTTAATCTACACAGAATAGATCACCAAAACATTTATTGAATGTTTTTGAGTAACACCTGTTTTGTGCCTTAAAGAATGAAGTATATTTGTTATTGGTAAAATCCAACTAGTGGTCTATTATCAATGCTGTGTTCTGGTTGGTTGAGCTACTACTAGGGTATAATTTTTTTTATGTTATAGCCCACAAGTGGCGAAAAGCGCCGGCTTTGCAAACCAAAACAATGGCGGCTGAATCACGTTTTGCTAGCTAAAGTTGTTTTGTCTCGATATTTTTGACCAACTAGTTGGATTTTACTAAAACGATCATTCCCCTTGCCCTCATGGCCTCTGAGTCAATAGCCCATTGACTATTGACTCTGAGAACCCATTAGGGTTCGAGGAATAATTGTCCATTAGTAAAATCCAACTAGTGACCAGTCCATTATCAATGCTGCGTTCCGATTAGTTGAGCTACTACTAGGCTACATGTTACAGCCCACTTCTAACTTTGCTAAAGTTGTTTTGTCCCGATATTTTTGACAAGCTAGTTGGCTTTTACTAAAACAAATTATTCCTCTCGCCCTCATGGCCTCTGAGTCAATAGCCCATTTGGCCTTCGGCCTCATGGGCTGTTGACTCAGAGCCCATTCAGGCTCGAGGAATAATTGTTAATTACCGGGTATACATTAATTTTTTATAGCGCACAATTTCGGAATGTGGCTTAAAGAACAAGGTATATTCATGGGTAGCACGCTTTTATTATTATTGAGTTGTAATCACTTTGCTATCTTTATGTGTACAAATTTACTCGAATGCGGGTGCCAATTGACCCAAATGTGAGTACAAATTAGCCCTTTGCAGGTTTCCATTCATGTGGATGGAAAATGGGTATATTGGGACGCAAAAGTTGCATTGGAGCAAGACCAACAAAAGGCATGCATAATTTTAAACGGTAATTTCCTTTGTTTGTCTTGTCGCAGTGCGACGTTTGCGTCCCAATGTGCCGGTTTTGTACCACGTGAATGGAAACCTGCAAAGGGCCTATTATTGACTGGGTAGGAATCGACTGGGTACTACATGACGGGCTTAATTTTTTTGCATACATCCACAGTTGTGGAGAAAAGTACGACGGGGTTACATGCATTAAAAATGTACAGGAATATGTAGAACGTACATATATTGAACGATTTGAAATTTGCACGCAAACCAGGAGCAGACTCAAGACTCGCGATTTTTGCCCCGTTGATCCTGGTGACCATTTCAATGAGCTTATTAAGTTAAAACACGATTAAAAGAATTGAAATCGCTCTTTGAGATACTAACTCTGGTGGTATATTTTGTAAACAAAATTATACCTGCATCCCTTTTCCGTTGGTTTTCACCTTTCGACGAATCGTTCCATTCGCATAACGAAACACTTCGATGGTTTTGCTACTTGAAGTTTCGTTTCCGCCGGCGGGCTTCTTCTTCTCGTGTATCTTCGTTATTTCGTGAGTTCCATACTTGTCCGTCTTTTGCTCGTGTTCTTCGACTTTGATCTCAAACGAATCTGATGAATCAGAGCTTGAGGTAGAACTGGAGCTTGAACTAGAGCTTGAACTGAAACTTGATGAACTAGAACTTGAACTGTGGCTCGAGTCCGATCTTTTGTTGGCACCTTCGTCCCAAAAGTCGACGTCGTTCTCAAACGTGGAAAAGTGAGGTAAGTCAATCGCCCAATTATGAACCAAAAGGGTCGCAAAGAAAAGAAATATCGTCGATCTCCTCATTTTAGGAGGCGAAGAATATCTCTCTATGGAGGCAACCGTCTCAAAACAACGTCTACGTAGTCAATACTTTACACTGTATGTAAGAAGTCATGGAAACCGTCCCACTTGCAAGGCCCCGGATGTTAGACTTTAATAAGGGAAGGCAGCCAACCAGAGCGCGCGTACTAATTTGATTGTCAAAAGTGACTGCAGGTTGACATATTCTTTCACATTCTACCTGTACATGGTTGATTAACTTGGATGAAAAAAACAAACAAAAAAACTTATCTGAATTCTAGAGCTTCAAAAACACTTTTTTTTATTGAATCGGTAATGCCATATCAGAGGCATAGAGTTGCATAGCAGAAAAGTTGAGTCGGCATTCGGATAGCCTGCGAAAACATCCCAGCGGCGAAGAGCGAGGAGAAACGGATGTTTTCGCAGGCTAGCATTCGGAAAGACAAGAGACACGTTCTTTCTCGTCTATTGAATCAGGCTACTGATTGTAATTTAGCCCCACGGAAGGTAAGCGCGAATTCCGAAATCCGGGAAATTTTTGCTTGCGGAATCCAGAATCCTTGGCTTTCAAATTCGTAATTCAGCTCAGGGAATCCGGAATCTCCAGAACGATTGGAACCCGGAGTCTAAGATCCACTGACAGGGATTCCGGAATCTAGTACATAGAATCCACAACATGGAATCCAGAATCCAAGACTGTCTTGAATTATAAATACCTTCTCGGCATGAATAAGGGGAAGGGGAAGGGGGTGGGTAGACTCGAGTGTCTCCCTCTCGCGCGCCCGTTCTTTCTTTCACCAAATACTTCCAACTTTACATCCCCCCCGCCCCACCCCCCCTAGGGGGTGAGGGGGAGGAATGGCTTGGTAGTGGGGGCTGCGCAAAGAAAAGCGAGCAAGAAAAAAGAGCGATGGTGATAGTCTGTTTACTTTTTTCACATCGTGATACAGCACTCAACATTATCATAACAATTCCTCGGGACGTAGTGTCCAACAGACGCAAACGTGCTGTCTACAGAAAGAGAAAAATGCGCTTGTGAGCGAAAATCATGACACAACACAAAGGGCAATCAAACTAACAACAGGCAGCTAACAACTTGAAAAGGTAGGCCTTTATTACATGCAAAAATAAATGATTGTTAAGTCTATCAAAAAGCAGTTTCATTGTAATTACTGACTAACTTCAACTGCTAATTTGTTAAAAGAGGCTGAAAAAGAAACTACACCTCTTATTTGTTTTCAAAATCGATTTAAAACGTATACAATCAATTAAGGAAAGGACAATGACCACTAAAATGATTATAAACTGACGACAATCTGAATACTCGACGAAAAATATGGGACTACCATTACTATAAAAGGCCGACACTTTTGGTTGAACTTAATCATGATGGTTCTTAAATTTGCTACAACATGTCATATGGCATGGACGTTTCCCCCTTGTAGACTACACATAGTTGGCAAATGCAGCTTCTATTTCTTGAACACACTGCTAATTTACCTTGGGTCAAGCGATAAATACAAAAATACTATACACATTCCCTATGCCTACAATTTCTGTTCGCCACGGTTCGATAAACGACGAATGCGAGGATACATGAATATTTAACTTAATTAACATTTAAATTCTGTGAAGTGAGATTCAAAACTGCTTGCTTTAGATGCCACATTTCTTAGAAATAAATTTAGCAACATTTTTCTCTCTTTGACGTATATGTCGATTACACACGTTGTCACTTTAGGTACGCACTAAAAACCCGGAACACCGGAAGAACCCGGAATACCCTCCAGCACTCGTAAGACCCGGCAAGAGATAGAATGAAAAAGAGAGAGACCTACCCCCTAATCCTTGTTAACTGCTCTTTCTGTTTGTTTTATTCCTTTCACGTGTTCTAGTGTGTCTAGTGTTCCGGGTTTTAGTAAGTGCGGCCATTTTACAACACTTCACACAAACTATCTTGTGGATGACTGTGATATTCATTGTTAAAGTTCCCAACCACATTATTTATTATTGTTTGCTTTCCGGACCATATTAAATTCCCAGAAAAACTGACTTTTTCCCAATTACTGTATACTTAGACTACGAGCAATCATGCATGTTTTTTTTCATCGGATCGATATAAAGCAATAAAAGACGTAAAGGCAAAAGCCAGAAGGAGCGAGGTGAGCAACCCAGAAAACAAGAAAGAGTGTATAAGTATTTCTATTATTCTCGGTCCTCCGCCTTCGTTCCTCGCAGCTTCTCACTCACAACCGCGCACTTTTTGCGCTAAAGATTGTGTATAGTAAAAGTACGAGAGTCTAATGAATCCCGCAGGATTGTGATACAAATGTATAAGCAATGGTTCGAATTTCTCCTTGGTGAAACCTTTATCTTCCTTTTATTGTGTATACTAATTGTTGATCATGATTTTGAAACAAGGGAAAAATTGAACCAACGCGTATACTTAAAAAAAGTATGTTTATCAGTGTTGGAATGAATAACATGAAACGCATGCGTGCTAGTGCCATGATAAAAGGCGATCCTAAATAGATACAATGACATATTCAAAGTTTGCGGCAACCGACGAATTTGATTCGTTTCTTTTCTCATTGTAGACTGTCGACAAAAACATTAATAGACCGGATTTAGAGTCACGTTTACGGCAAACGACAAACGTAAGTTTGTACCACGTGACCAAGATTTTCCTTTTGCTTGCCGTTCACTGTCATTATAACTACACGAACATCGGTAGAATCACGCCAGTTCTATCCATAAGAATTGTTTTGAGCTGTTTTTAGCTGCTCATTTCCTGTTTTGAATCTCACTTTTGCCGTTTGCCGTAACCGTGACTCTAAATCTCTCTAATATCTTTGTTTGAGCACTCCACAGCAAATGGTCTTTTTGAGAATCTGTGGATTCTCCCAACATTACGTGGACTGAAGTAAAACGCAGAAAGCCAAATTTGATTTGTCTCTTTTCTTAGAGTGTAGCATGTCAACAAAAACCATTAATATCTAAGTTGCACTTCCCCATCATACCATTGTATTCTTTCTGAGATCGTGGTGGAAAATCGGCGCGCTCTCGCACCATGGCGGAAACTGAAGCAGCTACACAGCAAGCCGTAAACGTCAACAGTTTGATTCCAGAGGTTGAGAAAGTTTTGCTATGGCATTTTCTAGAGTCATTCTATGTCCCAAACTTTTAACACCTAACTCTCTCAGTTCGGACTTTTTAAGGTCAGGCAGATGAATTCCTTGGATGTCGTTCTCTATGAACGTTTCCTTGTACTGTGACATTTGTATAGAATCCAGCCAGTTACAGACGTCACTGCAGTCCCAGTCTAACACTGCCTTCTCCATCTGAGATTCCCTGAAAGAAATCCGACAGAGAAAAAGAACTTCAGTGCAGTAGAAATGCCCACAAAAACTAAATGGGATCTATCCACAAAACTGAACCAATCACAGACGACCATCTGATGTAAATGAGAACAGGCTAACCAGCCGATTTTATCCAATATTGAATACTAGTAGTAAGCGACGTTGCGATCTACATCTCAAGTCACATCGTGAGAAAAACGATGATGCTTTCTATTTATCAGAATGTATATTGTTATCACAGATGTCATACGTAACAGGTGTTTAAACAACAAAATAGTCCTATTTTTCAACTTGGAATTTATTTAATAAATAAATAAATAAATAAAATGGGATCAAGATCACACCAAGGTTTTAAAGTATAATACGGCACAGAAGCCAGACTATGTATACTCACTTCGGCTTAGCATATCCACTGAATATCGACGAAATGTCTGTATAGCCGACAGCACCCTGGAAAGGGAAAAACAATTTCAATGATATCAACCACATCTATCTCCATAGTATAGTTCGCTCGCCTCCCTCCCTCGATTTCAAGCAAGATTAACCATATTTAAATAAGCAAGATTCCTCGACTAGATCTAAGCCCAATTTAATTACACAAAAACCAGTGAAAAACCAAGTGAGTTTTCGCGTGAAAACATGGAAATAACACGCTATATTCATACGTCAAGATCACGCAGCCAAAAAATATTTTAGTGAAATAGTTTGGTATTTATAATTGGTGTTAATTCAATAAATAGAACATTACATGGCCCTGCGGAGATACGAAATTTCTCTTCTCGTGTTGAAAAACATTTCACAAATGAGCCGGCGAACCAGTGAAATTGTTCAACAAGAGAAGAGAAATTTCGTATCTTCGTGCGGCCATGTAATGTCCTCTGTACATTATTTTAAACAAATGATCCCCCCCCCTTTTTTTGGAAAAGTTCGGACTCGCGGCAAGCGTTTTAAAACAATTACTTTACCTTATCGCTATCGTCGCTTCTTGCAGATGATGGTGTACTGTCGGCGTTATCTTCTTCTGGGGTATTTAAAGACACCTTGGGCTCCCTTGGGGAAAACTCTGGTGGGGGAGGTAGCGGAGGGGAATCTAATGCCGTGTATGGTTCATCGGCATCTGTAAATGACAGTGGCGGAGGTAATCCAACGCTGTTATCCCCGTTATCCGAATTCACTAGTACAACAGTGTTCGATACAGTATCGGTTTCTTGCACGTTTCCTTCCTTTTTAAGAGGCACGTTTTCGGGCGTGCCTTTTCTCACAGTAGAATCGGCTATATTTATTTTGACAGGTTCAATGGGATCAATATCATTGTAGTCAGTTTGGGGAGAAGTTCTCGTTGGGTTCGGCGATTCCGCGGGCTTCTTTGTCTCGAAAGTCAGCTGAATTTTAAAGCCTTTCTTGGTCGTAATAGTCTTGTTAAACTTTTCAGTTTCAGACGCTTTCGGAATGCTCTCCTCCAACTGAGACTGTGAGCTACTCTCGTACCATGCCTTAGGGGACGCATTTTCAACCTTCTCTTGATGATCTGCAGGCCATACAGGTGCAGGAGGAACAAAAACGTCTGAGCTCGAGTCACTGCCACTATTCCAAGAATTCAAACTCCAGTTTTCGCTCTCCGCTTCCTTCCGAATCACTTCATCTAATAACATTACAGTTCTGTCCTCCTCGGACAACACTGGAGCAGGAACGTCGAAAGGAACGCTACGACCCGTTTCTCTCCCGTGTGCGCTATGCCTCAAATCCGGTGACGTAAAACGTTTCTTGGGCGCTACAGGAGGCGAAGGCTTTCCACGAGAATTTACGCCTCTTGCCTCCAGATTTAATCCTTGGTTAAGAGTCTTTTCAGAAGAACTGGGCCGTCTCTCGACACCAGCTTTGTTTACCCTTTGCAAGGTAGATGACGTCACACTCAACTCAGTATCTGAATGAGGCTGGGCTGAAATGCGAGCTGCGCGCGCAGCAATAGCCTTGGCCAGAAGATTGCTGTGTTCATCGGCCAAATTTCGTGAGTCACCAGGACCCGCCGGTGCGGGATGCTTTCTTACTGGTGATTCAGCCTTGGAAACATTGCTGTCGTCTTTCACCGCTGATTTAAGCTTTAATTTACTCGCGGCCAACGCATCCGTTGTGATTAATCCAGTGGTAGCAGGTGTCCCAGGAGTGTCCTTTTTCGCTGTAATTGGAAGAGTCACTGGTGGCGGGGGTGGAACCGGGCTACTGGTTGAGCTAGCAAGGGCGCTAAGCTGGATCTGAGACGGAGGGGGTGGGGGTGGTGTAGGTGCAGCGAGCACTGCATTACTGCTAACGATGCGCTCAACACTAACTGGTTCTGACATCTGCCTCTCTAGCTTGTCACTTTTTAATAAAGTCGTTTGACGTTTAGCCTCGGAGGAATCAAGCGAGAACTGTCTGTTCATGTCGCGTGTCTGGGAGGTTGGGTTTGTGCTGCGACTATAGACAACATTTGACGAAGCCAAGCCAAGCCCGTCCTTTTCCGAATCGTTACGTTCAACTTTCGAGGAAGAGCTGACCGTTTGTGAATTTATAAGCGTCTTTTCTCTGTCACTTATAGGTTTTTTGGGCGAGCGTGTGTCAAAATCAAACCGTCCGTTCTTTAACGGTGATTTACACCCGCTCTCTTCTTCAATGAATGTCTCTTCGAGAGAGCTCATTATTTCCGTACGAACCTTCTCCGACGCTTCCAACTTCTTCCGGGGATTGGCTTTTGTCGGAGCACTAGATCTCCTTTCCTTGCGTTCCGTTAATCTGAACGAAGAATCAACACTATCCGGAGCCGAATATTTCCTACTCCTTTGAACAGGTTCCATTTCCGTGTCCGAGGACTGCTGACTCATCCGCTCGGCTCGAGCGGCCACTGCTTCCTGCAAGGCATCAGATAAACTAGGTTTTCGCGGCACAGGGGGTTTCTCCGGAGGCCGGGGTAAGCTTGTTTGAGCTCCTGTGCCCGTTTCGAACACCTCTACAGGCGTTGCCACAACTGTTAGCTCGGATTTACTTTGGGATGAGTCCGCTCCTACGACGGTGGCTACAACTGTTTGAAGTTCGTTACCGCTTGGCACAGGTGAATCTGGTCCAACGTAACTGAATGGTCTATTATATGCCATGCTACGATCCGCCTCATGCGGAAGAGAGCCATACCCGTTCATGCCATCAGCGTGGTTAACAGTTTTGTCTAAATTCGGTGTTGATTTGTAGGTCGAAGGATGTTTTGAAAGAGAGCCATTATCGATGGACATAGAGCGCGGGATCCTCAGGTCACCAGGAACATGTGGGGTGGCCACAGGGATGACAGTTGAGACAGGGCGCTTGTTTAACACTGCGTCGTACGTTGGAGGCACGACGCTCTGCATTGAATGCGCTCTCTCACCAAAAGGAGCCCTCCCTGTACTGAGGTCAGTGGTTGACTTTCCGCGCAGCTTGTTTATGTTTTGGGCTTTTAGCTGTACACCAACCGGTCTACGAGAGTGAGGCTTCTGTCGCTGAAGAGTAGACCAGCGGTTCTCTTTTGACACTGTAATGACGCTGTCTACTCGGTAGGAAGAGGGGTCTTCGTAGCTGCTGTCGCCCATACTCATTTCTGTAGAAAAAAGAAACAAACAATAATAATCAACTTCATTCAAAACAGAGGGTATACACACAACGCCAAACTGATAAACAATTGGTTCTCGGCTCCGAAATGTACAGCTACCTAAGATGGTGAAATCTAATGACAAGACTACTCATCCGAGGGCAAATTTAGGTTTTAAGGGCCTGGTAACACGGAGGTGGGGGACCCCAGATAGGTGAGGTAGCCCACTTAGGTGGGGTAACCCGCCTGTTCGTATAACCTCTCAAAATGGTCATCCCACCTATCATGTAAACATGATCAAATTAAAATGAGATTTTATATGGACAGGCGGGTTAACTCACCTACCTGGGGTCTCCTTCTCCCATGTAAACAGGCCCTTATACTCTCTTATATTCTCTTGACACGAACTACAAGAAAGCTACCAGAAAAGAAGCTCATAAATGTGTCAAGTCAAGGATATCAATAGGGCCCTTGGGGGCGGGGGTGGGTTGGGTTTTTTCAGACTACCAGAAATGCGCACGCCCATGCAACAATAACAAAACTGTCAAATCTTCACGGGTCGGTCACAGGGCCACGTTTTTGTCCTTACCACATTTTGACGTCATCTGCGATATAGGCTGATTTAGCAACAGAACGCGAACGTCAGTTGACGACGGCGCGCGCAAATTAAACAGCTAGCTTGACCAATGGCACAACGGCAAATTCGGCACCGGAAGACGTGTTTTAGTCCTTTCCGCGCGTTTTGCCGTCGTCAACTGACGTTTTCGTCCTGTTGCTACTGAGCAGGCGTGCGAAAACATAGAACCTACTATTTGTTAATTAACTGATAATTATTGACCCAAATTGGCTGTGAAGAATGAAAAATCGACGGAATAGCAGTTATTGTATTCCAGCATGCGGTCAATGCGGTCATGCGGCATGCAACCCGGTTCCCTGGGCCCGGTTGCATAAAACGCCCGTAACAACTACGGCTATACGTACGTGCACTCGTAACTTAAGCGAGTTGCATTAAATCATTTACGTGGTCCACTTAGGAAATTCACTTAAGTGGCTGCACGTACGATTTTCGTAAGTGTTCACTTAAGTGTCGTTTATGGAACAGAAATTGCGGGTGTTGTATAAGACGTTTTTTACGGGAAAAACAGCATGTAAATTTAGGGGACCTATGTAGATCCCGTATCCTTACTGTTATTACTAAAATTAAAGAGATCTATTACTGAGAAGTGAAAAGAAAATAGCTTTCTCTTTACTTAATTAGTTCTTACGCACTTTATTAACCTCCAATGTACACTCTAAAGCCGTCGTTGAGAAAAAAGAAGAAGAATAATCATTTCGGTAGATATTGAAGTAAAATAAGGATTGCATGCAAATTTTATTTCAATGAGAGACTTACAAGTGTTAGAAACGACTAGACACTTTCTTTACTTTCACCAATGGTTAGCTTAAAAAATAGAATGAGTCATTCTAATAAAGTACTACATCAAAGTTACGTGTGCCCTTAAGTGAGCCCGCAAGTTACCACGTAAAACAATAAATTACTAGAGTGCTAAGTGTGTTCCATGCAACACCCGTACGTGTACCCATACCGGATTCGTAAGCGACGAACTTAAGTGGGCACTTAAGTGCAGGTTTTATGCAAACGGGCCCAGGGTTTCATGTAAACAAAGTTTACATGAAAGCGTTATTTTACTTCAATATCCACTGGAAATGTTTGTTGTTGTTCTTTTTTCTTAACGACGGCTTTAAATTGTACATCAGAGGTTAACAAAGCGCATAAGAACGGAATTACGTAAAGAAACAACATTTTCTTTTACTTCTCAGTAAAAGATCTCGTTAACTTTAGTAAAAACAACAGGGATACGGGACCTACATAGCTGCCGTAAATTTACGTCTTAATTTTCCCGTAAAAAAGGTTTTATGCAACACCCGCAATTTCCGTTGCATACATGACACTTAAGTGGATACTTACGAAAATCGTAAGTGCAGCCACTTAAGTGAAATCCCTAAGTGGACCACGTAAGTGAGTTAATGCAACTGACTTAATAAGTTACGAGTACACGTACGTATACCCGTAACTGTTACGGGCGTTTTATGCAACCGGTCCCTGGTTCGTGCAAAACGGAACGACTCGTTTGCCTCTTTTCCATTTCTAATTTGCTATATACAGCCATTCCCTATTCACGAACGAGCTTCTAATACGGATGTAGTGAATAAAATGACAGGATGGCTACTAACCATAAAGCGACGGTCGACTGGACGAGAGTCTACTCATGCGACCAAGTGTCAGTGTTGTAGATGGATCACGGTCAGGGGGAGGCGGTGGGTGTCTGAAACCTTCAAAATCACAATGTATGACATGTAAGCAAAGTTGTGCATAATCATTCTTGCAATACAGGGGCTGTTTACAGTGGGGGGAGGAAGATCCTAGCACTACAAGGTGTCCCAAAAGTTCGTTACTCTAATTTCAAGCACTATAACTTTTGTGCCAAACGTTACTTTAACATGAAATTTCGCGAAGATGTTTATTTCTCTATCGACTACATGTATTCAGAATTTCAGGAACTGGCATGCCTTTTTTTTCGCACAATCTGTAGCCGTTGCGGCATGGAGTCAGATGATCCATTTTGAGGTTTTTTATCACCTGGTGCGCAACAGCCAGTTCAACCCTCAAACAATATTTGTTTAGTTTAGGAAGCTAAAAAATATATGTATATATATTTTATGCATTCATCCGAAAAAGATAATCATCCCAGCTCCCTTCCACAACAAGGCTTTTGTACTTCTTTACAAATTTGAGACGAGCTGAGCGTTACTTGGCAGACTAAGCCGAGGTTTTTTTTTTGTTTGCCATCGCAGGGGCCTCTAATTTTAAAACATTCGCTTTTCATGACCCTTTCTGGACTTGGCTTCCTCGTCGAGTCTCCTATTTTGTATCTAGCCTTCCTTAAAACTATTTTAGCTGCTTTATTCAGGACTTTTGGTCTTCCCCTTCGTTTCTTGCCTTCAAAACCTTCATTTCTCAACGATCATTTTACCACCCAACATTCGCATTTTTCCAGTTTTTTTAGCCGTTTCTACGACCGATAAGCCAGTACATCGAGGTATACATGCTTATGCCATCACATAGCTGAACGGTTTTGTGTTAAGGGGGTGTTCTCTTTCATTATATTCACAAAAAACAAGGAAGGAGTTCGAGCAATTCGTGCTACTGAATACAAAAAATATGGGGCTGGAAAATATACTCGCGCACGAGCACCTTTGGCGCGGAAGCACACAAATCGAATATTCAAGTCAAAAGATGACACAACAAGTACAAATAAATAAATAAATATCGTTTATTCCACTCTCTTGAATTAACAAGCAGTTATAAATAATAATAATGCTACATTAAAGCTATGTATGAATTATACTACTTCAAAACTACTCAAAAAGATAATCATGACGGATACATAAACGACAAACATTTAAACTGAAAGTAAAAAGTTCTCTGATCTCCTAGTTCTCGTGAACTTATTGAATGGTCGAGAAGAACCAGGTCTAAGGTTATAAGGATTACTGAGTTCTTTGTACAGCAGTGGACACCAAGCAGGATAATGGGTGGTCACGGGTGTCTGTCATCTCAGCCATAAATTTACGACATAGGAGCTCGCGTCTGTTGGAGAGTGTAGTTTCGTTGACTAACGACAACGCTTGACTGGGCGAACTGTTAGGATATATGATTATAAAGGCCCTTTTTTGCACGGACTCTATTCTATCTGACAGATAGTCAGGAATGTCTTGCCACACATGCACGGCATATTCTAAAATCGGTCTAACACTACTTCTAAAGACTTTCAACATGTCTTGTTCTTGCACGCCAGCTCGCTTTAATAGTCCGAGGGCGTAAAGTTTCTTTGATGCCTTAGCTGTTGTTGCAGTTCCATTTCAAGTTCTCATCAATTATTACTCCAAGGAATTTGTATGATAAAATGCTTTCTACTATTTGGTTTCCTATATACAGGGGTCTCATTACCGTGTTCGGATTTCCCATAAAGTTCACAACAATCTCCTTACATTTTTTTGGGTTAAGCCTCATCCTGTCTTCTATACAATAATTATGTATATCTCTAAGTATGAAATAGTGAATTAGACTGAAAGACACTTGTTCAAACGATTTGCTTACTTACTGAAATACAGACTTATAAAGTAGAGGAACGAACTTTTGGGACACCCTGTGGAAGATCCCAGAAGGTGGATCATCCAAATGCTTTCTGTATTCACTGTTACATGCAAAGGGTTGTTCTTCCTAGCTGAGAGGCAGGAGGTTCCTAGTACGAGGAAGATCCTAACACCATATGACCTGTTTTCGTGGGAAGATCCCAGTACTACAGACAAACCAGACAAAAAAATGGCGGCGGGTCGTTCAGTGGGTAACCACGGCAATAAAGGCTTCTTCTTCTCTCCTCTTTTTTTAAAGACGAAGTTTACGAAAAATAATGGACCACTTCCTGAGGCCCTTTTCTTTAAGCGCTGGCGTTCAAGTGATTCACAGTTAGTTTCTAAAGCGCCCTGGTTTAACAGTTTGAGCAGCGTGATCCCGCGCCTTGTTTTGTTCTTTTCTTTCTTTGGTTCGATAGACCCACCAACTCTTGCCAAGTTTTAAACAAGGCGTTTTACTTCTGAAATTTAATAAACCAAAAGTGCATGGTGTGAATTAGAAATAGGCCACTTCCGAGTTACCTCTAAGTGCGGAGCCATTGATATAAAACTGACTTTTATTCTCATGCAAATTTCCACAACAAAGGTTTTGCAATTACTGAGAGTTTTTGGAACTCGGGAATGGCCTATTGAGTAGTGAGGTACAAAGTGGAGGAGTGTAAAACGATATTCGAGTTTGGTTAAGAAAAAAATGCAGAAAGTGGGAGCATACCAAATTCTGGTCAGCTGTAGGTCAAGCCTCTACTTTTGCTCTTAGCTCCTCACGCAATTCCTTTTTGTTAAAAAACTTCAGGTCTGAGCACAAAATTTAACGCTTACAATAACTGCTGATAGAATGTACTCTACCTTGCCCGTTCACATGGTCTATTCCGTTAATGGAAGGACTTGTCTCCTTGGTTACCGTTACTATTTTTAGAGTAACTGATTCACCACTCTTTTTTATAAGATCCACCACGTGGCCATGAGTTGCAGCGGTAACATCCTCGCTGTTAACCTGAAACAATTCGGTTTGGAAATAAGAAACCTATCGCCGATCTTTGTGCTATTTTCTGCTGTATCTGAAAACAGCGCTTACTTTCGATTTCAATGTACAGGTTCAGTCTCGTCGACTGAGTGAAAAGGATACAAAGAAAAAAGCCGGGGGGGGGGGTACTCCTGGGAATTCTTGGTGGGGGTTGTGCCACCCGGTCCTCCAAACCTTGACCCTATTTCAGACCCAAAAATGTCATTTTCCACACCCGTTTTTTTAGACCTGACCCATAAAATCCATACCCGTTTTCAGACCTGGCCTTTAGGAAGAAATAAATGTTATCATAACTAAGATTGGAGCGCAAAGAAAAAAATTCTTCAAATCCATTTCGAATGCGCATACCTTAGTTGTATGAAAATTCGCGTAATACTAGAATTCGCGCAGCGCTGGGTGCGCCAATTTTAGTACTGCGCGAATTATAAGCCGCGCGAAAAGCTTCATGGTGTAATATGAGACACTCCCTGTTAATAATGCAAATCAGTTGATTTATTAACGCATATAGACATTTGACATATGTTTTAAGTTGAATTTTGCTCACATTACGTAATTTACATAGTTTCGAAGGCATTTTTTGAGAGCCACCTAATCGCTTTTAGATTAGGTTTTGAGAAATATTGTAGTATTTGTTGATAAAAAACACTCATTATAAATGCGTTAATTGTTGACAGTTCTATTAAACAAACCAAAAAGAACGAACACGGAAAATTACTTGCGTGAATAAGTTTTAACAAGGTGCGCGAAATTCAAGCTGAGCGATAATGAGTACGACGCGAATTTTAAAACAAGTAAGGTATTTCTCTTTCCTTCTTACTCATTTAAAATTGAAGCGATAAATTCGTTCATACACTCCCGTAGTTCCCTCAAACCCTATACCCGATTCCAGAGCAAAATGGGCAAAGTGGATAGATAGATAGATAGATAATCTTTATTTATCCACGGTACAAAATTCGTCAGCTTTAAAAATGCCTAATACTAATATAATAAAAATATTTAAATAAAAAAGCTGCTTTCCACGAATGCCGTGCCTTACAGTTCTTTGAGTAGTCGTTTAAATTGCCCGTTTTCAGACCAAAACGGCGCAAAAACCCTACCAGATAGGGTGGGGCGGGGAGGGGCGGTGCATACCTATATAGGTTACACAATGGAGAACCGCCCCACCCCCCAGGGGGAAAAACCCGCTGCTGTCCTGCAAACTTTTACATGCCTACATAGCCTAGATTTACCACGCTGAGATGAAAAAAGCGAGCGGAAAAATGTTGACAACTTGGCTACTAACCTCTAGAATGAAATCACCAGTTCTAATACCCTTCATTTCTGCTTGACCACCTTTCTCTAGTTCTCCAAAATATTGAAGAGCCGGAAATTCAGGAGTTGGCTCGAAATTTAAACGGGGCACTTGAGCTACAGAGTAAAATAGAAATACAGCAAGAGTTGTGGTTTACTTTTATCCTTGGAATAAATAAATAACATTTTCCATCCTCTCAAAATAATTATCACACAATTCTATAGTATACCAATAATACGCAAAGACAAAGGACAATAAGATTCGAAAAAAGGATAAAATTGAAAGGCAATATTAAGAAAGATGAGGTAAAACTCCACCGCTCTTCACTTCACTTAGAAGACACTCCTTGCGAGAAAGGCACTTGTCACGTGACAACTAAATTATCGTGGTTTAAGAAAGCAAATATCTGCCACTTTTCTAAGGCAGAAAAGGCCAAAAAAACTATTTATTCAAGCGCTGAGCAGTTCACTTCCTAGGACGGAGGCGGTACTTACAGTTTGCTCCTCTCATTTGAAAGCCATAGCCGGCAGCACTTCTTTGAAGTGTGACCAGCCGTGGAGGATCAGGTATGTTGTTGAGACCCATATGATTTATGCCATTGGTATCACTGAAAATAAAAATAAAAACAAAAAAGGAATAAAATAAATGAAAATAAAATAAAATCAATGAAGAGAAAATATTTAAAAATACTGAAAGTGAACGTAGACTTATGAGTCTGTTACGACCTTTATATCAAAACAATTATCTTCCTTCTTCGCCACACATTTACCCCCACCGTTACCAAGAAAATTATTGTACAAAACAAGATAAGGAAGTCTTTTATGGCCATTTTTTTTGTCATTGTCAGGAGTGTCAAGTATGTGTAGGCAGATAAAACCCCTGGCCGGCCCCCCTGGCCAGTTGTTGTCGCCGTCGTCGTCGTTTTTTTGTTTTGTTTGTTTGTTTTTTCCCTCTTCTTTTAATTTTACCCGCTCTGGAACGCAAACAAACAAACAAACACTTCTGAAAAAAAGGGAGAAAAAAAAAGCAAATTTATAGAGATCGGATCTTTTCTTACATGCACCTCGCCTTTCATGTCTTACAAGAAACGTTGTAAGTGGATAGGAACTACTTTGTCTACTACGACCTATGTCGCAATAAAAGGTCAGCCCTACCTTTTGGAAGGCCATAAACCAGACGTGGGACGACCAAACAGCTTCGGTTTATCTGCTTTGATAACAAGAAAGAAAACAAGTTTTAAATTAAAATGCATGCGATTGGAATGAGCAGGATACGTTGGTTTCACAGTTTTGTAACAAGAGGATTACAGGCTCACGATGTCTGGGGGCACCTCCTTTAACAAATCCAATAAAACGTTTCCCGGAGCCTGCAAAACCGAAAGTGAGCAAAAAGTTTTATTCTTGACTGTAGCATTGCAGCACTTCCGTGATGTGAAACGGATCTTTGTGTAAATTTACATTGGAATGGCAAATATTGACAGGTTGTCCATTTAGTTTGCAATGTTACTGCGGCAGTGTTAGCTCAGTCGGTAGAGCGTAATACTGCAGAACGGGAGGTCGCAGGTTCGATGACCACGTAAAATGGCGGTCCCGTCTCCAGTACATTAGGAGACGTAGAAATTGTGTCCCCAATTAGTATTCTTTCGTGCTAAATACATTGACACTCAAATAGAGTGCATTTATTTTATTTTATTTTTTATTTTTACTGCACGCGAAACTCAAGCATGCGAGCCGAGACAAGGCGGACTGCAAGCAGTCTACATTTATCGGCGATGCCACATAACAAACAGTGAGAGTTGCTCAAGGAGAACTGAATGGTACTAGGACAGACAAGAAAAATTCCGGGACTCATAAAACCAATATACTTTGCCTTACTTTGCCTTTACTCATAATGCACGAGAAACAATGTGTCCAGACAATAAATTACAAGATATGCGAGAGCCGAAACCGTCAAATCACACATAATATCGACGTACGACTAAATAAAAATCTAAACCTAGAAGATCCGTCGAATCAAAACCTAGAAGATCCGTCGACAAACGGCAAACATATTCAGAATAGAAATGTTAAAAAGGTCCAGAACGATTCTTGTGGACAAAACTAGCAAAAACACTTTTTTTAGTAGGTAAACGGTAAACGAAAAATAGGGGGAAATTAGCAAGTTCCGTTTGAGACTAAACGGAATATCAATTAACACCTAAAAACAGTTTTAGTAGGTCGCGAGATTAGCGCTCCTTTGAGACTAAGAATATCAATCCACCTGACTTATTGACTTGAGTGTCTGTAGGCGCGTACTTACCTTTCTTTTTTTCTTCCACATATGAGTGATGAAACCAGCCTGTTGAATTTCCCACTCGGCCTTCCCAGTAACCTTTCTCCCCAACATACAATACTGCAATCACAAGAAGTTTATATTGTTACACACAACCAGAAAGTGAAGGGAAAAGAACAAAAAACTAAGAAAATAAAATAACATAAAACAATAACTTCAGCTTATTAACACCTTCAAAAAAACATTTTACATAAGCCAGAAAATAATGAAAGTCTCTTTTCTGCTCGCTGTCAGCAGACAAGGCAACTAACAGGTTTGAGTAAATGAAACTTGCTGTTAACAGCGAACACTTCTGCTTCCGGGCCTCTACATGCTTCTACTGTAAAAACAAGCCGACAGAAAATACACTTTCGTAACTTACACCGCACTCACTTGATAGTGTTACAAGGGATCAAGTTAGTCTGACCTTTAAATTAAAATTTCATCACGACTACATCTACACATCACATCGAAACGATATCTTTCGTTGAGCCAGAAACGGAATTTATGGTCCATTAACTTAACAAACCAATCACTTTTTTCCACTCGAGTGATAAGCATTAAACAAAACAACAGTCGTGGTCGTAAAGCATCTCAAACCGTAATAAGGAAAACAACACGTCCAGACTTGTACTTGGAGTGAAATAATTAAACTCAAAACATGTTATCTTAACACAGTGAAAATTAAATCCTTAATAACGCAACGCTACCTTCAACTTCATCTCCTTTCTCTAGCGCCAACTCTCCAGCCATAAAAGGTCTATAATCCCTGATGGCCACAAACGTTTTCCCAGGTTTGCTTGCGTAGAGACGTTTGCGAATTGTTGCTGCTCCAGACACAGCTTTTACCGGCGGCACAATGCTTCTAGCCATTTCGTCTGCGCCGGAAAACTGCGGCCATGTTCTCTTGTTGTGCTTAATTTCTCTCGGGGACAGCTCGCCTGAGTCGGATTCTGACGAGTCTGAAGCCGTAGAACTCATGGAAAATGTACGCTGGTTATTATACATTTCAATTTCTCCGTTCATAACTGAATTCTGCTCATCAAAGTCGGTAACTGATGGAAAACTGTTGGTCGAAGAACCAGGCGAAGGGGGCGTTACGTCACTATTGGTTGATAGCTGCGACTCCGAAGTGGTCCGAGTAAATATCGAGGACACCCTCGGCTTAGAAACGGATTTCCGACGCCTTGTGCTGTAGGTAGGCTTTGCGGAGAGTTTCACTGGAAAGAAAAGATGAACAGAAGAGAGCTATTACCAATCACGAAGCAAAAACATATAAATGGCTGGTGCCGACTACCTGAAAGCTTGCAACAGGTTACACCGACATACAGTATCTGAGGAAAAGGAGTGACAAACTCAAATCATCAGGGAGCATACATGGCCAAGATGTCTGTGTGGGGTTATCGCGCGCGCACATTTTCGTGTAAATGAACCTACCCACTTTATCGGGATAGTACTCTGAGAATCAGACTCTCAGAAAGGAAACAAGACTGAGAAATACTCCAAGTTAACAATGTCAACACAGAAATGGACTAGTCACAAATAGCCGACTGCAATATAAACAAGAAGACCCTACAGACTCTCTTTGTACACTGTAGCCACAAATAGCCGACTGCAACACATATAATTTTTCCATTCATTGCGGGGGTTTGAGGGAGTCATGTCTAAATTCAAAACCTGGCAACACTGAACACAGGAAGATCTTATAGAGACAGTTATTATGTCCGTTTCTAGCCAATTCCAGCAATGGATCGACTCCAATAAGCATTTCTCAGAGAATGATATCGTGCGCATTGTCCAGAACCGAGCCAGCTGGAGACCTCTTATGGTCGACAGCTCTTCGGTGGATCGATGATGATGATGATGACTATGCACGGTAATCACCAACAGCCGACGGCAACACCGAGCCTTCATTCTGCGAGAATTTTGAATAAGTCATATCTAAATTCAAAACCTAGCAACGACACAGGAAGATGTGACAGAGATACTTATGACACATTGTAATCACCATTAGAAGAATTCAACACAGGTACACAGTCGCATAGTTCTTACATTCATCATGGGAACCTCGAATGGGTCTTATCTAAAGTCAAACCTAGCAACGGCATGGGAAGATCAAACGGACAATAATTATGCATTGAGGTCACCAACAACCGACTGCAACATAGACTGATCTCACATTAACGTAGGAATCTTGAATTAGTCATATTTAAATGACGCATATTCAAGCCTAACAATTATAAAGGAAGATCTTACACAGACAGCTATTGTACACTTTTAATTTTTAATGCACATGTCGCTTCTCCATAGAAGACAAATTAAAAAAAAAATGCCCTAGTTTTAATAGCAAAGGTTTACAGCGAAGAATTACCCTCAAATGCTTTTTTAATTTTTGTCAATAGCTACGTCTGCTGGAAATAGAAGTCACCTAAGTATTTTTAACCCCAAAAAACACAATGATCCCAATATGCCAATCAAAAAAATGACAGCTGTGTAGTGAAACAGTCGCCAAATATCACTTATTTTAAGGAACATGTCGCGGGTATTTTAAACGGCTAGAAACATTTTGGCGTGTGTAATTTGAAACTTATTGCCAGCGGTTTGCAGGTGTTCTGTTGTGCGGAAAAGAAAATAAATAGAACTGACATTGAATTACACTTTCTACGCTTAACTTATAAGACAATGAATAGTGCCTTGTTTTTGTCAGGGAAAGTACAGCAAGCGAAAATGCTTGTTAAACGCGAGGAGATTATAGAAAGGAGAATAAGAGCAAAAACCCCTATACAGCCATAATACCCCGCGCCTTCACCCTCCCCAATTCGAGGTTAACTCTACTCGCAGGAGACAACTTCGTGCGTACTCGCGTATTTCTCGCGCTCTCCCGACCTGAAGGAAGGAGGTAACTAGGATTACTGGAAGAGGAGTAAAAATTCAAGCGAATCTCTAGCAAGCCCCGAATGCGTTAATGTCTTGAGAGTAAGTGTTATAAAAGTTCTTATCGTGGGCATCGAGCAGAGATTTCCGCTCTTGGCGTTTACGCAGTCTTACGAAGTCGCGTAACCAACTACGCAACTGACAAGCTACGCGAACGACTTCGAAAACCCTGAAAGCCATGCGAGAGAGAAACCAATGGTGGCTGCGTACGCAACAAATCTAGCAGCTGCGAGTTGTTCTAATTCGCACGGTATAACGTAAAACCCTCGCTTTCGTTAGTTACATGTATCTGATGGTAACACATATCATTTCAGTGGTAAGGGAAGTCGGAGCTTATGATATTGTCCAATCTGCTTGCTAGAAGACCACAATCCAACAAAAGAGCTAAAAATAGAACATGTTTTCTATCCTGAAACGGAGTTAAGTGTGGACGAGGCCTAGTAATGTACATTAGTGCACTTCAAAAATTTATTAGCGACTAGGAAAACGGAAAGTGATCATTGTAATAAAAAATTGTAACAATCAGCTAATATTTCAGCGAAAGAGGACGGCGAAGGGTCTGCAATAATTGCTCCACTGTCACCAGTTTCACTTAAACTCAGCTAAAAATGGTTGTAAATTAAGAGCCGAGTAGTAAATATTCCTATGCTACCCGACCAAAATCAACCCCAGAAAAGGAACAATTTAACTGAACGCGTAGAAAATGTTTTACACAATGGCCAAACCATCAAGAGCTCACTTTGCTTTCTCACAGAAGCATCAACGTACCTATATCTCTCTCTGTAAAATTTGCGATCAATTCAGCAAGTCCTTTGTTACCACTCACAGCGGCTACCTGAAAGATCAAACACATAATGTTCAGAGTTACGGTCAACATTGAGCAGAGAATCTTGTTACCCATTATAGATTTACAGATTGTACTCCCCTTTAGCCGGCTTAGTAGTATGAATTTTACACGTACTAAAAGTGCAGGTAGAAAATGTTTTAGTTGAAGTCGCAATCGGCAAAGAATAAATACTGCCGGATGACGGGAAACACCGACAATCTACAGGATCATATGTCTCTGATCATAAGCGCAGGTGTAGCGATACGCAACCACATGCGCCATAGGCGTTTTTGTTCTCGTGTACCAATACACAAGCCACAAGGGAAACGCATTCACACAAAGTTTCCTCGTTCGCGCTACGTCCATACGAGTCCGTTAAACTAGTTTGTTCACGCTTAGGAGGATCCACACTAAAACGTTACACATATCAACGAACTTGATATCCAGCAATGTGGAAATGTTCGTTTACCTAAAACAATTCAAAATACTGGTTGTTTTTGCGCCGCACTTTAACAGTTGTTCACTTGTAGGCGGAAGCAGTAAAAACGCTTAGAACCGAAAAGTAGGAAAAAAAAAACCTCATTTCACAGACAAGTGACCTTAACGAAGTAAAAGAGCAATTTCTCATTCTTTAAGACAGGAAAATAGGCAAAACCACAGTGTTACAAAAAGAGGCTTAACATTTACGGGTCTATTTAAGAAACTGTCTTCTGTCCCAAACAGTTCTATTTCTGACTCGGATTCGGCCATTCGCATCTTCATAAGTGGCATTAAACACGAACTAAGAACAACCGCGCGGTATCAAACTACTTGCAGGCATTCATAAAAAGAACAGTTACACGTACCGCGAATGTATAAGTATAAGCGTAGAATATCTCAACATAAGGAGCGTAAAAGCTATTGAACTAGTTGAATCCCAACGAAACAAATGGCCCGGATATGTTACCAATAAGAGTGCTAAAGGAAGCGGCAACCGACGAGAAATAGCACCCATCTTGCAAGTTATCTACACAGTATCCTTGGATCTTGGTGCAGTCTCTCAAGACCGGCGTCCAGCAAATAAAGTAGAAGTTCACAGGAAAGGGGATCGGCCTTATAATCCTGCAATTTAGCGGCCCGACCTGTATCGCTCAACTCGACTTGCTGTAAAGGTATAGACATCAGGCACCTTAGGCAGCACTGTGAGATTCACAACATCTTGGTCGAGTTCCAACATGGTTTAAGAAAGGGTCGATCATGTGAGATTCAGCTGATCACTGTTCTTGATGATATTTCTAAATGGAGGGATGATGTTCGGAATGTGGATGATGTGCTGATTATGGATCGCAGTAAATACACCACGTCTTCTCGCAAAACTGAAGGGGCACAGTGGGAACTTAAGGTCGGGGATATGAGAGTGGTACTGAAACGTCAGCGTGGCCTCAGCACTTGCGAAAGTTAGATCTCGGGTTCCTCCAGGTACTCACTTGGGCGCTCTCATCTTCCTGACAATGTGCTCTCCAAGATCCGACTCTCCACTGATAATTGTTTGCTATACAAAATTGTGGATAGTGCGCAAGCTCCAAGGGGATCTTCGTGAACTCGATCTTTGGGCCGACAAGTGGCAGATGGCTTTTAACATGAAGTGTCATCGATGCGATTGACCATCCGTAAAGACTCTTATGACGTAAACATCAGACACACCCTGAAGGAAATAAACCTAGGCGGTCATTAGAAGCAGGACGTAAGTGCCGGCGTCTGAAGCTCTTTTGTGAGTCATTGACACGCAGTGCTGTGCTACCAATCCCATTACACTTAAATGTACCAGCCAATGGTTAGAACACTCGATCACATGCTTCCATTACAGTCTCCACGAGCAACATCTATGAGAAAAGTCAGTTCTTCCCGAGATTAATCAAAGATTGGAACGCACTTACGTGAGACATCAGGAAGACAGAGACTTTAGACCTTTTTATGTGTACTGTTAGGAACATGTTGTTGTATTCTTATATATTTATTCATTTATCTATTTACTTATTCTGTTGTTGTCGGCGCGATGGGCAACCCTGGCCATGCATAACCGTAGATTTAGATGTTGTTGTTATATTAGAAGGCGCATCTATTTTGTACTTTTAAGCATTTTGGCGCCAGCTTTGAATCCATCATGGCTGACCAAACGGGTAATGTGTCCGGAGTCACGTTGTTGATTACAGGGATTGTACGTTTTAAAGAGCGTCATATCACTCCGGTCAACCAGTTTGACACCGGGACGAAAACAGTAGTAAAAGGACGAGGAAAGAAAATCGTTCCACTGTACTGTCATAGGCTTGTGCATAAAGCATAGCATCAGGAAAGTTTTCCCTCAACTTCAAGTGGGCGCCATCTGTCTGCTCAACAGTATCGGCGCAGTTTATTATTACACCTGTACAAGTATATTTTAGTGGACCGTGAAAAAAAAATCGGAACAATACCGAAAATCGGCTGCCAGATAATATTTATCGAGTAGGTGATAGAATAGTTTCAAATTGTATCTGATAAGTAGACAAACTCTCGACAGTCAAATGGCAATTATGAAAGTGGATGTTGAATCGTCTGGTCCAAAGCGGTGTCAATTGAAATAAACCACGAGGCAGCAGAATGCAGAAGCACAAGTAAACACCTGTTAGAGCTAGAATTCTTATGTCTTTATGCATATAGTTTGCGCATGTAGACAAGCCTTATGAATGAAGAGATAAGGGACTTTACGACCCGACGAGGGTAACGTCTACAAGAACGCCAAAAAGCAATAGTTTTCACCGCAAGTGCATCACGTTTTTTTTTTTGTGAATTTCTTTGCCGTCACTGCACAAATACGACGTCAAAATGCTTAATGTCACGTTTTACGAAGGACGTAAACAAGCAACTACAAAATTTTCTTTCTCTCTCTGAACTCGGGAATGATTCGTGGGCATGGTTCTCCTGGAGTTTTAAGTTGTTAACTCAACCCCAAGAGAGCTCGCCTAGATTATTTTGACAACGTATGTGACTAAAAATAATCGCAATGAAGATTGAAAGAATGCGACTACATTTTTCAAGCGACGCTTTCGCTGTTTAGTAGTATGTGGACATGGCCGGTGCTCAAACACATAACACTTACAGTACTAGCGCTTGAACTTGTTTCACTCTAATACATCACTCCACGTTTAGGAATGCTTTTAAGAGAAAGGCATAACACAATAGGCTAAGGCATGTTGTGGCCGGATATTCTGAAGTTTAGCCCCCGTTTATGTTGAAAGGAAGAAAAAGGAAAGAACCATCTCACGCTGTGGTTCGACCAAGCAGGGATGACGTTTGTATTCACTAGATTTTATGACGCCAAACTGTTTTGATTAGTAAACCACGGCAAGAAATAGCTCTAGGGAACGTAAAACCCGTATTATGAAAACGAATGCTCTAAGGAAAAGAAAGACACAAACACTGTAACTTCCAGTAAAACACTTCTGAGGTTTCGTAAACTGACAATGCATACGTAAATTATCTTGTTCTTATAATTATGGAAGAATTTAAAATTTCAATCGCGTATTGCATTTAATGTCATGCGAACGAATGGATTAAACGAAAATCCAGCTAACACCAATCTTCAACTAGAAATAAAATCAGTGACAGTTGGTTTAAAGAAAAAGACAGGGGTGTCTTGATTTAGGAGAGACGAATTGAAAACAATTGCGACGACAGCCTTGCAGTGTAATTCAAACGCAACCCAATATAAGACAAAACCGTCCTATTCAATTTTACACAGTCACGCAAATTTCTTGCACCTGGACGAAAGCTCACGCGAAGAACTTTCTTGTTTACACAATTTGAAGTTAATACGCTGGGAATAAGAATTGTATTCAAACCCTGAGAAAGGTTGACGAAGAAAAGCGCCATGATCTTCATACCTCGTAAGCTGACTGGTTAGCGTAGTTTAATATGTCCTTCTTCGCTCCCCTGAACAGCAATACTCGAGCACACGCATCCTAATGGAAGAGAAAAGTGTTTAAAATTCATATCAGTTGAAAATAAACTCCCATCGAAATCACACCTAATGGCCGACCTGTAGATATTTTTTTAAAAATCGCATCTACAATATCATTTGTAGTCTTAAATGCAAGTTAATTAATTCCAATCAGCTAATAGTCCTAATAGATTACAAGATAAAAACGGTTAAAAACCTTGTCAGCTCTTCAAAGCATTTTAACCAGTCTCGTAAGTCAGTAAGTCAAATAATTTTCCATGGTATTAAACCACGTGGCGAGCGCAATGTGATATCGATTGCTGACTGTAAACTTTCAATATTTTTTAAGTCGGAACTGGAATGACGCGATCAATGAACCATTCTCTTGTGAATAATGTTTACATGAATAATGAGAATGATAATAGTAAATACTTAAAACATAACTTGGTATTAAAACGCATGATTACACATTTGACAAGGAAAACTGGAAGAAGAAAAAAAAGGCAACAAACAACTAGGGTCCTGTTTTTTAACGATTGACAGTTTCGACATAAGCCTTCTTGTCAACAAAGAGAAGTCACTCAAGATCCGGTTTGTGTTAGGGTTACAAAGGAACTATTGAATTATTGTTGTGTAGTCACTCCAAAAATAAACCGTGAAGGGCGGAGTACAATCATATACTTATACAGCTTCGAGAAAGATTGTCGGAAAAAGTGCACGCGACAATCCCGAATGGTATTGTGGGTGGTTTTGAGTTCACCGTTCTTCAAAGAAATTTGAGAGAATGGCAGCAGAGGCCTTGGATATAAATTATGTTTGCGAATGCTAAAGGAAAGTAACCAGCTACAGTGTCAGGAACAGTGAATTGATCGCATCCAATATTACCGTTCGGGATTGTCGGGTGCACACTTTTTTCGACAACCTTCCTCGAGATAGCTGTATGTAGATGGTTAACACGGGACTAACATGGGAGTTGAACAGGTTTGTGTTTGTTCGTAAAATTGCAAGCAAATTTCAGACCTAATGCGCTTCTAAACAACAAGGCAAGTTGAAAAGAGATGGTTGAGATAAAAACTAAAAGGAAAGAAAAAAGACAAGAAAAGAAATATTGGCGCGTAAAGCACGTTCTAGTGAGTTTGGTTTTTCCATGGCCAGTTTTAGAGTTTCTCTCATAATAGTGAACAGAAGCAAGGAAACTGCACCAGACTTTAGGCAGCAGGAAGAAACATAGGTTCTGGTGCAGCTATAGAGTTCCAAAACAATAACTACTTGCTTGAACAGCAAGACATCTCACTTCCAGTTTCATTGTAAAGCTAAACATCACACAACTGTGTAGGAAAGAAGCAACAAGACAAACCAAGACAAGACCTTGTCTCTGCTGCATTGCATATAATCTGCACGTAGGACTTGTAAGTTCTAGTGAAGGTGGGTCAAAGCAGGTCTGATTACCATGCTGCTCATGAGGGACATTTAAATTAACACAAACAATAACCTTTTTATAAGAGTTACTATTATGGTACCATCCTACCTGATTATTCAGAGCAGCCACATGTAAAGCTGTATTCCCTGAGGCTGTGCGTGCATTGATTTCTGCTCCATAAAACAACAGGTGCTCCAAGTGTTGAACAAGGCCATTCTTACATGCCTGGTAGACAAAAAAAAATACAGAAATAATAAAAATTAGTGTATGTTCACTACAGTTTGTTCTGTACAAGAAAATCAAAACATTGCAAATTTACTTGGCCCAGAAGTTAAAAAAAGGGAATGGCACTGTAGCCTATCCACCACGCCTTAGTTGTTCACAACGTGTATGGCGCTATCCACCTCTATCCACTGGATAAATCTCTACCCAGTGGATAATGCAATAACTTCCCAAATTCTTATCCGCCTGATAGTGATTTTCCCACTGGGTAGTGCTATCCAGCTTTTGAACAACTAGGACCAGATAAATCACTATCCAGTGGATAAGTATTAGGACAAAAAATTAATAAATTGCATTCTCCTCTGGATAAAGATTTACCCAGTGGATAGCACTATTGGCCTTTTGAACAACTGCCTCCTTAAGGATAGTAGTATTAACACAAGATCAATAACAAGATCAATAATTATCTACAGTGCACACAAGTAGGGGATATATTTTCTATTTTAGGTGACTTATTATGTTATTTTCAAACGTTAAAAACAAAATTCTACAACAGAACCAACTCAGTAGTGGTTATGCATCTCTACTAATACATGTATACACGTAGTGTACATGTAGTGTACATGTAGCTGGCAGTACCTACAAGTATCTTCAGAGACCTTCTACTTATTGACGTCGTCAACTTCTACTCAACTAGTTCTGAAATAATTTTTAATCTCTTTGGAACTTAGAAGTGATGGTGGTGATGGTGGTGGCAGTTGCCTTTGCTGTCTTCCACTTGTTTGTTTGTTTATTTGTTCATATTGGAAAGTCAGAAAGATAAAATTAAAATGATTATAAAAATTAGAAGTACAGGTGCCCTATTGTCAACAAGCAGTTCACAGCAAAAATATTTTAAAGATTATTACCAAGTGTATCTCCTGCATGCCCTGGTGATCTGCGATATGCACTTCAGAATGGTCATTTAGCAGAATCTCACAACAGTATGGATCTCCACCATTCAGTACTGTATGAAACAATGGAGTAAGCCCCTAAAACAAATGAAAGCGAAAATCAAATAAGCTTTTATTTCGCTTTACAAATGACCATGTGCAGGTGTAGAACTTCCAAAATGGGCAGAAATAGGATGTGTAACAATTAGTTGAATGTATGATGCACAACCTAAAAGCTAATATGAAGCAAAAAAAACACTTCCTTAATCAGTAAAAATAATCAATAAACTAAAAACGGGTAGAAGCACTCTATGTATCTTTACCCTTGAATCTTTGTAGTTTGGTGATGCTCCAAAGTCCAACAGTATCTACAAAGTTTAAATGACACAATGATATGTGAGCATCCTAGAAATAATTTTAAGCACTTTGATGTACATGTACATGTAAGGGGTTGAGGAATATTTTCTCTAGCTTTAAGGTTTAATCAGACTCTGATTTAGTGGCACAAATATGCCATAAAGTACAATGTTCATAATAGCTAAGGGTCAGGTGATCCACTGATGTACATGTAAGACCTTGCACATACATTCCCAGCCCTGAAATTGACCTTTAAATATACTTGTCTAGCCAATTCTAGGAATTGAAGTAACATGTGGTCGCCTGGTTTTATAACTGCCAATAGAAAATCAAATTCTACTACACACTGTATGTTTTTTTAAGGGTTAGACCCTCCAGAATATAGTTATATATTTTTTATCCTAAATGACGCTAAATCTATCTCAGAGTAAACAGGTGGTGACTAATTTTTTTACAAATTGGTTGCAAATTCTAGAAATTTAGATGCACTTACAGTGTACATTAGGTACAATTTAATGCACTCTGTTACATGATTGTAAAGAGTGTACATGTACATCTAGGCGGAAACAGCTCTGACCTGTTCATTTTTGAGAGCAACACATGGAAAAAATTGATCACTGTTTAAGGTTTTACAATACGTATCTTTTTATTGTTTTCAAAGCCACCTTTTCATCAAGAGGCCTGATACTAAGGCCCTAAGTGACTCCTGATTTAGTACTAAATTAATTCTCTCTTTGATTCACAAGCATTATACAAGTCAAATTGAAAGGAGAATCTAGCAACTGATCATAAGTCAGCTAGGGCTTTATTCCAAGCACTGCTTCTATTGTACTCTATTTGCATCCTAAGACAAGTTACCTTAACAGAGTTAGCTTGACCACAGACAGCAGCTTTGTGTAGTGGTGTTAGTCCCTCCCTTGTCCTGTAGTCGAGCTGAGCTCCACCACTCACTAGTGTGGTTATCATTACGCGAGAATCTTGCTTGCTTGCAGCTACTGACAAAGGAGTTTCTACAGGTCAAGCAGATAAATGATGTTAAAATACAGAAACTCTTTTAATTCAACTAAATGTACTGTATGCTTAACAAAAGCATGTTGTATGCTACTATAACACAGCCAGGGTATTAAAATAATAATTTACTGCATGATAGCAATGTTTCACCAGCTCATAATATAAATTGTAACATCCAAGAACCATCCATTCTTTATTCTTTGCCTCTACAGACTCAGTGCATGAACTAAAATTTTTCATAGGACCACCTTTCGTCACAACACCTCTGTACTGTACATGTACATGAAACATCCATTCTAATTAAAATAACAAAATCAATTTTTCCAGTTTTAACGACACTGCAGATTGAGCCTGCCAAATGAGAGCACTTCCTCCAACTACTCTTGTTACAGTTTGTTGCTGTATTGTTTATACTGCTGTTTTCTTCTTTTTCCTTTTTTAGGGGGAGGGGGTGGGGTAGGTTGGAATGAGGAAGGGTGACAATTACAGGAGGTTTGGCAGAATTATTAAAATGTGCCTACAGGTGTATAATTTTTACCTCCTGTTTTTTCGTCCTGAAAGTTGGGGTCAATCCCTTCTTCTGTCATTTCAACAACCCGATTGATTGCATTGCCAGAAACCAGCTCAATAAACTTTTTCTGTTTTGCCTGAAAAAAAAAAATGACAAATTTCACACAATTAGTGGTAAATAATAATAATAACCAGGGTGCAAAGACAGTCAGTTTTACAGCTTGCCATTCGGGCTAGCTGTAGCTACATGTAGCATGTACTAGCCCAAACATCACTTTAACTAGCCCTAAAAGCTCTTTGATGAGGTGGTTTGAATACACGGTCCTTCTGTGATTTGAATTCTCAAAAAACTTCACTTGCCCATCGGGCAAGCTAAGAACAAAAGTCATTAGCCCGACAGAAAAATCCTCTAGCCCCAGGCTATCGGACAGTACTTTCTTTGCACGTTGCATGCTGATGATAATAATAATAATCATAATCATAATCATAATAATAAATAAATAACCTGCAATCAGGTGGCCTTCGTCCCTTTTACCTTGGGAGACGACGGGAAAAGGACACCTTACGCGTGGTCTGCCCATAGTCCTGCACTTTTGTCTAATTGGTCCGAAAAAAAAGATCCTTCGGAGCCCTGCACTGATTGGTCAAGCAACATATCTGACTTCCGATGCAACTAGATAGATTTTGTCACCTTCGTCTCCTCATAAAAAAACCACGAGGTGATCAAGGAATTCTTGATCACGGGTTAATAAATAACTGACTGTGGCACTAAGGTATTGACTAGGACTCATACATCAACAATTCAGTAGAACACCAATGAGTAACTTATTTTTAACAGACAAGTTTACATGTACTTTTACGAAATAAAAAGTTTTAATTTGTCCCTGTATATATCAACACCAAGCATGGGTTAAGTTAGAGAGCTGTACAACTGAAAAATAGCTTTTTTTTGTATAGCACGACTACTGCTAAAATGATAGCAGCTTTTTCGTTAACTCACCTTTGAATTGACTTTCTGCAAAGTCTTTGGATCATAACCCATAGAACGGTAGATTCTTCCTTTGCGCTTAAACTGACAATGCAATAGCAATGAACATAAAAGTCCTCTTTTATTCTTAGTTAACTCACTTATATAGACATTATCTCAAAATAATTATAAAAACTTGTCATTAGTGCAAACTAAGATAAAACTAAAGATAAAAAAAATGTAAAGATAAAAAAATTAAAAAATTAAATTGCATGTACTTTCTTTAAAGTTTTGCTACTGTCTTAGATGAGATGCAACAGATTGCCCTTGATTTTAACTAAAGAATTCCTTGAAAACAGCAAAAATCCCCATGGCAACAAAATTAAACAGATTTGATAGCTAAAATTACACCATACAAACCAGAATGGACCCTTAAAGAATATCATTTCTTAAAAGCAAATATAAATTTACAGGTACTGTGTAATATGCATGACCTATTCTATTCAGGCAAGATATACAACAATGGTTTGCAGAAATCAATAGCCAAAGGCCACTTCCAAGTTGCCACAAGCTTCTGTTTCAAAGCCAGGCTAAGTGTGTGAACCACTGATATGAAAATGATTTTTTATTCCCATGCAAAAAAACTCATTTTCACAAAAAAAAAAAAAGGGTTTGCACTTAGCCTCATTTTTAAGGTGAGAGTTTTGGAACTCAGAAATGTCCTATTCAATAAAGATAATAAAATAATTTATCATATAAACGCCAATGAAATACCAGGTGAGCTTTCACGCAAAAACTTGATATATTCACATGTGAAAATATCACCGTTGCTATGGCTACATAATAAATCACGCCTTTCACACCAAAAAACTATTAAAGTGAAATGGTTTGGTATTTCATTGGTGTTTATTTTTTATCCCCGTGTAGCTATGTAATATCCTCTACGTATCAAGCTTGTAAAAAATTATCAAAGCCTGCCACTAACCTCAAGAATTGGTGGAGATCCGTTAAGTGGGTAGTCAATGAAAAGCCTCTCCTCCTCAAGAAATTTGCCAGACTTACCATTGTAGGGTGGATCATAGAATGCATAATTCAAACCATCTTTAGCACCCTGAGACACAACCAGTTATACTCAATATCTTGCCTGCTCAAGTGCAAAGACTAAAATGTCTCTTTACTAGTTAATGCATGTGAATTGTAGGTCAGGCATGATCATTACCTCACTACAGCCTGTACTTAAATCATAGACTACATGTTGCAGTTAATAATATTAACATGAATTTCAAATGCTTTTTAAAAGTCATTGGCGTACACTGTACATTACCATACCCAGGAAAAAGAAAAAAATTACGGGAAATAAAGAAAAAAACAAACTCCAAGATACATGTTAATGTACAGATTAAAACTGTGATGTTGAGACCAGAAAAAAGGTTTGATACGGTAAGTCCTTTATTAATGAAGTCCCATTAGCAGGAAATGGTTTCAGTCAAATGCCAGTGATTTTAGCTGTTGTTTATCTTAGCAGGATGTCTGAGATACAGTGTAGCAAGGTGTCTGCCAAACCAGATTTGGCTGTAACAGTAACAAGTAAAAAAGAGCACCATGTTCCATTGCATGCAGTTCATTTCATTTTAATTACTGTACTGTACTAACTAGACATAAAGACATTTTATAAAATAATACCATCAATAAGGCTACATCTTCTTACCTTCATTAACTCACTAATCACAAGCAGTTTAGCAGTCCAAAGTTTGTCTTGTTTATCAAAATGATACAATTTCTAAAAATTTGACACAATACATAAACTGAAATAAGACACCGAGAAGACAAGGCAAAGAAACCATTTAAATTATTTTTAAAGCAAGTCCTCTTGGGGAAATCATCATCTGCAAAATAAGCTTCTCTGTAATCATCATAATAATCAATATTATCTTACAGTGTAGATGACTTGTGCAAGAACAATAATTGCACTTGGTACATGTAAACAACTATACAATCCACATGATTGGTGTGGCCAGCGTCACAGACAGAACTTAAAACTTCTGGGCTAAGTCCATCTGTGAAACAGCACCAAATTCCTTGTTCTGGGTCCCCACCTGTGTTGACAGTGACGTTTCGACAACCTGTGCGGTAGTCATGCAACATGCAACTTTATCACAGTACAGAGTAACTGTTGAATGTTGATTGATAACAAACATTGTGCAATTTTTACAACCCCTATTAAGACGACACCCTCTGTGAAGCAGACACTTGGGAAAGTCCCAAAGGTGTCCGCTTAATAGAGGTTTCACTGTAGTTGTTTTGCCAGTCCAATTGAAGGGAAATTCAAAACACATTTCCAGTAATTTGTTGGGGGCCCAGAACTAAGATATCGGTGCTGCTTCACAGGTACTAATAACCAGGGTTAGATAGGTGCCACTGGATCAAACAATCTGAGGGTGACCCAGCACCTCAGTCATTTCAAATGTTAGATAGCACTATCCACCATTACTATCCAGCATATACGTATTGAGGAAACCTATTGTGGAACCAGATTTATCTAATGGATAGCTTTATCCATCTTTTGAACAACTACATGTACATGCAGGCCTGGGTGGATAGCACCGTCCGTAACTACTGAACATTTGGGGAGTGAACCAGTTTCATTGCTTGGAGAGTTTAGTACATGTTTGCTTTTTTTTCTTCATCAGCTACTTTTACCTTGACTCTTCTGTCTGGTATAGAAACAAGCACCTCCACGGTGCTTTCCTCTTCTTCGTCATCATTACCACCATTATACTGCACTACAGGATTGTCCTTCATTATAAGATCACTTGTTCGCAGCGTTTTAACCTTTATAATTTCCTATTCATCACATATAATCACACTACTTGCTTTGAACACCGTCAAGTGATTAGCTCTGTAAAGAAAATTAACAAGACAATGAGGTTTAAACATTGAAACAAGACATGGACTTTTACGGATGGCTTTAGCATTTAACATAACTATATAATGTAACAGGTCAAATCTGATTTCAGGTTAAAATGTTTTTCACCTAGGTTGATTCTCAATTTCCTTTGTCTCTTAGGGCTTGGAGACAAATGAAATTTAGAATCAACCTAGGTTAAGTCAAAATCAACATGAAATTAAATTTAACTGTAACACATACATTATATAGCAGTAAGCAATGTATAAACTGAACATTTGAGGCCTTGTTATGAGATCAAAAATAATAAACCTACAATTATCTATACTGATGACAAGTGTGTTACATTGTAACTATAGAGATACAGTGGAAGCCCGCTTCATGGACACTACGGACACCTGCATATAATACTGAAAGTTTCCTTTGTCCCAAAACTGAAAAGACTGATATCTGATATAAGCGGGTTATTTTTAGAGAAAATATGATTTTCTCTAAAATCAAACCTGCTTAGTACAGACACCAGGATAATAGGGACACCATGGCACGTCCCCTTGGTGTCCATATTAACCAGGTTTCACTATACAGCACTTGTTCTGAATTGAATGCAAAAGACATAATTGCATCTGGTAAAATCACAGAAAATAATTTCACAAAGACCAACTTTGTTCTTAGTTAAATAGTCAATAAAACAATAACCCAAACTATTTTTTGGTTACCTAATAATTATTGAAAATTATTAATTAATTATTGTAAACCTTTGTGAGGGGGTAAGGACAATACTCATAAAAGGCTCTTTTTACATCTATAGGGACATCATTTTTTATCACACACAAAGAGGAACTTTTCCAGCCTGCTTGACAGAAACAAAGTATGTTTCAAAAACTTTTATTGAACAGTATTGAAGAAAAAGGACCTACAGTAAATTATTGTCAATCAATGAAACAAAACAATGTACCAATACTAGTGCACTCAATCAAAGTGATCAGTTGTTGAATAAATGCCAATAAAGAAACAAAATGCCTGCCAAGTGCTCAAAGAGGCACTCGCCCATGGTCCACGATAATTATGTACATACAGTCCAATGGGTTAGAAGAAAGCAAAAAGAAGACTCAGTTACAACATGCACAATAATGTAACGACATGAGGGGCATATATCCTAACGAATTACAAACAGGTATCAAGTATGGGCAGGAAGCATGGAAATTTCTGTGTTCAGTTTGGTTGGTGTTGCTTCAAATGTTCAGAAAGTTCGAAAACTCAAGGACTACATCATGTAACATACTGTAAAAGCTACAGTGTTTTAATCTAAGGGACAAGAAGCCAGTTTTAATTACATTCACTTTGGGGTTCAAGAAATTAATAACTCGTTTATTAAAGGAAGTGAAAAACAAGACAGCAGATCTGTACAGGTGCAGTATTGAATAAAAACCAATATTACTTTGGTGAACTAAATGTATCAGGGACATGATTTCTTTTATCATTATCATTTTGTTGCACATGGCCACTACACAATTCAGATAATTTGCTCTTGTAATCAACTACTTAAACTAAATTTATCTAACCAACAAATTAAAAAATAACTTCGTTGAGCTTACCTGAAAGTGACTGAACTGTACAATTTATATACTCGTCAGAATGAATTTGTGCACTTGAGCTCCAAAAGATATAGTAAGCAGGTTGTAACAGACTATTTAAGCATATATCTGTGATATATATACACTTGTATCTCCGAAATGGTCGTAATTCGACTCATCAAACAGTTCAGTGGCCCAAATGAATGGCATTACCTTATGGATTATCCTGAAAATATTTACATTGTTGGTATTGACTGAGTAGTACTAAAATAAGTGGTATTTTACGCTTTCAAAGCCACACTTCTTCCTCAATATAACGTGTTTAAAGCCGCAAAGACGACAATCGTACTTAACGAACTTAGGGTCAGCTTTAGTCCGCATTCTAGAAAAAAATAACAATGAGTAAACTGAAGCAGTTTCCTGGGGAAAATTCCTTAATCAAACTGAACAATACGCTTTTATCGAAATAATTTTGAATCAAAAGTTATAGAAATCTTAAAGGAATCTCATCATTGATATAAGCCAACATTTAATTTTGGTTTGAAAGAAAACACGCCAATATCACTTATCTTTAAAAATTTTTATTAACCGAATCGACCGCCTTGATGAATGAATCACACGCGATCAAATAAATAATTTGACCTTCCAATTTGAATAGACTGAATCAGCTATTCAATTCGAGCCAAAATAGATGCATTGCTCCTACAAATTACAATAGAATTTGAAGCATGAAGTTGTTCGTTATATAGACAGGAAAGATAATCTGACGAATGAGTTAAAAGTTGCAGGAAAAGTTCTTCTACCGGTGTTATCGCCTTCCAGCGTGTTATGAAAGACGACCTTTCCGTAAGGTTTCGTCCGGAAACTAGGAGTTTTGCGTGAAGGAAATCAGGAGCACATCTCATGCAATCAAGCAAAACAGTCGGTGCAGTAATACACAAAAGTAATATTCATCTTTTACAGATTTCTCGAAACCTTCCATAGATATCTAATAATTGCGCTGAAAACATAACAACCCGCAATTAGCCTGACCACTTGGATACGTTTGCGTACCACAGTTTGGCGAGATGTATTCGCAACTTCATCTGTGCAGAATGCAGACCTTTAGAAGAGTAAGGATATTAATCCTAAATAGCCCAAATTTTACGTAATTAATAAACCTACCTTTCTCGTTTCATCATCGATAACTCGTAACGCGAAATTATTCCAGAAGTTTCCGGCGTTTGCCACATTCGTCAAAACCGCGCTGCCACAACTTGTCCGACGCCATTTCCAACTTCATCACAACGACCACAGCTCTTGCAAACCCACGTGACAAAAATAAAGTAAACTGATTGGCCAAGAGGTTCGTGACCTGCAAGGTGCTGTGTTCGTAGTGTGTTATTATTTTGCCGCGAAATTTTCATTACATTGCGCTGAATGTCAACAACAGAACGGTGAGTAAATAAGAAATTCATTCAACTTGAATAAATGAATCAATGTTGTTATTCGTCTTCGACCTTTCATTCGTCCCATGAATTACATTTTTACCCACATGCCTTAGATTCCTTGTCGAACATCACTTCCGGCGATTTAAAAAATCGCACTCAACCAAAACAATTTCAAAACAAAAGATGAAAAGACTAGAAAAGCTAGATAAACGCTTTTGCGTCCTTAAAAGACAATATAATTTATAGCGGTCAGGTGGAACAACAATCTTCTGGACGATATCCGTTGGAAACTTTTGGCACGTTTGATTTGTAATGGGAACAGTGATGGAGATAGCTCAGACCCCTCATCTATCATTGTCTATCTTTAAGCCCGGGATCATGAATCCAGGTCTAGTCGCAGACGTAGCGACTAGGACTTCAAGTGGAATGCACGAGAACGAAAAATATAAGAAAACTCTAACTTAAACCAGGCTTTTTTTTTTCTTTTTCCGCTTTTTAATTCTCTGACGAACAGCCTGCGAAGTTGGGTACGTATGTCTAGAGCATTTGGTACCTGTGAGTTCTTGCTAGCAAATAGAGCTTACTGACGGAAGATCTCCACCAAAAAAGTCAGAGAGACAGACCGGTTACTTCAGTGAGTGTCCAAGTTGGTTATCTGTCTTCTTTGAAGGTCGGGAGTGGGAATTTTAGTAGAAAAGGGAAGCGAGATTCAGGACGTGGGACGGGACTACTTGTTTAGAAATGATATCCAGGGTAATGAAAGTGTGCTATATTTTCTTAAATGTGTAAAAAAAGAATTTTCCTCTGACTTAACTCAATTTAACCACATTTTCCTCAATCCTACAACGTGGCGATATTTTATGATCATTTATTTTTTATTACGCTTGATCGACCTGACTATTTGCCGGGTACGGTCAGGGTTCGACTCCTCGTACGGTATGTGCAGGGTCGAGATTTAAAAAATTGCCGTCGAGATCAGTAAGCATGCGGGGTTGAGGGAATATTTTGGAGGCTGTAGGTATTGAATAACGCTTCTGGGGACCCTTCTTAATGAGCTGATTTATCAAACTTTGTTTGTTTTCACGGTTTTGAATATATTTATCCACGGTTGTACTGTTGAACAGTCGACTGCCGTCTTGAGGATTTTCTCTAAGGCTTGAGACAAACTCCGACTACGCACCTAACTACGACAGCAACCATAACCATGCAGGGCGCCGAGGACTGACTGTTACGGCCAGTACATCAGATCGGATTTTATTGCTAGCCTGCAGAAAAAAAAATCTTCCCTCAAACTTCCCCTTTCACTAAAACTCTGCCGATTAAACAAGCAATTTTCACAATGTACTTTTGGATCTGCTAACCATCCGAAGGACCTGAAGCCTAAAATTTCAGGTGGAGGAAGTCAAGAAAAACTTTTGCGGGAATCGCTTAGCTCGCGCTCGTAACAAAAAAAGACAAAGAAAAAAACAAGGAAAAACAAGAACTCATAATCATCAAGCCCAATTATAAGGTGTTCTTTCAAAGCATGAAAGCAACCGCTGGGGTTCAGAATAATATCATAACAAGTAAATCTGAGACGGCCATGATTATGATCCTTCTCCGAAAACAGAGAATAATTACTTTGCGGTCTTTTCGGTTTAAATATTTCCCAAGTCCAATACGAAACACTCTAGTTCCTTGGTAATGCCTGTTGTTGTTGCTTCCATCGACGTTATGAATAACATCTATAACCGGGGCTTAATGTCGTCACTACGATTTTGTTTGGGCTTCCTTCTAAATAGAACCGGGAAAAACGTAACTATGATGCAACTAATAATGGGCCATGAGGTTTCCGTTTTGCCCAAGCCACTTTTTCAAAACGAGGAAAAATTAAAGTGCAGAGTCTTTGATTTGAAAATAGTAGCCACGAAGCTCTCAGGAAGCCCGAGTCTATGTTCGTTGGCCTTAGAAAAGTGAAATCAGTTTAGGGGTTTTACATGACCCTTGTTCTCAATTTCTCCTGGGTATTACAGTCGTCCCAAGTGAAATCGAAAACATTTGAATGTAGAATGCGAAATTCTCGGCTTTGGGATCTGCATTAATACTGCTCAAGGAGCTTTGGAGTCCCAAAAACCACTGGAATCCAGAATCCAAGTTATACTCTCGAAGGACGCTACTTTGAAAAATGGACTTTATTAAAAATAAGGATTGTCGATAACAATGAGAATATCATTGATTGTTGAAAATAAGGGTATAAAATTGAGAGTTGGAAACCCTTTCAGTAATCTTTTTGAAAAAAAAAAAAAAAGCTACTTCAAGAAGGCATCAGTCCAAATTCGTTGCCATGGTTTTTTTAATATACTTAAAAGTATATATTGTTTAACTCTACCAAAAATCACAATAGGCTTCCTCCTCAGGAAGAATGGCTAATTGTCTTTTTAAGAAAAAGAAATATAAAAGAAAAGAACAGACCTAACACATATTTTGTTTTTCATGTCAATTTTGGTAACCATGGCAACGAATTTGGACTGACGTCTTCTTGAAATAATTTTTTTTTTACACGAAAAGATTACTGAAAGGGTTTCCAACTCGTCCCAATTTGTATACCCTTATTTTCAACAATCAATGATATTCTCAATGTTATCGACAATCCTTATTTTTAATAAATTCCATTTCTCAAAGTAGCAAACTGCATCGAAGTGATAGAAATTGCCATAAAGGGGGTATGTTTGAACCCTCACAGCTCATAAAAGAATAACGGCACCTCCCTTTTTTTATTTTGACGTTAAAGTCCCAATATGATGAATAGTTAATACATATAAAAAATTAAACAGCTTTGCTCTCCTTCTCCCTCAGCAACAATTCTGTTTCGTAGTTCGTCCTTCTCTTTGCTTGGTTCATAACGAACTTTTTCCTTCTCGATCCGTCATTTCGACTGTGGTGCTGCTGTTGAAGGAATCTATATTCTCCAATGTTGAGGCGTCTCTCGTCTCTGGTAACAGAAAGCACAAGACGGAACAGACGAAAGCAAACAGAACATGAAAACGAACCTGAAAAAATATATGTATTAAAATGACGGTGGAAGGATCAGATCATATTTGAGACTAAATGAAAGCCTCGAGTCAGACATTAATCTGTAATCCAGAAATCGAGTGAAGCGAACTGCTCTCTGTCTCCTTTTGGCCTTTCCGCGTGTCTTCGCACCTTCCTTGTTTGTGTGAGTGTGTGCGTTTGATCGTGAAAAAATGCTAAAACGGTAGGAAGAGAAAAAAAAGAAAAAAAGACACACACTCAATTGCCAGGATTCGCCCTTTTCCGCCAGCTGTTAGCTTCGCGTGCCGGAATCTTAACCAAGCAGCTAAGGAAACAAAATACAAGATCCGTTTTCATCTCTGAATATTATGTCACGATCACGTAACCCACCGTCTGAAAAAGAAACACTTCTCACGCGGTTGCAAATACAAATATAGGTAAAAGGAAACTGTAAAGTTAATCGTGCAAACATCTTTTGCAGAAAAAATTAATTAAGTAGAAGGGAGCGTGACCTTCCAAAACATCTTTTCTTCAATGGCCGACTTTCGTGCTGTAGTATCGATGCTGCCATGCAGCCCGACTAATAAAGGCAAGAAGAATCTTTGTGGCTGTGAGAAAAAGGCTAATCGACAATGAGCCTTCGCGGCTTTTTGACTGTCATCGTATGTCAACATTAAAACAGCGGCTGCGTTCGCAAATTGATTGGCGCCAAAAAAGGACGCACTTTTCAGTTTAATTTGTTTCTTTGGGTCATTCTGCAGATATTAAATTCCACGTAATTATGTCATTCCGCAAGCCATGCCAAATGCCATTCCGCAAACTCATTCCGCCTTTTACCCTCACCGCAAATGGAGAGCTCGCTCGCAGGCTAACAACTAGTTAACGTGCCAGCCAAATGACATACGGTGACTGACATTGATCCAATGCGTGAAAAGGCGGATGATACTCCTATACCGATATTCCTAGCTTGGAAATGAAGGAGAACAGTTTGATCAGTGGGATGTGCGTACAGCAAATTTGAATGTATAAATGATTTCAATAGTAATTGCCAGTTTCGTAGAGAAGGAGATTAACCCTCGGAAGTACATGTGAATTCATACCCCCACCGTGGTAAAAGGGGGGATGGGGGGTGGGGAGTTAGATGGAACCCCTCCCCAAAGTATTTTATATGTTGCAGTATTTCGAAACGATTTTGCCTTCGTGGAAAACCTTTCATCTTCTCGACAAGATGAGGTACATTTTATGGGTGGTGGCGCTGCTGGAGGTCTGTGACGTCACCAAAAAATGGTCGCCATCTTGGATTTTACAAAGAATTACAAATTAGGTTAAAACCGCGATAAAATGTTAATTTTATGCGCTTGACATGTAAAATAACGCATAAATAACCACTTAGCATCATTTTGACCACAAGCTTTACCTTAATTGTTGAAAGAAGTTGATAAAACATGCATTTTTACTGAAAAATGGCTTGATCGCCTGCTCGTACTCGATGTCGTATCTCGTAACCATAGAAAGTGACCATCACTAGACTTTTCTTAAAATTCGCCCGAGGGATAAACGAACTGCTACTGAAAACGTTAGGTGCCGATGTTTTATCGTTTGTTAAAAAGAACACCAAGTAACTATTGCCACCAAACGTTCCCGCCCTGAATGAAACGGCGTGGTAAATCAGTGATATCAAGGTGGTGATATGACCATCCTGATATTGATAAATAAAACGCTAGTTAGAAATTTATATTCAGACAGGGCAGAACCTATAGTAAAAGAATTATTTTTTCATTAACTGGAATTCTGTACAGGATTTTTAACCTTTAATGAGTAGACAGGTGTAGAAGTCATTTGCAATGGCCAGTCGAGCGGGTAAAACTTTATAAATTTCAGCTAACCTGTTGGAGGAGAAAAAAGAAAGAAAACAAATGCAAGACATTTGCTATTGTTAAAGACTTTGTTGTAGATTATAAGGTGGATTTGTTGGGGATTACAGAAACGTGGCTGCATGTGGAAGGTAGTGAAGTGACTATTGGAGAGCTTTGTCCGAATGGTTATCGTCTCCTGCACTCCTCACGGTTGGCAGGGCGAGACGGAGGCGTGGGCCTTCTTTATAAGCAAGGTATTGGCTCTAAAACAAGGTTATTTGAGCATTCTTTTACAGGGTTTGAATGCATTGATGTCACTTTTGTTGCTCGTAAGAGTTTGAGGGCAATCGTTGTCTACCGTCCCCCGGGGGGTGTGTCAGTTGGAGTCTTTCTGGAGAAATTTTCTAGTCTATTGCAAGAGACTGTAATATGCCCAGAAGAGCTTTTGATATACGGGGATTTTAACTTCCATATGGACGAAAAGGCCCATTGGGACGCGACACGATTTGGAGAGTTACTGGATTTGTTCAATTTAAAGCAACATGTGTGTGTACCCACCCATAAACGAGGTCATATATTGGACTTGGGAGCCTGAGAGCGCCTTAGGCCTAAAGAATGTTACAGTCATGGAACAGTTTATCTCGGATCATACGGCTGTTTGCTTTAATTTGAATTTACGGAAACCATTAAATGAGAGGAGGACTGTTATCTCTCGTAAATTAAAGGGATTTGATTTTGATGCTTTCAATGAGATGATTGGATCGTCTGGTTTGTCAGACGGGTGCATCTCGCAAAGTATTGAGTCATTGGCGAAGGAGTATGATGAGGTGTTATGCAAGGCTTTGGACAAGCTAAAAGAACTCGCGCTATTGTCGTTCGACCTAATGCTCCTTGGTATAATTAGGAGATCGCTATTCAGAAGAAGAAAAGGCGAAGGCTCGAACGTAAATGGTGTTCGACTGGTTTTGAAATTGACAGGGTAAATTATTTGGAACAGTCAGGAGCCTCCTGGAACAGTGCAATGTTGTAAATGATATGCTCTATAAGGCGAAAGAACAGCATTATTACTTTTTCGCACAGTTGATAAATTACTGCAAAGGAGTATAGACAAAAGATATCCGTCTGCGAACAGTGACCAAGATCTCGCAAATGCCTTTGCTGATTTCTTTAGTGCCAATATTGTGCGAATTCGTGATGAGTTGCTGGTTAGAAAAGAGCAGCTGGGGGAGCGCACTATGGAGGATTTTGAGGTACGTCATGCTTTAGCGAGTTCACAGTGGTAACAGACAGATGAAGACGTCTTAGGGTTGATTAGGGGTTCAACTATTAAGGTTTGCGCACTGGATCCACTTCCAGCGAGTACCATGCGGAAATGCTATTCTAGTCTTGTCCCTATATTTAGAAGGGTGATCAATTTGTCATTGTCATCTGGATTGCTGCCCAAGGAACTTAAGGTCGCGCTGCTGTGGCGATAATGATCTACACGAGCCTCTTCAATCAGCGTACAAGATATTTCAGAGCACCGAGACTGCACTTCTCACTGTTACAAATGACATTATGCTGTCATTGGATAAGGGCGAGAATGTTTTCCTTGTTTTATTGAATCTGTCGGCAGCATTTGATACCGTTTGGCATCAAAGGAACTGTGTTCTGCAACGGTTCGATTTTTATCTTTCTCAAAGAACTCAGTTTGTTAACATCAATGAGGCGAATTCTACGGTACGAGATCTTCCCGTGGGTGTTCCCCAAGGTTCAGTTCTGGGACCTGTACTCTACCTTCTGTATACAGCGCCACTTGCTAAAGTGATAAGATCTTATGGCTTGGATTATCATCTATACGCCGACGATATTCAGTTATACTTTGCATTCAAATTGGTGGATGTGGACGCTACTAAATCGAGGGTCGAGAACTGCATTTCTGCAATATGTCGCTGGATGGATCCCAACGAATTGAAGCTAAACCACGACAAGAAGGAGGTCATGCTCATACACTCAAAGTATCGTCCCTCTCCATCCCTTCAGTCCTTATGTGTTCGTGATGAGAGCGTGGCTGCCTCTCAGTCGGCTAGGAGTCTTGGTGTTATCTTTGATGAGCACATGTCTTTTCATACACGTGTCTAGCATCTGTAGATCATCATTCTATCATCTCAGGAACCTATCTAGAATTAGGAAGTATTTCACTAAAGAATCAGCAGAAGTTGCTGTTCATGCATTTGTCACATCGAAACTAGATTATTGTAATGCATTACTATAAGGCCTACCTAAGTATCAGTTACAAAGATTGCAGTATGTACAAAACACGGCGGCTAGAGTTGTGTTGCAAGTGAGTAAGTTTCAGCATATCACACCTGTTTTGTGCGAGCTTCACTGGCTACCGATTCGATATCGTATTATTTTCAAGATTCTGCTCCTCGTGTATAAATCACTGAATGGTACACCGCCTAGCTATTTAGCTCAGAAACTACATTATCGTTCTCATACTAGATCATTGAGGTCTGTTAGTAATGAACTTTTAATGCAACCTAGATCGTATACCAAGACCTACGGAGATAGAGCATTCGCTGTTTATGCACCAAGAGAATGGAACTTTATACCCTATGAAATTCGGAAGTCCAACACCATCTCGAGTTTTAGAAGATCACTTAAGACGTACTTGTTTACTAAATTCTGTTATAACAGATCATTGTTGCTATAAGATTTGTCTATATTGCGTTAGTTTTAATTTTTCCCTTTTTTAATCATTGTGAATAAAATAGTTGAATAGTTGCTTTAGTTTTAATATTTTCGTTTTTTTTTACTTATTGTAAATATAATTAGGATATGGTTGTAAATTTGTGAATATTTATCAATAATGTTGTTTACATGACTGTAAAGCGCCTTGAACTATAGAAAAAAAGTTATTATTATTATTATTATTGTTATTAGACGCCGGGTTAACAAGGGTAAAAACAATTGATGTTTATGTTGTGTTTATGCCACATAACGACTGATGAGTAGACGTAATTATTACAACACAGGCTGAATCCCCTCAGTCTTGTGTGAATACCCGAATTAAGCTTGCGTTCTGATTGGCCACAAAACAAGAGCGAGATTTCCCTCGTTGGTCTTGCAAGAAAAAGTTCGCTTTCTGGCATTATGATAATTATATAAACTATTTACTTACCAAGTTTGTTCGGTCAAGATGGCTGGAGACTGGCCTTGCTTTTTTTGCGATTTAACTGACCTCGACTTCGTCGCGGTCCATAAAAAAGCAAAAAAGGACGTTATGCAGAGTCCAGCCATCTTGACCTCACGCTTGATCATTGTATGTATAGCAAAATGTTTACCAACCAAGAAAAAGAGGATATCAGAGTTCTTTTTGTCATGATGAAGGAACTAAAAAGGTCCCCGGTGTCCCCAGTTCTCTGTGCCTTCTTAAGAGCGAATTTTTCTGGAGACCAGGTGAAATCGAAAAATCGCGGCACATGATGGAAAAATACCTTCCTCATATTTCGTCCAGAGATACCTTATAGAGAGTCAAAAAATGTGGTGTATTTTTTTGCAGAAATATTTTTTTCTTTTCCAGAAAATTCTCAAAAACTGCAACGAGGGGGCCACCGCCACAAAATGACCAAACTAAAAGAGACAAGTAAGGGTACAAGAAGTTTGCTCTTCAAAGCGCAGAAAGAACTTAGGGATTCTTAAATTTATATATGTACGTAGGAGGTATTGGCAAATGATTTAAGGGTAATAACAGGATTGTAACGGTTATTTTGAATTCCCGGTAATTTTTTGAAAATCACTAATATTTCTTGATCGTAAAATTTCATTTCGGAGCAGATTTTCAAGAAAACTTTTGCTATGCGGAAATGACTTGAAATTAATTTTCCTGCTATGTACAAATGGCCTTCTTTCCATTCACTGCTACGAAAAAGTCCGCTAAACTTTGAGGAAATCACGATGAATTCCAAACGCCGACTCCAGCAGATCCTGTACAAGACCCTGATGATCAATTCCAAACATTTGCTCCAGCAGATCCTGTACAAAACGTTAACGATGAATTGCAAAAATCGGCTCCAGCAGATCCTCTACGAAACCCTAACGATGAATTGCAAACATTGGCTCCAGCAGAACCTGCACAAAACCCTAACGATGAATTCCAAACGTCTGCTCCAGCAGATCCTGTACAAGACCCCAAAGATGAATTCCAAACCTTGGCTCCAGCAGAACCTGTACGAAACCCTGACGATGAATTCCAAACAACAGCTCCAGCAGATCCTGTGCGAGACCCTGACGATGAATTCCAAACATCAGCTCCAGCAGATCCTGTGCGAGACCCTGACGATGAATTCCAAACATCAGCTCCTGCAGATCCTATGCGAGACCCTGACGATGAATTCCAAACATCAGCTCCAGCAGATCCTGTGCGAGACCCCGACAATGAATTCCAAACATCAGCTCTTGCAGATCCTGTGCGAGAGCCTGACGATGAATTCCAAACATCAGCTCCAGCAGATCCTGTACAAGACCCTGACGATGAATTCCAAACATCTGTTCCAGAATCTGCTGAAGCGGAATCCTACTGCACCAAAGCATTTTTAAAATGAAGAAGCAGGAACAACTTTACAGTGAAAGAGTTAGGACCAGAGGAGATTGGTGTGTCCAGCTCTAAGGAGTATTTAGAGCAGTTGTTGTAATTTCCATCGTCAAAAAGAAGCAGTGAAGAAAGATTACTTATATACAAAGATTCATCGTATGGCATCAGCCACTTGAGTAATTGTCTGAGAGTTTTTCTTACTGTAGCCTTCCCACCGATCGTAGTCTGCAAGAAGGCTGTCAATGAGTTTTCCACCTTTACCGTTGTCAACGATGTAATGCCGCAGTTCACTGCAGTATGTAGCCAGTCCCTAAGGAATAGAACAAGAGTCTCGATCAAATGTACGATATGTCCTCATTACGACGCTGTGTGTGTCAAGTTAAAAGCGAGGCATGTTCAACAAACTGTCCAAGGTTAATCATCACCACTTTGATGGTGTCGCAGTCAGGCTATTGATAATCAGAAGACAAAGGTACACCAGATGGCTGCATTATTCTTTACTGGCTCTAGTAAGGAGAACCTTTCTCTGTCGAAGGAAGACACTTATGCTTCAAAGTAGAGAACCATCTTTGAGGCATTGAAGATCAAAGAACGTGACAGTAGAGTGACTCAGTGCCTAGGGTGTTACCAAAACAAACAACCTGTGGAGAGCTTTAAAGAGGATGTGATGATACGCAGAATTTCATGCAAATTGCTGTTTGAAAGAGAAAGAGAAAAGGGAAAGTACCAGTGTTATTTAGACAAGTGGCATGGAAATTGTGTATCGTGGAGTAGGTGGAAAGCAAAGCACCCCGAAGAAACACAAAGACTTTCTGAAACAAGGCAGGGCAGTGTATTCACTGTTAAACAGAGAAATCATCCATGATGGAATAAAACAAAAGATAACTGGCACCATAAAAAGTCTTGATCCATGATGTACTGGAAAACCAAGTGGAAACTCCAAGCATCCATCGACCTGTGACAACTGACACATGCAAGAGCATTATTTGGTTGATCTATTTAACAAGCGCTCAGACGCAAAACTGAAAAACACTGCAGGCGCCTCAAGGATAGGGGAAAGGGGGTTTCGGCATGACTATGCGAAGAAGACTGAAGTCAAACTCCATTCTCTCAGTCATGAAAAGAAGAATGCATCAAGAGCAGTCTCTGCACTAAAGAAAAGGGAAATGAGTGTCCAAAGCTGGGAGGAAATGCTGCACGAAAGGAGCCAGCATGGATACCAGGAGAAACTTATAGTTGACCTTCTCACATTGCTCAAGCAAGACGTTGCAGTTGCGATGGGTTTTGTGGAGCCAACGAGCAAGAAGCCGGAGAACACGTTACCTGCAGATTAGCCGATGGCAATTTGGAGCGGATTCGTCGATTATTCTCGAATTTATAGGGCTTCAGCGCGAAGGTTAGTTGGATTGCACCAATAACTATGATTGCACATTCTGCTGTTTGTATAAATTTATTGAGCTTTTGCTATTGTTTTCAGCCCTCACCCTAACCCACAAAATGCACAGAGTCGAATAGATATCCACAAGTAGACGAAATTGCGAGATACGATGCCTGGAGACTTCCCGCCGTCTTTCCCAATTTGTAGGAGAGGAGATGTACAACGTTGTTCCTTCTCTGTTTATAAATTATCGTATTTATATGGTACTCGATGAGACAATGAAAACGATTCCTATTCACGTTTGACGTAGCAAATACTGAAATAAACTACGATCAGGCCTCCCAAAGAAAATGGGAAAATCTAAGGACCGCCTGATCGCAGGTTACTTAAGCCATGTTTGTGCTCATTTATCCTTTTACGTCGAGCCAGATATTTTGAATAAACAATTCAATGACATCATGCAAAGATTTACTTATAACAAACAAATCGAGATGAACTTTTACAGTATAATTGGATCAATTTCACATCTCGGAAAAATGCCCGGGGAGGGTAGTCCCTTATGAGAGGCTAATTGGGAAGTGCCGTTGGATGGGGTCGCATTTCATCATGACTGGATTGACTATAATGGGGTCGCATTTTCAATAGTTACTAGAATGGGTCGCACATTTTCTGATTTTTGGGGTAAGACAGTTCTTCATATTAGCAGTTAGCAAACGTACCAGAATGTTTGTACTGTTGGTGTTTTTCATTCAATATAAGGTAGATACATAAATAGAAAGTGACTGAGTTGGGATAGCAAAAATTACACTTTTGCCCCAAAGCGACTGAGATGGGGTCTATAATTGGCAACAGAATAGACTATAATGGGGTAGGGGCTCTAAGTGGCCATCGGCACATATCCAGCAAAAATTGACCCAAGTAGCCCCCCCGGGGAAAAATGGCTGGAACTTCCGCTAAATCGGTTGAGACTGCTATGAGCAAGCAGAGAATAATTGGCACATATTTCAATACGCGAAAAAAGGTAAAGATATTTCGAAATCCGTAATTTAAATTAAAATCTATTCGGCGCGCTTAGTATTATATAACTGCCCGTCTGCTGCTCCGGGCTCCCCCTTGCGATCACTCAAAAGATTAGCCTGTTCCAGGCTCTCAGATATAGTGGGGAAGACGCGAAAGAAAAAGGCACGCGAAAAGTTGGCGGGGCGGGCTCTCCCCAGTTTCCTCCAGTTTTATTTTCGTTTTGCGCTTTCTGAATTCAGCGGACCCGGCTATCTAAGAGCCTGGAACAGGCTATCAAAAGATACACGTCTCTCCCTTGCTAAAAATAATCTAAGGAGGTCTTGAAACTGACTGCAATAGATTAAATAATTTCTTTCTCTTCACTATCAATTGTTCTGTTATTACTGAGTTCTAATCTAACTACTATAAATAACCTGAATTCGATATTTGAACACACTGTATTAAACTTTTCGCACAATGCACTCTTCAGGATCTCCCTTCGCGAAAGGTACTGATGTATAAAACCCAAAACACACGCTACTCTTAAAAATAGAATTCCACTTTCATCATTGTTTTATCCTTTACAATTTAAGGGACTCACCTATTTAACTCTTCCATGAAAACCCGACATGAAAATCGGGCGAGTCAGTATTGATACAATAAAATTCCTGACGCGCCTTCAAATAGTCAGAAAATTTACAGAAGTTAGTTTTAAACTAGCAACATGAGTAGAATATGTTACATCGAACTGTATGGGACGCACCGTCTGCCACTTCGAAAAAGGAAGTTAGTTTTATCGTAGGGGAAGGGGTAGAAAATGTTACATCGAACTTGTATGGGACGTGCCGTCCGCCAGCTCGAAAAGGAAGTTAGTTTAGACTAAGACTAGGAGTAGAATATGTTACGTCGAACTGTATGGAAAGCGCCGTCCGCCAGTTTGAAAAGGGAAGTTAATTTTAAACTAGGAAATTCAAGGGGTAGAAACTGTTACAGCGAACTGTATGTGACGGGGCGTCCGTCAGTTCGATAAAGAAGTTAGTTTTAGACTAGAAACCGAAGTAGGATATGTTATATCGAACTGTATGGGACGCGCCGTCCTCCAGCTCGAAAAGGAAGTTACTTAGTTTAGACTAAGACCAGGAGTAGAATATGCTACATCGAACTGTATGGGACGGGCCGTCCGTCAGTTCGATAAAGAAGTTAGTTTTAGACTAGGAACTGGAATAGGATATGTTACATCGAACTGTATGGGACGCGCTGTCCGCCAGTTCGAAAAGGAAGTTACTTAGTTTAGACTAAGAACAGGAGTAGAATATGTTACATCGAACTGTATGGGGCGCGTCGTCCGCAGTTCGAAAAAGGAAGTTAGTTTTAGACTAGGAACAGGAGGATTACCTTATCACAGACAGTTTTATAAAAGCTTGTGAACGCCTTGCGCCCAAAAAACTGGCCACTGCCGTCTTTGTTGAATCTCGCGCCCAAAATCAAGCTTCGTGCCCATTGAAAATTAACTCAGGGTTGGGACCTAAGCCGGTTCAAAACTAGAAAAGTATTTTAGTTAGCATTGAAAAGGTCTGACTTTCCGCGAAAAAATACATACGCACGGCCAGCCTGCGAAAACATCCGTTTCTCTTCGCTTTTCGCCGCTTGGAACGTTTCGCGCGGAGGAACGTCTGCGACTCAGCGACAGGAATTCCATACTGATGACGTAAAATCTGTCCAGAATCCGGTCAGAAACGCAGATTGGTCGACGGAGTAGTTACATTGTTTTAGTTATTGTTTACGAATGACAGACAAAAGACAAAAGGCCACAAAAGTCTAATGTAAACGCGAAAAATCTCTATAACAAAACGGTCAATATTTGTGGAATATAATAAATAATAATAATAAATAAAATAAAGCTTGTTTATAGTGGAAATTGCACTTAGCTTGTCCAGCTAATTTACAGGCACTCCACTCAATTATTTAGAAACAAATAATTCAAATACAACATAACAGTCTTTTCTAGAAGAAGCATTTGAAGAAGCATTTGAGTTTTGCTGGAACTGAACACAACACTGTAGCAAAATCGACGATAAGACTCGTAAAATGGGACAAGTTTATATTTGGAACCCCATGACTACCGGATTTATTATGTAAACATTGATTTTCGTCAACAGTATGGAATTTCTGTCGCTGAGTCGTAAACGTTCCTCCGCGCGAAACGTCCCAGCGGCGAAGAGCGCGGAGAAACGGATGTTTTCGCAGGCTAACGCACAGGGGGACACGGACATGTTGCGATCTAGAACGTCTCCCATATAGCTTAATCATTCTTTACATTTGTATGTCGACATTCTACTCATTCTCCAGATTTGGCCAAGTTTTCTCACGTAAAATTATTAAAATGTTAAATTACAAGGATTTTTCTCACAAGAGGTTAGTAACATAAGAACTTAATGTGCTATTCAGCTCTAGAGCATTTGCTATGTCTGGCAGCTCCGGCAAAGTTCACGGGAATCGTCGAGGCCAAGCAAACGAACCATTGAACAAGGCACCGTCCTTAGAGGGTTTAGAAATAAATCATACTTTACAAAGCGAAGAGAACTTTATCGAATGTTATCGATCTGCGAAAAAGCAAATCGAATTTTTCGCGT